GAGAAAATAAAATAAAACTAAATTAAAATTATAAGGACTCACAGAAAAATGGAAAGTACGTCAGTTCTAATGATTCTTTTATGTTTGTCCTTGTATTCATGTCTCTTCATGTATCTTCGTGTATCTTCGTGTATTCGTGTATTCGTGTATCTACGAACGAACGAGAGTGCAATGATGACCAAATCTTCTGCCTACATGAGAAACACTTCATACTCAAAATTTTTCGAAGTTCTAAGACAAAAGACGCGGATGTTTTCTTCTGATGAGTTTCAAGTCATCTTGAATTAATTTTTCTTTCATTTTTTTTCCTCAAGGGTTTGCGATAAAATAACAGTAATACAGTGATGAAAGCTAAGGATATTCAGGAAACTTGATAAATTGTAGAAAAGAAAAAAAACATATGTACAAAAACAGGATTCCTCGGTATAAGCGTTGTGAACAAAGCGTATGTGCAAAACTTCGTTTTACTACCATCTCTCCACCGCAGTGCAAATATGTGAATTTTCATATATCTAAAATCTTCATTCACTTGGATGTTTATTTGTACCCAATTCATTGACCAGCTCCCAGTTGGCTTGTTAGCTCAATTGGTAGAGCGCTGCACCGGTATCGCAGAGGTCATGGGTTCAAATCCCATACGGGCCTGAATTTTTTTCAGGTCCTATTTATAACTACTCGTTTCAGTAGTGTTCTTAGCTGCGAGGATCTTATAATTTCATCTCTCCACCGCAGTGCAAATATGTGAATTTTCATATATCTAAAATCTTGACTCTCTCTTAATTTCCTTTCTAAAACAAGTGACAAAAACATTCATTGCTACAGTTTAGATAAGTTTAGTTTCCTGCTGAAATCTTCAGTAACAATTCACCCTTCTCGATGCAGATAATCGGTATCTTTAGAAATAAAGACCTTGTTTGAGACATTTTAACAAACATCATGAAGTACTCTGTAAGATATAATGGCCTCTTGTGCAACCTAAATGGGTCGCGGAATGCTGAATATCTTAAAATTGACAAATGGAAAATTACTATGGCACTCAGCCGTTGAACACATGATGATTACTATGATGTGTTTTTGTAGTTAGTAGTGCACACATTTGCATTTATTAGTTTATTATGAGGCTATTTTTAATTTCACAAGTAACTATCTACCTTGCGGTAACAACTGACTGCTCTGTTAGGACAAAATTACGGCGATAAGTGATGAGCCGATAATTGTTGGTAGGCATAGCTTTCCAACATAATCACCCGTGCATGTCATCAACCTCTCTCTCTTAATTTCATTTCTACAACAAGAGACAAAAACGTTCATTGCTACAGTTTATATCAGTTGAATTAGTTTCTTACAGAAATCTTCAGTAATAACTCACCCTTCTTGATGTAAATAACGTAAAGGGCCGGTATCTTTAGAAATAGGGACCATCTTGTTTGTAACACTTGAACAAACATCATGAAGCACTCTTTAAGATATAATGACCTCTTGAGCAACCTGAATGGGTCACGGAATGCCGAATGTCTTAAATTGACAAGGCGACCCTTTGACTTGCGGATTTGCATGACTCGAACCAAGGCCGGTATGGATCACGCTGAGGAATTTGTTCAAGGTCATGGTCTTGGCAACAAGGAAACATCAGTGTTTTATGTATAAGACTTCACGACGATTTTGAACATCGATTGCTGTTTTTACAAGTAGAAGATTCATACTTTGACGCTTGGATTCGCTCATTAGTGTATACAATTTTCGACAAGCAAAAAGCGTTTTTTCTCGATCGGCACAACCGAGACATTATGTAAAATTAATTCAAGTATTTCTATTTTCCCTTGTCTGCTGGTTCTTCTTATCTTTTGCTAATTTACTTCTAATTTTCTTTCTTGTAAGTGGAGCAGGCGTTAGGTTTTCTAAATTTGCTGAATTCAGAGAGAAGATTACCAAGATGAACTTCAAACTGAGATAGTTTCCTAGTTGATGGATGATACCCCCCTCTTAGCATAGAACTATAGCTTTTATCCTTTAGCACTGCTATGTAGGATCAATTCAAAATTTCAAAAATTTCTCTTATGTCGGAATTTCATAACCTCACTTACAAGGATGTATTTCATAGTTTACTCTAGATGGCAACAAGCCCATCACCAAAACTGGCAGAGTTTGATTCTATTCTTGCTTTGGCCCTCGATATCACAGAGTTAACAACGTCATAGATGTACACCTGAATTTGCTTAAGTGAACCCAAAAACAATTTCTAATATGTTCTCCTTCACGGACCTTTCGTGTTCATCAAGTCTTCTTGTGGTGATGTTTCCCCCAAAAGTACTTTCAAGTGCCTCAACCCACTGATTGTTAGTAATTTTCGACAAATAAAGACTAACGTAGAATTACCAATTTTTCTTCCCAAAATACTTTGAAAAACATGGTTGTCATGGGATACAACGTGACCGTTGCTATGGAAACTATGACACATTGATCAATTGTCCCAGAAACTGTGGCGTACGTGGTAAGTAGGTAAACTGCTTCAATTAACAATACGTGCTGATATGCACTGAGAGAGTAACCTTAAGTTTATTTGAACTTAAGAATCCCTGTTGGCAACTGAGGAAAGCCAACAAAGTAAATTCTGGCCGTGGGAATGATGCAAAATTGTCCCTCCCAAGTCATTCCTCAGGGAGCAGTCCTTCTTTATCACCTGTGGTGGGAATGGAGGATCTATCTCCTTCACCGCAAACATGTTTTATATCATTACATTACACGTTCCTTCACAGGGAGAGAGAGAAGGTCGAGATGCGAATGCAAACAACTGCTACAAAGGGGACGGTCATTCTTGCATTCTTCAAGTTAGGCAATCAGAAAATATCATAGGTAGCGTGAGAGGGCGCTCTGATTGGCTTATGCTAGATGCGAGCTTCGTTTAAGGCCAACTTACTTTTTCTTCTTCTTCATACAATTTTTATCATTATTATTAGTAATATTATTTATCTATCGTGTGAAATTTCTGATTTTCAATGAGCGGTTGCTCAGCATAAATATCGCAAAGAGGGTGTTGCAGTTGTAGTAATCGTGGTTAATTGTGATCATGTAGAGCGCTCGTCGATTGAGTGTCTTAAAACCAAAACCGAAGTAATTACAACAGCCAATCAAAAGAAAGAAAATTACCTTAAGGGGCCAATGAGAACTCAAAGTAAAACCAACCAAACGCGCGGGAAAACGCGAATTACTAAGTCATCATCGGTTTTAGTTTTGCATCTGATTGGGCGAGAGAGTTGCGTGAGTTTTCTGGACCAATTACGCAGTCAAGTAAAGCCGAAACAAACCAATTATGGATTTTTATCGACCCTCTGCTCAACTGAAAATTGCTCTAACAGATTACTTGACAGTTACTAACTGAATAACGATCGTTCGCTCAACCTCGTGCAACTATCGTGATTTTTTAGTATTTTGCATATCATATTGATCATCACTATTAGAATTCATAGGGGTACCAAGATAGGAAAAAGAAAAAAAGAAAAAAAATTTATTTTACCCTCAAAAAAAAAAAAAGGCAATTTGTATTTAACTTCTATCCCGGTGTCATGGTAAGCGGTTATTAAAAGTATCTTTGAACTTCAACTGCTTACGAACACTGCCAACAGCCAAAAACTCAACTAAATCTTCCTTAAGGTGATTTAGTTCCTCAGAAAAAAAGTCATTGGTTTAGTGTTCCGTTGAAATACAAGGGCGGGAAAAAGCCTCTTCGTGTTGACCTTAGCTGATGCGAGCATCACAACTGAACAAATTTGGTAGACTTTACAATTAGCAACAATAATAAAAGTACATCTGTCTTCTCTTTGGAAAATAGCAATATTTATTCAACTGGAGAGCTCCGTCTGAAGCTTATGTAGATGAAATTGAATAATAAATGAACTGTATATGTGTTTATGAGGGTAAAGTGTTGTAAATCACTGGTGATATACAGGTTTTCTGCAATACTTGTCCCTCAAGTAGAGCAGTTGCTTCTGACACATTGTAGGAGACATTTTCGGATGCATTAACGGGATGAAAATTAATATTATAGCTACAGAGAAATCATTTTTACAGGAGCGAAATGATAACCCCTTTCATGACCCAAATTGAGTGTATTTACATGAGCAGTGTTAACTAGAAGAAAATTTTTACTGATGCTTCGTCAGGACCCGACAATTCGACAATCCTCTGAAAACTCATCCTTTCTTTATTCTATATTTTTGATTGGAATTGATCAAAAATAATTAAAAATAGCGTTGATGTAGGTAGTCGATTCCTGAATAGATTTTTCTTTCTTTTCTTATCATCAAAACAATCACATTTATAAATTTGATGACAAGGAGACTTTACATCCGTTAGATTATATTCTGCCTGTCAATTCACGAAGGGTGAATGTTTCCTATTTGTATCCCAAGAAAAATCTTCAGGGATTTAAAAGGGATAAGTTTTTTCCGGCCCGAGAAACGGAACACCGATTTAAACAGTTTGGTTGTAAGACATGTAACAAGTTATTGGTCTGTATTTATCCCATTATGCAAATCAACAAAATGAACCTAAAGTCCGGCGATTATTGAACTTAATTTTAGACACCTAGACTGCTTTTATTTATTCCGGACTTGAAAATGTAATTCGCCAATATTCAATATCCTGTTAAGAGATTAGAGTTATGCTTCAAAAACGCATATTCTGAAATCTATCTTTGCAGAAACTAGGAATACAAGGTTGACCTAAGGAACTCTCACTGAAAAACTGGCTCATGCACTCAAGTGTCTGCCTCTCATTTCCTCTGTAATAGAATTTACCTGGCGAACGGAGGAAGAAAATTGCGTAGAGGCATATGAAAAATTGATGAAATTGTTGACGACACTACTATACACCTGTTGTAAGGAAGTCTGTGGAAAGTTTTTCCTCCACCAATCAGATTCCTGTCACGGTAACCAGCCAATAAGATTGTGTTGTCATGTTACGGTTGAACGCACCCACTCGCGCCAATTAACAACAAAAATGGCCGTCGGATCTTGTGCACATCCGTGAATCAGTCTCTCTTCTTTCTCTATTTTCGAAAGCTGGTTTTCCTCAGCGCCTTGAAAAATCAGTCCGATGGATAGTTAGAAATACGTTATGTCTGGTGGTGGCTCAAAAAACCCTTCCACTCGTCTTTTACCTCCGATAAAAAATCCTCTTTTTAATCCGAATGAAGATCCAGAAGAAGTTAGGGTTACATCCGTGGTGAGTTGTTTGTGTCATTTTCGGTGTATTTCTATGTTCACGGCCTGCTGACCATAAGTGTATCTGTCTTGCAGAATAGTCATCCAGAACGATCTCGTCCCGGGAGAAGGTTGGGTGGTTTGGGGAATCTTTTCAGTTCACGACATCGAAACTCTGGCTCTCCGAGCAAGGCGCGCGAAGAGATCGAAGGATGTCGCGAGGATGCTAACGAAAACTTGAAAACGCTTTCTCCAAGTAGCAGTAGGCCTGTCTCGAAGGAGTCAGAAAGATTAAATAAGGGAAAGACTATAGCAGTAGAGGCAACAAAATCGGACACGGGGTCAGGGAATGTGAAAACGGTGAACTCAAGGGTGCCTAATTCATCACGCTTCGCCCGTAACCTCAGCAACCCAACGGAAGCTGTTAACGACACTAACTCCGATTCTAATTTGCCACTTGATAACGAAAAACATATACCTGTTTCATCTTCAAAGCAGAATTCAAAGTCTGAGATTACCGAAAAGAGGAGACCTGCACTTCTGCATAGAGACAAAGAAAAGCGATTACTGGTGAATCAACATTGCAATGATGACTGCAAGATTAAGTCAGCGAATTCTCGTCATGAAAGACTTCATGCAACTTCCTCTTCGGACACTGAAGTGGTCTCTCGTCGTGAGATCCGTTCACGAAGAGAGGAGAAAAAGCCTGAAAGGATAAAATATCACGATGCCTTGTCGCTAAGGTAAATGAAATTATGTTTTGGTTGTGTTGTATATGATATGATGTCATGCGTGCATCGCGATATTACACGCATTAGAGCACCATGAACAGTAAATTTCACCAGCTTCACTAGTCACAGAGTAGCAGGTCTGAAATATTCGTTTGACGCGTGTTATAAACCCGAAAAACCGAATCTTTCGACACTTTCTATCTCGAACATCTTGTTTTTGTGATCATGTGGGTGGTCTGGAAAACAATACGAGAAATTAAAAAAGTTTTGAGTGACATAACAATTTCCCCACTTCCATTGCATGCAAAGCTGTTGGTAATTGGGATTTTCCAATTTCCCATTTTTTTTCTCCAGTATGAAGTGCATTGTAGTTGTACAGTTTATGGCTGTAAAGTTTAGGTAAAACTATGTTTCAAAGCTTCACTATTTTGTGCCCCTGACTGAAACATGAATCTGACCCGTTGTGAGTGGTATAATAAGAAAGAAAACTGTGGTCTTACATTACTACTTTTGTTATGTAGTTACTGGCAGTGTGGCGTATATTATTGATATAAGTATTAATTTAAAATCTTCTGTGGAAACTAAATATGCTAAACTTGCTGAATTCAATTGAATTCTGTCAAACAAATGACACAGAAGAATCATCAGGAGTACCCAAATTTAGGTTACTTGATTTAGAATGCTTAGTAACTATTTATTTCTTAAGTTTTGTGACATTTAAGAACACCAAATGTAGGTGGTGAAGTTGTACCATTGGCTGCACAGTTGGTTTCTCTCTTCAGAGAACTATTTTTCATGGGTCAGGATATATTACTAACCCCTTGATAAGATTACCAGGTCCCTCTTAAGGAAAAGAAGAGTTGTCTAACTTGAAAAATACATGTGTGAGGAGAGTGGGCAATAAATTATTAATCGATTTCTTTTATTTAGAATGTTTTAACCTCTTTACTTCAAAAATGTCACTCCAGTAAGGCCTGAGATGGAGGTGTTCAATCCAACGATTTAATTTCATACTGTATATTTATCTTTATTTTACCTGTCTGCTTGATCGTGGCAGTTTCCCAATATTGTCTGAATAACTTACTTGTTTGTCAATGTAGGGATGAAGGGTTAAAATTTGAGTATAATTGTATCAATTCCAAAACAAGCACTTTCTCTGAATAGGAATAGTAAAATTCTGAGGCTGTTGACAGATGATGGCGATAATTTCAAATTTCTTTCCTCTGGCTGTAATCCAAAAACACTGCCTTAAATCATGTTTCTTAAACCATAGATTTTTTTAAAATTACAACTAATTGATCACAAACTATTTCCAAATGTTAGAAAATAGAATAAAAAGATATTGTCCATTAATGATGTACTTAATCGAGGGAACTATTCAAGATGTGAGGTAATTTTCTGTGTGCATAATTGGGAGATACTTCCAAGACTTGGATCAAAACAGGATGTACTTAAGTGATGATTTTTTTTCTTTTTTTTTCCTATTTTTTTTTTTCTTTCAGGAATGACATGAGGACAGCCTTGGCAACTGGAGACTATCAAACTCTTCTAGAATTTTTGACAACAACGTTTGATTCTTTCTCTGAGATGAATGAAGTCTTCAAGGTGTGATTTAATGAAGCTAGTGAACTTTGATGTTATGTCCCCTTCAAAGTGGTTACACATAGTGCAATTATAATATCTAAACATATCCTGTTTTGTTTATTTTTCATTGAAGCGAAAAGATGAGTATAACTCTGAAGAATTCTCTGAAAGTGGTATTGATCACGACTTTGTCAGGATAGCATATGAAATTGTTCTTACCCTGGTAATTTATGAATATTTATTTGATCTAAATAATTATATTTTTGCGTGAATTTCATTCTTTTTAATTTTTTAGAAGTAGGTACAATTTCAGACAAGAAAATGTGGTGGATTTTGTTCAAAACACAACTGTACTTGTACAATGTACTTTTTAAAATCACATATATTTTTACATTTTAGCCTCAAGAGGTGCACAAGAATGTTCTCAAGTCTGTGGTGAACAGCCTGTTACAAGAAATCAAAAGGTAACACATGCATAGTTTTTTGTTATAATGGAGTAGTGTTAAGGATTTTGAGGTAGCCAATTTGGAGAGAGGTTTAGTGTAGTGGGATCCACACTCCCAGACATGATCAGCTGGAACACCTCTCCAAACAACTTTTGTAATGTTCTTCACCTGCCTTCCCTTCTAATGTTGTTAATTGCCAATGTGTTCATGCCATCTTGCAGATCAACATTGAGTGGGATAAGGTGGGGTGGGGGAGGGAGGTAGGAATTAAGAATCCCAATATATGTGTCAGGGAATGTGGGTTTACATGTAATTATACCCAGCCTTGCCTTAGAAAATGTTAGAAGTTTAGACTATGGGTATTGTGCCCAGTGACAAACCAGTTACTTTTAGTTGGAGAAGGGGATGAAAATTTATAAGAAACAAACCCTTTTTAGGTTGTTTGGCTGTTAATTGATTCTGATCACTACAAGGTGCAAAGAAAGTCTGTTTTACAGCTTGCCCTTTGGATGAGCTGTACCTTACATCTACTAGCCCGAAAGTAATTTGTACTGGCCTGAAAAAATTTTTTCAAAAGCAGAAAAAAAAAAGAGCTGTTTTTCTCTCGGTGCTGCCACAGTGTATAATTTTTTCTAAGTCCACCATTTGCAACATGTGAATGATTAACATGCATTTTAGACATTTTAGAATTTAGAAACACATTTTTTTTGACAGAAAAAAACAGGATTGAAACTTTGAAACCAACTTTCTCAAGGGACACACTAAACAACAATGTGGACTATATGAAAAGCTGCCTGTGAGAGCACTTCATTCTCCAATTTGCTGCCGAAAAAATTTTCCTGCCAGAGTATCTCTTAGCAGCTGACAGGAGAGATATTTAAACTATTAAAGGGAATGAAAATTTGATAGCTTTCACCAGTTTGCTTCTCATTCAAAAGTAGTGCATTCTGAAGATCATTTTTCTGAAGAAGGTTTGTTTGAGAGTCGGTTTTCCAAGTCAAGTTTCAGTGAACAAATTATGCAAACAAAAATTATGGAAATTTGTGGTTCATCATGTTACAAGTAACCAAAGGCTTTTTACGTTTCAAAAACACAAAAATGTTCATTTCATTTCTAGCAACTTTTTATCTGAAAGATTTACAGGTAAAAACAATATGATGTGGTCTATATATTTTAATCAAAAAACACCTGGAATATTGCTGTTTAGAATTTACCATATTGAAATGCACGTGACCAATATTTGCTAAAACCATAATAAATTTCTCACTGGAATTCAGGATCAAAATCTTTTGTTTACGTTCCTCACAAATGATTATGAAGCAAAATTTAGACAAATAGCTTTCTCTGGATTAGTAAGAATTATTAACATTTACCTCCCAAGTTTTTTTCAATATTTGCTTTTACTTTATGAATGGGATCTCTATATGTCTCGTCTGACATGTAATGTTATACTTTGTCTTGTTATGCAGATTTCACCTCGTCGGAGCGACTTTCGGTCTGCATGAATTTATTAGGAATTTAAAATATTTATCTATCAGTACTTCAGATCTGTAATTTTAATTCTCCGAAAAATGTTCACTTGCCCTTTGGGCAAGTTATGCACAGAATTCACTAGCCTGATTGTAAAATCCATTAGCCCTGGGCTATCAGACACAACTTTCTTTGCATGCTGTGCTGATACATGTATTTATTAACTTGAATGTACATGCAATCTTTTCTTTTTTGTTCTTGTAAACATTGGACATTTCCAAAATTTTTCATTCTCCCTCTAAGAATGTTATGTTGAGTCACTAGCTGCACTCTTTGCAATTTGTTGAATAACAAAACACCATGTTGTCTGGATCATTTTGTGTTACTCTTGTCGTAGTGAACATTATTCTTATAAGGGTACAGTAACTGCAGCTGCCATGGTTCACTCAATATAATGTAAAACCTTTTTATTTGCTTTTCATAGGCAAAGAACAAAGGATGATCTTAGGGCATTCACAATCCTTCTGCAGGTAATTAATGAACTGTTTTTGCAATACACACAAGAGTACATTTTTTTCATTTTCAGAAATATGAAAGTAAACACAAGTAGAGGTTACAAGCATTTCTTTTGATTATTGGCTGCCTAAAAAATATTACACTAGAATGCCTTGTGATAATACAATAAATTGAACTTGGACTGTAGACTGGGTTCAATGTAATACCCCCTACCGATTTAGCCTCACAGTTTCTTAAAAAAGGTAACCCCTTAATAAATAATTCACTCTCAGGTTTTCATGTTACCATGTTCCCAACAATAGCACTGTCACAGTGTGGTTCTATTTCTTTGTAAGTAAACCATACTCAACCCACAATTCCTCTAATAATTCTGGAAAAGGGCTTACACTTGAAATGCCACACTTTCTTTAGAAACTTACCCCCCTAATATTAATTGTCTGTAGTAACTGTCTGCTTAATTTCAGAATCCTCAGTTTGACAAGTCATCAACATATGTAATCTTTGCTTATCTTCTGCGGCAAGTGTCATCTCTCACAGATGGAGAGCATCAGTACCTTGTTCACTGGTTCAGAAGGTGATTAAATTTATGTCATGAGAATAATGCATAAATTGTGTCAGTCTTTGATCCTAAGGGAGGGTGGGAAAGTGTTGTGGGTTCTGTGACATGCAAAATTTTTAAAGTATACTTACTTTTCCTTTGTTAAACAAAAAACCTTTTAGTTTTGACAGTGCATCATCCACTACAAACAAACGAACATGACGACCCTACGCTAAGGACGCCATGTTGATTTCGAAAGTAATTGTCACCAATCCTCCCTCCTCTGAAGTCAAAGTAAAAACCTGCAAACTGTATCACTTTTTCTTTAAAAGAAGAAAAGACCTATTTACAAAATTTATGTGTAAATATATAAAATTCAAGTTCACGGCTATGTTACCCGACAAATCATGCAAATTTTAACTCGCTACTTGGTCAAGACTCATAGAAATTTAGCCCTTTCCTGCATTCATTTAAGTTATAGTACATCTAAATTTCTTTGTTTGTTTTGATCTTAAGCTTGTATGATTACTTATCGAGCGGCTAGCATATAATCTTTGAATTACTTTGAATTCTTAAAACTTTCGTGAAATCATTTGTTTACATCACGGTCGCTATGACGCTTATCGATGGATACTGAACTCTCCATCGCCTAGGTAATTGTTATTAGAATAATTTGAAAGGTTACTACTTGATAGATGTATTAAACTTCTCGATCTTTAACATGATTACAGATCAAACTTGTCTTTCTACAAGTTGTCAAATCACAACACTTGCACGTGCTGACATTTGATGTGAATCACTCTCTGACTATCGAGTTATTAACTGTTTTTGATGTACGTAAAGAAATCGATAAAACATGCTATTTGAAGGCAATCGAAAAAGGAGGGAAGACTGGTGACAATACTTTCGAAATCAATATGGTGTCCTTAGCGTGGGTCGTCATGTTTGCATGTTAACTTTGTAGTGGACGATACTGTCAAAACTAAAAGGTTTTTCGTTCGACAAAGAAAACGTTACAGAAGTAGTCGTTCAAATAGGGAGTTCTTTACATTTTCATGGAGAGAGAGATTTGTACCTTTCCTTTCTCCAAGAAAGAATAGTGATCATGTTCATGAGCATTTTGATCTAGTTGAAGTTATTATGTAAATAAATGTCTACATTCTCGCCGTTGGATCATGTGAAGGTGAAATGTCTCATCAGTATCAATCAGTATACCTTTTATATTGATGTTTCTCACTTATGATTATTGTGCGAAATCACCACTAAGAATTGTGCGAACGGTCCAAAACTTGTGCTAAGAGACTTGTGCGAAAAGTCTTTTGTGCGAAATGACCGGTTACCAAAGCTAGCTATTTTTTCTTCTTCTTAGAGTACATGTATATATACAATGTACTTACTGTTAGTTAACAGAAGTGTATTCTCTTTGACCTTTTCTAGATTACCTGTTAATTCCTTTAAAGCCATTGTAACAAGAGTAGAGCAGGTAATTTCTATTTGTATACAGGTAACATCTGAAAAGGTTTTGGTGTATATTCTTAAAATGAATTACAGTTCATGTTTTACAAAACTTGAGTACAGAAAGGATAAAGATTCTTTTAAGCTCTAAGTGAATAAGCTAATTTACTTGCTACAGTAAAAGCAGGAAAATAGAGCAGTCTTTGTGTTGTGGTCTCTCAAAGTAAAGTGGTTTTAACAAGTGCACAACATAAATTTTTATAAACGCTGTGTGATGGACTATGGGCTTATCCATTTAAACATTAATGTTCAGTAGTTGCTTCATTGTACATGCCCTGGTTGAGGTTTCTATGGTGTTTACATAATATGGCTGTTTGGCCTGTTCTTAACATCCTCCTGCCATGAAAAGCATTACAATCCATACAAAGATATTTTCTAGGTGATAAATTATATTTATTAAAATGTTACATTTTAATTAAAACTTTGCATCTACTTAAAATTTAGTTGCACTTTTGACAGGAGTAAACCAAATCAATATCCACTGTAAATGCTTTTTTTTTAAACTGGTTTTAGGGAAACATTCTGTAACCAAGTAATAAGTTCTTAGAAGCCAGCAGTCACTTATTTAAACTTGTTCATTCAAGTTCTCTCAACAAGTTTTGTCTCTCTGTAAAGTTTATCAGTGTTCGTCTCATTCCAACCAAAACCAATGAGCTACCGCCTGATGAAAAATGCACCTGGTGGATTCCTTCTGCTGTTAAAGTTCTAGCACTTTTGAGTATGGTTGAGTTCATTTTCTTGATGAATAATTTTATGTTAATCTCCTTATGAATAATTTAAAGTTAATTTTCCTCATGAATAATTTTGAGCATTAAATATTCATCGCCTACTCTAAGTACCATTACATAACATGGTAGAGAATTTGGAATTTAAAAAAAAATTAAGTTTCATGATCTAAATAGCCTTTTGTGAATTTCTGTGGAAAGCTATACTATAGATGCTATATTTAAACTGACCTTTTTATTCCTGACCATTGTAATGTGTTATTGTTTAGTATTTAGTTATATCAGGCTGGCATAAACTTGAATCTTGTTATTTATACGTGTAGCTGATAAAGTTCTCACTCAGTAATGTCATAAATTCTGAACTGAGCAAGATTGATACAACATATAATTGAACATGGATTTATTTTCAAGTATTAAGTAAGCTTCATCATGGCACAGCTGTGAGAATAAAAGATAGAGTGAAATTCCAATGAAGGATGCAAGATTTGCCTCCTCAAAACTCAAACACGTACTCAGAACTCAAATATTTAAATATATGATAGAACATTTGAAAACGATAACATTGGGTTAAAAAAAAAAAAAAACAGTAACTGAGTACATCACGATAAACTATTCTTCACCTTCTGTCCATTGAGGCATTGTGCATTGAACCTTTGATTTTAATCTCTTTGTGGATTATGTAATTTTTAAATTTTGTTGTTGTTATTGCTGTTATCAGATGCCTCTAACTGGCTGTTCACTCCTCCTGTTGTCAACCACAGTTTTTTCTACAATCACTCACTAGATCATATTGATCTGATGGCTGAGTATTATTCGTGGCAGAATCCCACAGCTAATCCTGGGTTAGTATAAGTTCAATATTGATTTCAGTTCAAGTTCAAATTTGTTACTTGTAAGTAACTTATAGACTGCACTATTCCCTACCCACAAAATAGCGTTGTAGCTAATTGAGGCAAGAGGGAAAAAGGGAATTTTAAAGTATTACAATTACAAGCTATCAGGCTGAAGCTACTTAAGAGTACATATGCATGGAATATTACTATTACATACATGTGCAATGTTAAAGTTTTAATAGAGCAATTACATACGAATACCAAATGGTAAAATTTGAAAATAAAATTTGAAATAAGTTAATTAGACATTTCAGTTTACAAATTGCATAAATAGAGAAAAAAAATTAGGCAATTTTGGGTCAAAGTTGGTGGTGATCAGGAAAGTTTGTAATAACTACTGAACTTATATATGGTATATGATGAGGAGTTCTTTGTAGCCCAGTTGATATCGGAGTGAATCATAAAATCAGAACCACTTATAACTAGTTCCTCTTCCTAAGTGGCTACTCAGATTTTCTCTGTTCTATACTTGTCACAAATGATGGTAATACTTATTTAATTTTCCTTTTTGGTTTTAGAAAATTCTCCTTTTGCCAGTACCCTTTCATTCTTAGCCTGGCAGCCAAACGTTATATTATGCAGAAGGACTCAGAGTCACAAATGCTTGTCATGGCAAGGGTAAGAACAACCTTTTGACATGCAGATGAATCTGTGATCATTTAAATAAACAAATATATGTTTCATTGTTGCATTTATTTTTGGCTTGCAAATGAAACTGTTCATAAACGGTGTACAAATCGTATGTAGCCAAAGTTTACATATTTGTCTTGATGGGTTGGAGATATGAACTCCTCACCCTCTTCTTAGGGATACACATAGGGGTTGTGAGTCTCTCTTAGGGTGTTCTATATCAGGGTTTGAAGGCCTTTTTTCATCTAAATAGGTTCAGCAGGTTTTTAGGGACATTCTTGATCAAGTTTGACTATGAATATACAACTTGAATTAAATTTTTTAGCAAAATACTTACTTAAGAGGTGCCTATCATCCCAGTATTTCTCTACGGGTGCCAGGGTTTGTACAGTTATTGTTTTCAGGTCTGATTCAGACCTTTTGTGACTGTAAAACTATGAAACTGCTGATTTTTCTGTATTTTTTAGTTTGGCAACGCACCTTCTTCTGAAAGATTCTTCCTACAATGAATAATATTGACGAATGTTGCACTTTTCCATCTTAAAAAAAAACATATTTTCCCACGCTTCAAGAGCTCTCATATGACTTTGACCATCTAGACTGTGATGTGTAAGGGTATGTAGAAGTCTTTCTCATGTGATTTATTACTTGTCTTCTTTTACTTACCAACAGAAAAGTCTTGTGGCCAAAGTTCAGAGAAGAGAAATGCCAGACATGGGAATGCTGTTCCTCAACATCAAAGTTCGTCGCTCGAACTTGATTTCTGATTCGCTGAATGAGGTAGAATTTTCCAACACAACAAGTAAATCTAGGGAATTCATTTAATTCAGCTAACAACTATTTATTTGTACCAAGTAATTGCACATGTAGATAGAAACATGTACTTTTATTTGTTGACTGTTCTGCGTATAGAATTGTTTCTGCGTTAACACTTACCAATCATTACAATGTTTTCCCAATGTCTTAGATTTCCAGAAAGCAAAGAGACTTGAAAAAGAAGCTGAAAGTCACATTTGCAGGAGAGCCAGGGCTGGATATGGGTGGGCTAACAAAAGAGTGGTTCCTTCTGCTCATTAGAAGAATCTTCAGACCAGAATATGGTAACGATATCAGCGTTTCTCTTCTTCTTTCGTCTCTCGATTTGTTCATTCCCTGTTCTCCGTAGTTTGAATTCTCTCGCTTGAGATTTCCCGCCACTTATGTTTTACGCACCCAAATCTCTGGCACTAAGAAGTTTCACAGCTAACTATTCCTTTCCATGTTATTTTAATCATTAAAGAACCAATCAGACTACTCCAATCCAGTCCTTTCTTGCATGCAATTTTTGTGTTCATTCTCTTGTGTCTTATTTTACGGTGCCTTTATTAAAATACGAACTCTTGGGTTCGAGCTAAGCTTGTAATTCTGTTTCTTGCTTCCTTAAATCACCATCGCAACGGACACATAACACTAGATACAAAAGAAATGAATCGAAAGACTGTACAGCAATCACTACTTAGGACATGACCTTTCAAGCCCTCTGTGGTGACATACTTATTTCCCGAGAGGTTCGCAACTTGATCGACAACAACGGCTTTTCAATCATCCACCTCCAACTTTATTCAGTAGCTCGTTCATTTACGTTACAAAGAAGTACCAAAGAATGTATGGAATTAAATATATAAAGCAACAGAGAGCGACACTGAACAGACCAGTACCTATCAGTGAAGTGCCCCTTTGTTGCAATTCTTGCTGCCTTCATTCACTCTATTATCTATTTCATTGCTATAGGTATGTTTACTTATAATGAAAAGTCAAGAACCTACTGGTTTAGTAAAACATGTGTGGACAATGATTCTGAATTCAACTTGGTCGGTGTCGTATCCTTTTTAGACTAATTCCTGTAAGGTTTAATAATGAACTGGTATTTTCTTAATATATTTGGTGAAGTTTACATGCATGTGTTTCAGTAAAGAACCAGACTGTTTTTGTGGTTTGCATTCTTGACATTAATTGTTGCAATAGCTGATGGGATTAGCGGTGTATAACAGCATTATTCTGGACATAAGATTTCCTCCTTGTTGTTACAAGAAGCTGCTGAGTCCAGCTGTAGTTCCTTTTCACAATCCTAACGCCACAGTTGGCATCGCTCCATTAGGACTTCAGGATCTTATGGAAACAATGCCAGTAAGTTATAAAATAAAAACGTTGCATCATCAAACTTTGCAAACTGGAAATTTTTATTTAGTGACTTTTTTCGGTTGATTTTTGCGTCGCGAAAATTTCTTTAGTTAAGGGCAAGATGGTATTACATGAGAGGAATCATTTTTTCAAGAATAGCTAAGAAGTGGAAAGATTGATACAGATTGGAAACGACCCGTTTGAAAAAGAAGGCATAACCTGTCAAGGTTTGCAAATCACAGGCTAGCTGTAAACTCCAGCAACGAAAAAAATACGCAAGAAGACGTACATTTCCACGTAATAAAGATTTAAATCTTTAACATGTGTTGAAAGAAGTGTGGGGGAACTACGGCCATGTGATTTGACGACACTCAATCGTAAATAATTAGTTCTCATTGTCTCTTTTTCGGTGTCTGCCTTGTTTCTGTTGTATGTGCATATGTTTTTATTTGATGACACTCAATCGAAATTGCCATTTCGTGTTTATTTTGTAGGATCTTGGTCGAGGCTTGAAGGAACTTCTGGAATATGAAGGTGACGTGGAAGAAGATCTTTGTCAAACATTCCAGGTTAGTTGAGACACTATCGATCAGGATAACAGGTTCTGGAGTTACATAGAGAGAACAAAGCGGTGATACACAATTGCGATAGGCACATAAAGGGGGAAAGATGCTTTAAGAAAAGAAACTGTTTGCTTAAAGACGATGAGGCAAAATCGTCTAAGGGGATAGCAAATCTGGGGAATTCATTCTAAAGCTTGTAAATGATGAAATGCCAATGCAAAAGTTAATACATAATGATATGGACAATTAAAGTTTACTTGATTATGTATTGAAAAGACAGTGAGATCTACGAGAAACACCTACATGTAAGAAATGAGTAGAAAGTCGAATAAAATGTTAAAAAGAAAATCACTTTGAAGATAAATAGACGTGACAGATTCTCTTCTTACTTGTCTTCTTTAACATACTTATGAGCCCTTGCTTGTAATCATCTTCAGCTTTCTTTGGCTAGACTTTTGACGATGGCTGCTTCATTTGCAGATTTCTTACACTGTATTTGGTGAAGTTATAACCCATAACCTCAAGCCAAAAGGTGACAAAATCCCCGTTACTAAAGAAAACAGACAAGGTACATGTATAAACCGTACGTAGTATGTTAACTGTAATTCTTATTTCATCGACCAACCAGGGGCCTCTCTTGCCTCAGCACAGAAGGGTTTCTTCAACAATGTCAAATTACCTTGTGTCGCATAGTAGTAATTAAAATTGTATTCCCCATTGATGACCAAAAGTACTATGCGTTTGATCAATCAAAGTCGCGCGCAAGTTGGTGTGTTCGAAAGTATATCTGAGCAAGGTTTCAGAATTCCAATATGTTGGGCATTTCGTGTGTATAAAAATGGAACATTTTTTGCATGGAGATCATGCTGTAGGTTGAAGTGAAAGGCTATTGACGTCCGCGCAGTGTGTTAGTACAGTCGAAAAGCTGATATCAGTGTACGTTCATCCCAACTCGAATAGGGTGTAGTGCATGTTAAAGCTTACAGTGAGAACGTCTTTCTTTTTTTCAGAATACGTGAATCTTTACGTGGATTATCTGTTAAACAAGTCCATCTACCAACAGTTTGCCTCCTTCTATCATGGTTTCCACAGTGTCTGTGCTTCAAACGCCCTCATTGTTAGTATATCAATTGTTCGTTTCCTCTTACATTTGTTCCACTGTGCAGCTTTTTAGTCAGATGAAGTACTCAAATGTGTAAACTGTCTGCGCTCTGTGACCAAAAAAAAAACAAAAAAACAGGCAAACCAGGTCCAATGGTTTGATCTCGCTTTATTCAGAATATTAAACATGGTGACGATTTCGGTAAGCAGGTTTTCAAGCCTGAAGGTTAAGTTATGGAAGTTTCATTAACTCAAAATCACTTTTAGTTGATAACATGGTAGTTTTCTTTGAAACTAACTTGTTCCAATGGAGATTCAACATAAACTGACGCGCATGTATTTTGCGGCTGTGATCTTAGATGTTACGTTCAGAGGAAGTGGAGATGTTAGTCTGTGGAAACCCTGAACTTGACATGGATGCTCTAAGAAAAGTAACTGTCTATGATGGCTACACCAAGAATGATTCCGTCGTTAGGTATGTAAAGGACAACTGACACAATTCATTCGTCAGCTCACGTTTCGAGCGTTAGCCCTTCGCCAATCGCAGTGACGAAGGGCTAACGTACGAAACGTCACCTTTTAAACTCTTAACGGTGGCTAATTTACGTTATCAACGCATTTGATAAAAGTAAATTACCCTGTTGTACTCTCCCATCGACGCAGCACCACATTTTTTTAAGAGACTTACCCCCTTATTTATTTGTAGTAGAGATGATGTCTGGCAGGCAGACAGATAGACAGCTTAAATACAGGCAGAGTAACAAATTTAGACCAAGGCAGTCATCAGGCAAAAGGATGGTTAACTCTTAGATCTAGAGGTTGCCAAATCTTCTGCGACAGTCTGTCTCATTCCCTTCAATCTTTAGGTATTTCTGGGACGTAGTTCTGTCCTTTTCTTTGGAGCTGAAGAAAAAACTTCTGCTATTTGCAACCGGAAGTGACCGTGTACCGATCGGTGGGATGGGCGAAATGGAATTCAAGATAATCCGTATGGAAGTAGCCCACAGCACCAGCATGTGAGTCAATCTACACTGAAACATCAGTTGCGAACTAAGTTCTAAAGAGCGCATTCGACTTTTGTTGAAAAACCGGAATAAACGCAACGGTTTCTCAGAGTAGAGGAAATATCAGAATGAGCCGATGAGAACTCAATTTAATACTTGTGTGGGAACTCCCTGAAGCGAAAGAAAAACGTAAATGAAATAGCTTTAATCTTGCATCCAGTTGGTTTAGAGCATAGAACGTGTTTTAAAGACCAATCGTGAGCGAATAAAGCAACCCGATGCATTCCAGGATCACAGGCAAATAAAAACTACATGAAAATTTCGTCTGCAGTACTAGACTTCAAGCGTCGCATATCTTTCATAGAAAAAACAAATAGTGACTGATTTACGCGTGTCTAACGATTACATTTGATTCTTTCTTTGTAGGTTGCCAATGTCTCACACCTGCTTCAACCAGCTTATTCTTCCTCCATATAAGAACCGAAAGACCCTGAAGCAAAAACTCACTATTGCTATTTCTAATGCAGAGGGCTTCGGAATCGAGTAGAGATCAAAATGGAAGGACTTTGTGAACGTCTCATTCTTCGCTTACCATCAGTAGTTATCCAATCCCGCAAAGCCGGACTTGGGCGGGAACAGCTCACGAGACACACAGCGATCTTGTCACCCTTATAGGAATGCATGGACATTTTAACAGTGTAAAACGTGTCAGAAGAATATTCTTTTTCTAATTCCAACTTCAATCAGCGGGACTAATCTTAATGTAACACACTAAGGGTTATGTATTGATTTGTTTACTTTATTTCAAAATTTCCGATTGCTGTGATATTTCCCTTCTTAAAAAAAGAGGACCCAACCGTTTGGTTTGGCTGACAATTTCATGCTTTTGCTGTGATCGGTAAGGAAGGAAACGTTTTCAATGAATTGGTTTTAGTGGATCATCGCGCAACATCAGAGTCGATTAAAACATCAGTATTTGACGATTCTCTAATCTATAATGTACAGTCTCGGCCAAAATAGTGATCTGACCTCATTTGCAGAGTTGTGGCGTCTTCCAAAGGTTGTGATATTTGGTAATTGTTTTGCATTGACTTCTTCAAACGCGTTAATGATTAATTTTTCCTAAGACTTAATTGTTAAGTAATTTGTTTTTAAAAGTGTACAGGTATGACAGTTGTAAACAGTGTATATACCTAGTCTTCATATTGAGATAACGTTTTATCAAAAGGACAATTTGTTTCAACGAGTGAATAGATGTTTTGAATAGTACTTTCTGTTGACAAGGGCTCTTGGTATTCTGGTCACTTTCTTTTAGGAAGTGAAGTAAAACATTTCAAGCGTATTTGATCCTAAATCATTTCCCGAAAATTCATTTGGAAAGGAAACAATAAAGAGTGCTTGCTTGTTAAATTGTGACCGTGGTGAGTAAAAAGCAGAATGTCTCAGTTACGAATGCTAGCTGCTTTCGAAGATGACGTGACTCTTGAAACATGCCTATGAGCAATTCTCACTCTCCCGCAATAATGTTGTTAATATCTGCAAAAGATTGGTGTGTAGCTCAGGGAGAAGTTACAGTTAGTCACTTCTTGGAATTAAAAGTTAATTCTTTACAAACCATTAGCGACCACGCTCTTTGCGTCGCGCATTTCATGGCTGTTGACGATCAAGCCTTTCCTTGCAAGTGGGTTTAGCTCATTAATAGTACGTAAAGTTTGCGTTTTGCACATTTCGAATAGTTGAGGCGTTCTTGGGCTTGAATATGGGTACATGTTGTTCGTGGAATCGGCAGGAGGTCGTGGTTTAAGTGCTGTTTGCATATTGAACGAGGAATTCGAATATTGCCAGGATAGGAGCCGACTAATTCTGCCAAACAAACTTCAAGTCGTCGCCAGTAATTGCGCATGTGTTCCAGTTCTTCCGTTCATCGCTCAGTGCTGTGCACCGAATGTGAGAGCAGTATTGGCAACAAATTAGCTTTAATCGTCTTCATTGTGGAAGATAACACGATTTTCCATCAATGCTACGCGAAAATTACAACTGAATTGCTAGGAAAGTCGAGGAGGAAAGTGCGTGTTCTAGTACATTTTCGCAAAGAATTTTCAGAATTTTGTACAGCGCACAAAATTCACACACGGTTTCAAGGAGCCAATGCGATCAGACCTCTGAAGATGGGAACTTCCCACCAACAGCATAAGTTTATGAATTTGCCATTGGGTGGAACAACATCAGCAACTTAGCCAGACGCGGACTCTATCATAAAGGGCGGTCACTGTCGTACCAAGTCCACACGTAAAGCAATTTAATCATTTCAAACGATTCCATTTTTTAAAATATATTTTGCGTGAAATCGACCGTAATTAATTTGTTCTACACATTTACTTAAGTGAACTAAGTAACTATTTACATGAAACCTTGAAACCTTCATCGCCAAAACAAGAAAAAGCTACAAAGGTTTACTTCTCTTGCTGAATTAAAGCAAAAAAAGGGCAAGAATGTACGAACTAGCGGGCGGTAAACAAGGTATGAGGTCACTTTCTACGATTTCCTACACTGTGTTAGTAGAAGGAACCCTTCCAGCGAACCATATGCTCTGATTCTATTGGTTTTGACTTAACCAATAGAATCACCCAGCCCACGGCTCTGGAATCTAGTTCTCAGTCGTCTTGTCACAAGCGTGGGACAAAAAAAAAATTTTGAGTCCCTATTAGGATCGAACTTCAGACCTTCGGATTCCGCTCTCCGATGCTAGTCAGAAATGTCTTGCTTTCACAGAAATCTGGAAAGACATTCTGGAAAGGCATTCTGGAAAGGCATTCTGGAAAGGCATTCTGGAAAGGCAATCTGTAAAGGAATTCTCCGATAAGAGCTTATTTGCTACCGTAGAGAGAAAAATCAACTTCATTTATTACCCTTACTCGCTTACCTTGTACTCCAGTTTTCACTGCTACCTTAGCAAATGCAACTTACTGCTCCATAGTGCTCTACGGATTTAAATCTTAACTTTTTCACTGCTACGAAGCGAAAAGCTCGTCGCCTTTCTTGTTCTTAAAAAACATAAATGTAACTAGTTTAACTTAAAACCTGGTTGGCTATTTTGTGCCATTCAGTTGCAATGTGTCCGAGACTTCTCTTTAATGGAGTAGAGCTTAGATAGAGAGAAGGAAAAGAAAAGGCAAGATAATGCTAAAAAAACATGTACAAAAAATCTGAGATGCTAGTTTTTCTAGTTATTTCAACCCAGCTCCAGGGTTTACATAGAATCTCTTGTGCAGTTATTTAACTTCGTAAAGCCTCCAGTCGAGCCTTCATGTCCTCCATTTCACCTTCATCATCTGATGGAACCATCGCTGCTGCCCCTTCCTGTTCTCCCTAAAAGAATGGGAAAGAATTTTAAAAATAATCATGTCATTCCAATCATGTTGTTGTCTTCAAGAAGGAAAAAACAATTTCGCTACCACATGCAGTGTGTGCTCTGACTGTCAGTTATATTGTATTTTGTTCAAACGAGAACAAAAAAACTGTTAGCAGTCATAATAAGCCATGCAGTTAAAAAAACAAGTCAAACTGAGGCTACACATGCATGATTACATGTTGTAATTAAAAGGAAACTTGATCAAAGGACAAAATATGCAAAAGAAAGAAAACATAAAGCAGTTTCATCATAGTACAACACCATGTGGAAAGAATTGGATAAATACCAGCTAATCCTTGAAAGAGGATATAAACCAGTTTGTTTGGCATTCCCATAAGTTATGTAATGGTACAAATATGATAGGATTGACTCTAATCAGTGATGCCCAAAGGAACTTTTCATATCACAATACTTACCGGTAGTGTATCTGAGACATGCCCAGCTTGGCCAAGGGTACCTAAACAACAAGACAAAAACTGATTAAAATACTTCACACTCGTGCTGTTTGAAAGAAAGAAAAACCCTTACTACAGTAATACACACTCTCACAATTACATGCATGTTGAATTGATCACTAAAATTGGCTTGTTAGTAACCAACAGAGATTAAGTGATTCAATAACAGAACTGGCAATTACTTTGTAACAAATGAAACGACAACCTAACCGTAATCAACTCAACGATTAAAAAAAGAGCAATTACAGTGTAGTAGAATTCAGGTTTCATGAATGATAATCCTCCTGGTTCTAAGTGAATCAATCAGCATTGACCATATTTCTTCCACTCAAATTCAGCAGCTCAGGGGATCTTTCTTTTTTTATTTTTTTCATGCTCTAAGTTCTCCACAGTATTGTACATGTCCTTTTTGCATTATAAAACTATAAATTAAAATACAAAAGCAAAATATATGACCTTTTGTTACTTCAAAGAGAATTTTATCAACTTCTTCCTGAGCAGCCTCCTCCAGATCATCATCTTCTAATACTTCAAATGTGTCTTCTAACATCTCTTCAATTATACCAGCCTGCATGGAAATAGGTTTAATGTAATTGAAAACACATGTTAACCCTTTAAGTCCTACTAGTGACCTAGACAGAATTTCTCCTTACAATATCAATACAATATCTACCAGATAAGTGATGAGAAAAAAAAATATCAATTTGGGGATAATTAATTGATCCAATACTAAATTCTCTGAACTAACATTATGAGAATTGTATGGTTGACAGTGAGGAGAATTACAAATTTGATCTAGGTGTAAAAGGGTTAACAGTTACCACACTGTCAACTCTAAGTTTATAATATAGCATAATGTAAATCTAGAAGAAATGCAATGGTATGAACAGGTTCTAGAGCAATGCATACCTGAAACCACATACTTTAGAATGTGATTGGGAACTGACAAATTCTAGTCAAATTAAAATCATAAATCTAATGAAAGAAACTATTCTGTTATGTCTCAATAAATAGAAACCTTCCCTCAAGTTCAAAACAGCTTGAAGTTTGTAAGCATGCACCAATAAATGATATACTGTTAATGTGCATTGCTCTCAGTTTGCTTGCACAGCTTCTTTGTCTTCTTCTGCGCATACCTTCATCATTTCTTTAGACATTTCATTCATTGTGGCCTGTATCTCTGGCACTTTCACCAGTTGCTGCATATATTTCATCACCTCACTACTCTTTTCTAGGGAACCAGCCATTCGCAATGTAGCTGAGAAAAATGAGTACAAGTAGTGAAATTATTTTTTAATATATGATAAGTATTCTGTAAGTCACTAATCATAATATATTCTCTTGTTATTCAAACAAGCTCGTGATAAGGGACCAGCCATTCAAAGTGTAGCTGAAAAAAATGAGAAGTATGGTGTCTTCCATTATAGAACCAAATACAATAGAGCTGAAATTTTACCAGTATATAAAATTCTACCACAATGATTGAAATTAATACTTGGTGCAAATTTCAAGTCAGTTTGGGATATAAGTTTGGTAATTTAATTTTTTCACATACTAATAAATACAAGATTACATTCATGGAACTTGTTTTTGTACAAAAGCAAAAGAATGTCAATTCTTGCAAGAATGACACAGAAAAAGATCATCACTCATTTTTCAGTGATGCTTCCCTCTGAAATCTGAAATACAATTCATGTACATGAACATCTGGAACTGTTTTTATTTTGGTTACCTTCCTCATACTCACAAAAAAAATTAAAAAATACAACCACCCTTGCAAAAAAGAAAAACTAATTCAATCTATAGAGAAGATGAAATTTAGTCAATGTTGATACACCTTTTTCTATGTACTAGAAATAAAAAACTCAAATTTACTTCCTTACAGAAAATTTATAGTCTCAGTACCCTGGAGAACTGCTACATATAGCTAACCCTGGAAAGTTGACAAAGGTTTTGCTCACACTCAGCGTGTTAAAATGACTCACCCAACTGGTTCTTCATGCTCATCTCTACAGAGTTCAACTGTGCTTTTGAGGAATATATTTTGTTGACAGCTTTTCTAGATCTTATAATTTCTTTGGCCAATATTGAACAAACATCCTTGTGCCCTTTCTTTGCAGCGTCATTGAGAGACCTTTTAGCTTTTTCTTCCTCTCTTTGAATGGCTGCAAAAACAATAATGCATCATGTTTTCAAAAACAATTTCCAACGGTTAAATTTAGTGGTGAATGGCTAGGAATACTTCATTGACATTTTCTGCATATCAAATTTAAAAAAGATCAAGCTTGCACTAACCTCTGATTTGTCTGTCAAGAGCACGACCTTCTTTCCTCAAGCCTCTGCACCATTCTTGTACCTGTACATTGTAAAAAGACTAAGTTACACTGTGTATTGACACTGATTTTTGAGCCAGTCACTTCAAGGTTTATTCATTTTTTCCTGACCAATTTTTTTCTGCCTTGTTTTGGTAGCTGATAACAAATGTTAAATTTTAAACATTATTAATACCAAATGTTGTTCTGCTCTAAGTCTCTGAGGTTAGCAGATTTGCAAAAGAACTCTGCACTTCAGGATGAGTATCTGCAAGATGTGTGTGGTTTTTGAAGGACTCCTGCCCTAACCTTATTAACTTACCAACAATTTGGCAAGATAAGAATTTATTTTGATTTTTCACTGTTAAAGGGTTCACCTGAAACATTCCAAAACCAATTTGAATTTTAATAATGTTCTCCCTGTTCAAACAGAACATTGTTTACCCACCATAAATGGTAATATAAGGATTTTAATGGCACAGATTAGGGCAATAACTTAGCTCAAATTACATGATGCATAATTACGACACATAAATGCAATATTCCTGAATTGTTGAACAGACACAACTGCCTAAAGTACACATTCAACATATTGTCATATGTCTGTAACGGCCATTTGGGGGGTCTACTACTTCAACCCTTTTAGGCCCCAGATTTACATGTAACTTCTCCTTACAAAATCCATACACTGCCTCCAACAGGCAGGTAATGAGATTACTCAAACTTATCAGTTAGAGGTTGCTATCATGATATAACACCAAATTCTTGTAACTAAATTACAAAGAAATGTGTAACAGCTAGATGGGAGAATTAACAATCAGATCTTGGGAGTTAGAGGGTCAAGGATTTGGTCTTCTTTTGCAAAGACTTCTCATGAATTTGGATTACTTTAAAGCTTGTTACTGAGATATGTAAATCATTCTGTCCAATTAATGAAAATAATAAAAGTTGAGAGTTGATAGTTTGGTCATTCTGACCTCAAAGTATCTTCCCTCCTGTCCTTGAATGCAACCATGGAAGCTACATGTACGAATAGAATTAGACATGCATTCAGCTATATTTACTTTATTTACAGGGTTACACCAGTTTAGAGGATTTTCATAAACCCTAACAAGTACAGGGCTTGTCAGGTAGGAAGCCATCACTGTTGTTTCGGGCAAAAGCATGGACCTCATGTTAGAAAATATTTACTACTCGCTTTAAATGCTTCAATTTGCTTTGCATCCTATTTTTCTTTGCATAGTATTCATTATCTTTATCTGAATCAAAAGAAAATAAAAATTACACTTAATTAAAAAATTTCAAAATACAAAGTAGATAACAATTTGCATGAACAACTGCCTAAACACTGCATACCTTCTGAGCACTACATGTCAAGTGAGAGATCACTAATAAAAGATAACAGTGATGTGTAATTGGATGTAGTGTACATGTACTGTAGGTTAATATTAGTGAATACACCTGTAAGTGTAAAGATCATTTTTGATACAAATTATCCTGGATCAATTGCAGAACTACCAATCACTTAAATCCTTTCATTCCCAGGAGTGACCTGGAACTAATCTCTCTGTCCAATGGTTTATCAATACACTATCTAGCAGGCAGGTAATGAGAATAAGGGTAAATGTCAACAAGGGAATTCATTTGATCCAACACCAAGTTCTTAGAAGCAACAATTTATGGGAATTCTATTATATACAGTAAGGAGAATTACTCTTGAGATCTTGAGAGTGAAACGGTTAACACTTTAACCCCTAAGAGTAACTAGCATCTAACTTCTTGTTACAATATCACCCATAACTTACACATTAAGGTCATGAACATAAAGGAATTGATCACCATTTAAAGAAGCTCTTGATTGTTAAACAAATTCTCCTTGAGAGCACCAAGTCATGGTTGGCAGAGAGATGTTTAAAGAACATTAAGGAAAATATGCATAATGAAGTTAAGTTGTAAAGGCCTAAGAAACTTCTTCAATGTATCAGCGCTTAAAACTACCACAAACAGGTGTATGTATATGTATCATTTCTTGTATGAAGGATCTTGGTATCAAAAAAGACCTTAATAAGAAAATTCAATACCTCTGGTATAAATATTGTTGACAAAGTAAGAAGTCCTATCTGTTCTTAATCATAATCAGTAATCTACAACACTTGAGCTACATTGAGGGCCGTCATCATAGAGTGGTCACTGTCAGTTACTTATAATTATCTCGTAGTTTAGTTTGCAAATCACATATCTTCGAAAGCCTCGTATAAATTAACATTGGAGTTTGAATTATGTCCCATAAGTAACGTTCCGTAAAGTTGACGATCGCAAAGAAGCTCCGTTGCTTTCACTGGTGTAAAAATCGAAGTTGTCAGTTTCATTTTGAAAACTCAACATGCACTGTACTGCATGCATTATAAGCGAGTATCTTATCGTCTGCAACGGGCTTGGAGCGTGGCGATACAAGTGTTCATTCAGATATTTCATCTCCCTCTAATACTTTGTAATCGAAAAGAAAAAGCACATACGGATTTTACGTGCCAATATTAAGCTGAAGTAAATAACAAGTAACATATCACATTTGATGTGATGTTCCTCAGTAGCTCTAGCATAAAAGGATCGTAAACGTATGTAAAACTCCATATAAGCTAACAAACCTGTTCTTTTGGTGCTTTCTGCGGGGTTTGTCCAAACAATCCCATCGTAGTTTTCAGCAAAATAAGAAGAAATGTTTAGAAATGGAACGAGTATCGTTCATTTCCCCGTAGTTTCCTAAAATAGCAATTTTTGAACTCGTGACGTCACGGCTGTAGTCGATTGCGGTTCGGAAGGAAACGAAGCGTGCAGCGAGCAATTATCGACAGAATTAGTGGCATTGCCTTGTGGCACGACATGGCGGCTGCTTCGATCTTCAAAGATGTTCCTGGAGTTCCTACAGATCATGTTTTCTGTGTCAATCAGATGTACAAAGATGACCAGAATCCCAATAAAGTCAACATGGGAATTGGAGGTAAAATCTTACTATAAAAATCAGACGAGGCATATGAGCAGATCCTGTTCAAAGTTATTAATATTCATTAACGGTCTGCTAATTTTTAAGTTAGTTCGATATGGTGTCTTGGGATTTATTAATTTTGCTTCTCCGCTGATTTACCAAGCTTATCGCGACAAAGATGGAAATCCAATGGTACTACCAGTGGTTTTGAATGTTGAGAAGCGACTCGCTGAGGAAATCGCATCGAAAATTCTAAATCATGAGTACTTATCAATCGATGGTCTAAAGTCCTTTTGTGATGCGGCTAGCAGACTGCTTTTGGGAAATGACAGCCCTGCTCTGGCAGAGAATAGGGTAGGTTTGATACACTTAGCATAAATTATCTCCTCTCTTTATACCATGGGAACTAGGGCTTATAAAATGATGAAGATCAGCTCTATTACGTAATTGGCTGCCATCGCCTCGTCTGTCTGTCTGTTTGTCTGTTTGTCTGTTTGTTTGTTTGTTTTTTGTAGCGGGCGCGGGGGGCCTAAGCAAAATTTGTCAGTAGGGAGGCCCAATATCAGCATTGCGGGCATGTAAGATCTTTTGGGTTGTTTTAGTGCTACCAACTGAAGGTTTTTTGTTCACACAATGTGTAGGTTTAGAGGAGTACTAAAATTATCAAACCCTTGAGACAGGACAACACTTTAATATAGTTAACCCTTTCACTCCCAAGATCTCATTTGTAATTCTCATTACTGTCTGTTATATAATTCTTGTAATGTTAGTTTGGAGAATTTGGTATTGGATCAACTAATAATCCCCTAATTAATATTTTTCTTTATTCTCATCACTTGTCTGCTTGATATTGTAAGGAGAAATTCTGTCTTGATTACTCATGGGACTTAAAGGGTTAAGACAGCTTTTGCCTGGGAAATTATTGTTGTCACAAAACTTTCCATGAAATATGGATTATCTTTCTGTGAGTTAAGCACTGATCATGAGGAATGGATGATCATTTTTAAATATTGTTGATAGAAGGTGTGGCAGTGTCTTTGGAGTGGGTGGTAGGGTGAGAAAGAGATGAAAAGTTGGGGTGCTGGCAGTGAATACCATGTCGTGATTTTGTATGATGTGATTGTGAAATAAGAGAATGTGTTATTATGATTGACATCTTTGAAGGTGTGTTGCCTTAAGATATGTTTCTCATTAAGCACTACAACAAAAGTAGGTTTATATTACAAGAAAAAATAAATCAATTGAGACAAAAGGTAAAAGTGAACTGGTCTTCAGTCAGAATAATTGCGAAATTGAGAGAGGGTTTGTTGTTCTAATGAAATCAGTGAACAACAATCAAGTGTTTCATAATGTTTCAACAAGCCAGATTGGTCAACTGAAAAGCTCAGGCTGGTGATTGAGACATGCCTGATATGACAAAATGAATGATGTATAAACCCTGCAAAGCATCTTAATGAATTACACCACTAAAGCTTAGTAAATACAATTTAATATCAATCATAAGCAAAATTTTAGAAAGGTTTATGCATCAAATCTTGACATGTAACAAGAACAAGTGCTAGTCTACCCTGAAAAAAATTGAATTTAACATATACCACTTCTCTTCAGCCATACAATTCAGTCATTCCTTCTTTTCCCTCTAGTTAGTTGCCAATTACATTTTTTTGGAGCCACTAGAGACTATTAATAATAATAATAATAATAATAAAGGCTTTATTACAGTGTATCCATAGAATGGCTCTTCACCCAAGTAAACTAAGTTAATCTACTCTAAAAAACTAACAAATTCATGATGATAATGTACAATTAATAATTATAATACAAAGCATTTGGAATTAAGACTGAAGCAAATTATGATAGACGAGATTTCAAAAAGTAAAGGCGTGCTTTGAAAATGATTTGCTGTCCACACACGATTTTGTCCCTGAAGGCAGCTATTGAAGATCCAGGCAGCAGTGTCCTAAAAAGTATTACTACTAAGGTTTGATGAATTTATTTTTTGAGAAAACAGTACTGTAAGGAATAGGCATAACAGGTTGGATGAATTTATTTTGTTGGCAATACTAACTGAAAAACAAACATGAAAAACAAAGAAAAGAATGAACTGACCTCAATAAACTCAACTTACTGATCACCAGATACCCAGGTTACCTTTCAAGATTGTTGCATGCATTTTTTCTTTTTTTCCCAATAACCTCTTTGTCAACATCTGTATACATGTAATATCTCACATCAATGCTCCAGTTCTAGCACTATTCTCTCTTGTTTGTATCCTAGTGCTGGAAGAACTTTTTTGTCTTGAAATGTTATATTCATCGCTTTGGACAGGTTTGTTCAGCTCAGGCGATCTCTGGCACAGGAAGTCTTCGTCTCGGGATGGAGTTCTTGAAGAAATTCTACCATTCAGAAGTTATCTATGTCTCCAATCCTACATGGGGTGAGACTTTCTTTTTATTAATAATTTTTAAATGTGATTTTTATGTTTGTGCTGATGATGTTTCGTGTTGGCAACAGTAGTGTAGAGGTGACCACTAAATGGAGTTGAAAATTATAGTGATTAAGGAAAACAAGTTCAGGATGTTGACAAACGACCACTTAATACAGGGTGACTGCTTAATAAGATGCTGCTTAATACAGGTTCAACTGTAATGTACTTTTTCCATGGGAACAGTATTGCAAGGGCTTCACTTAAACACCCACCTACTTTGTTATGGAGAGTAACTTTTACTCCTGGAAATTATAGGAGCATTGATCGACAAAAGTACTTAACAACAATCACCTGCTCTACATTGGAGGGGATGTTTAACTCCTGGAAAGTAAAAATGTATGCAGTGTGTATCAACCAGATTGAGAATCTTCATTCAATCTAGGAAGATAACAATTGGCCATGATAGAAAGCAAATTTCTCCTTTTAAAGGGTTCAAGTGAAAATTAATGTATGAAAAAAACAAAACAAAACATGATACATTTTTTGTTATATCTTCCAAAAAGACCTCTTCTAGTGTTTCTGTGTAACCACTGATTATCAGGCTGGGACAATCTGAAAAATTGCATGGCTTCTGGGAACAAGAATAAGCCATTTACAGCCCTCTAAAGCAAACAAAGCACATTCTTATGTCCTTCCTTGATAGTGGAGACCTTTATGGAAAGACTTTTAAAGAGAAGGTCTACTTGGCCACAGATATTGCAAAAAGTGTCATGGCTATTATGCTGGAAGCACATCCAAACATTCATGATCATCACTCCATCTCCATATTGGAAGCCCAAGTGAAGCCCTTTTATCTCTAATTCAAGTACACACAAATGTTTAGTACTTGTGCATCATAACATTTTGCTCCATTTAAGTTACACTGTAGGTTTTTCTTTGATAAGAAATATCACTTTTAGTGCAGTGAAATTCTGATGTCTACTACAATTGTGTTTGTCTTTCACATGTTTGTAGGAAACCACAAGAAGATGCTCTTAGCCACTGGTTACAAGGCTGAAAACATCAAGGATTATCGTTACTTTGATAAAGCAACAAAAGGTTTGGATTTCCAGGGCATGTGGGAAGATTTAGAGGTGAAAATGCAACATAATAATTTTTGTGCTATAGAAACTAAAGTTATAGATAGAGCATTTTTTTTTTTATCTTAAGAGGGAAGAGGTTGGGGTCTTAGATGGTAAAATGCTTTGAGAAAAGTAAAGAGCAAAGAGCAGACTAGTGTGAACAAAGTTGAAAGTTAAGTATTAGGGACAGAGTTGCATGGAAAGGTCTGTTCAGACCTATCTGGCAATTCTCTGGGTTACTGAAACGACTTTGAACAAAAATTATGTTTAATGATTATGGGTTTTCAATGCGTTACATCTTTGAACCCTTCCATGTGAATAGAAATTGCTAATCAGTGCATTTTTAGCTACAGTGCAAATGTAAAGTATGTATTAGAAACTGTGCAAAACTACTTGCGCATCTGAACATCAATTCTGTCGGAAAGAAAGACATACTCTACTATAAATGAACTTAGATGGAAGAAGATGGCTAAGAATTAAGTTGAATGAACTTCAAAAACTTATCCTCTATTTTGCTTCCACTGTTTTTTCCAGAATGCTCCAGATAACTCAATAATCCTGCTTCATGCCTGTGCACACAATCCAACTGGAGTAGATCCCGACCAGGAACAGTGGCAAAGGCTTGCTGAGATAATGAAGGTATTCTAAACTACTTATTCACATATTAATCAGGTGTCCCAAATAGTTTAAAAATGTGTTAGTCATAACACATTCATATCAAATACATGCCTATGTAATTGATAAGAATATTTGATGCTTAAGCTGTTCAGTGTGTTGTGCTTCTGTCAGGGAACGTGGATGGTACAGCTGGTCAAGAGAGCTTGTGCCTTGTTATCCTATCAGTTAGCTCCCCTGAGTACTGTGGTACAACTTGTACTGGGTACTTGGTACAACCCCCCTTAAAAAGAGTATTTCAAAATTTTGAATTGATGCTTTGAAGAAACACTCCATTGCTGCGTCTCTTCTTATTCTTATGTTACTTTATAATTTAATAGTTACTTAATGGTGCATTTGGTTTTTTTCTTTACTTTTTTCCAGAGAAAAAAGCTGTTTCCCTTGTTTGACATAGCTTACCAAGGATTTGTGTCAGGTGACCCTGATGAGGATGCTTGGGCTGTACGCTACTTTGTTAGTCAAGGATTTGAAATGGTCATAGGACAATCATTTGCCAAGAACTTTGGATTATACAGTAAGTACTTGTGGCAGGTGGTTGACTGTGTTTGTAATTGATACCTTCGTAATTTCACAGTGCCAGGTATCAATGCAGGGATACTCTGATGAGTGGCTGTTAGGCAATAGCCTGGTTTACCCCATCTTGGGCTACACTTGTTGTGGAATGAATTTTAAAGCTATCTTTGCAATAATGAGTACCACTTTAGCAGTAGTGAAATCAAGACCTGAAAAAAACTAAGGCCTGTATGGGATTTGAACCTATGACCTCTGGGATACTGGTGCAGTGCTCCACCAACTGAACTAACAAGCCAACTGGGAGCTGGTCATTATGTTGGTTGGTAAGAAACCCATGATGAATAGTGACTGTAAATATATGAAATCATATATGTGAACTGTTGTTCACAGCAGCAGCCAACTGAAAATTGTTCATTGGCATATGCTTCCCTATGAAATGTGAATAGGGGAAAACATGAATAATGAAATGGCCTTACATGTATGACCCAGGGCTTAAAGGGGTTTTTTGAAGATAGACATAGGTTTATGTAATTACCTTAGAAACAGCTTTTGATGGAAGCTAAAAGAAAGATTACTATTTAAACACTGAAAATATAAATTTTAACTAAAGTATTTGTTCAAAATGCTAATTTTTCTTTGCAGATGAGAGGGCAGGTCATACATGTGTGGTGACAACAGATAATGAAACAGCTGAACGTATTCGTAGCCAGCTCAAGGCAATCATCCGCCCAATGTGGTCAAATCCACCCAATCATGGTGCACGTATTGTAGCAACCATACTGAACAACCCAGCCCACGCTGCCGAATGGTAAGAACGATCTGTTAGCTGAGAGCCAAAATTTCATCACTGTGAGTGTTAATTCATTTTTTCTCATGTGGATCAATTTTCTCGTTACTTACATTGACCAGGAGGAAGGGGAAGATTTTCCAGGAGTCTGGCACTAATTAGCAGTGCCAGATTCCTTCCAGTTTTGCCAGAAATCTCTGGTGATTTACCAAAAGGACATTTCTTATTTCAGATATGTTAATTAATTTGATATTTTGTAACTTTTAGGCGTGAAACTTTAAGGACGATGGCTGGGCGTATTTTAGAGTGCCGAAAACTCCTTTACAACAAGCTGAAAGAACGTGGAACACCAGGAACGTGGAACCATATTGTGGACCAGAAGGGAATGTTTGGATTTACAGGATTGAATGGTGAGTGGTTTTGTTATATGATTGCATGGTTTGCATAAATGGAGACTTCTGCAAACCTTTGGTTAAGGTTATGAGTTAAGTGTCCCATTGCTATTGGAACCTGTCCCACTTTTACTTGTTTTTTTTCTTTCGTTGTTGTTTTTGTTGTTTTTTTTGTTGTTTTTTTTTCCGCATGAAAGGAGTAGGGTGCTCTAACTGGAAGTCTGTAGTTCTAAAAGTCTAAAAGTCTACCTAAGCCGTGGCGCATACAGTCTGGAATACCAGTCCATCGCAAGGTTACTCCTCAGCTTTCTCTCAGGCTTCCCAGACAATTCACTGGTCCCATTTGTATTCCTGGGTGGAAAAAGGCACTGTGAGAGGAAATTGTATTGCCCAAGAACACAACACGGTGGCCAATTTACATTATCAACTACATGTAGTTGATAAAACCAAATTATATATTGAAAGAACTTAAAGGCAGAACTTCCTTAGTTAAGATAATTTGATAAGTACAATTTTTCAAGGGAGTTGTCAGGGGCTGTAAAGGTTACAGGTTCTCTTTGCTGATATCTTCAGCGAACAGTTTTTCGTAGCTCTTCTTTAGGTTTGCTATCTAAGTCAATCAAGAAGTGGTGAACTCGAACCTTCATGAACATCAGTTAGCGCGCGCAATTTAAAATGTCACTGAAAAGAGTTTTCAAAAAATTTTTATTATTGTTCCTGTGAAGATACAAGAATTTCCTTTGTTATTCGTGATTGCATTCTTCATGATGCAGCAATTCACCATTTTGACATCAAGGAAGATGTCTGGCAACGTTTAAGGGGAGTTAAAAAGGTTTCATGGCACACCAGGAAGTCCTTGCAAATCTAGATTATCTACTGCGAGACAACTTTCAGAGCGGTTTAACTGAAGTACCAGTAGAAACAAGCGTGATTTCAAATGATCATGTTGTGTTTCTCTGCAGTAAAACAAGTGGAATTCTTAGCCAAGTCTTACCACATCTACTTGCTGAACAGCGGACGGGTAAACATTTGTGGGATCACTCACCATAATGTCGACTACATCGCTGAGGCGATTCATGAAGCTGTCACCACAGTTACCGACTGATCAAGTCTATAGCTTTTGGTTGCTGGTTATTTTTGTTGTTGTGAAAGCTAATCTGTGTGAAACCTGCGTGCGTGCTGACACATCATTCACGCCAGTGTGAAATCGCCCAAGAGGTATTCGTGTGAATGGATAAAGCTGACAGTCATCTCATAATTTAACGATTTGTATTTACAAGGGACAACGTTTGTCAATCAGACAAACTGAAATGCGGTGTGATCACTTATATTTTAATCGTCCGGTCAATTGTGGCTGATTTTATTTACAAAGGAGGGTCTCATTTGTATTAAAATTTCCCTACTGGGTGAAATATCAATAAACCTTTCACCTTCAATACAAAGTTGTTATAGCCATTGTCAGGGCGGAGCCTGTAAGCCGTTCAGTGATGTGATGCAGGATAAGTGTTGTGATAATTCTTGACTCCAAAAAACCCACTTATTATAAGGGTGCAAAAAAGACAGGGTGAATGACATGGGAAGGGCGTTGCCTCCATGAGAGCTCTTCTTGTGCAAATTCAAATGTTTTGAGTAATATGAATTTTCCAATTTGTTCAGGCAATTTCTTGCGCGGCACTTCGTTAATTACCATTACTCTTGCTCGCTCAATTTTAATTTTACCAGCTCATGGGCATAAATGTTACCTATTAGTTCAATAGAAGTAATATTCAATAATTATCTTATCCTCACTTCGTGTTTGCTACAATAAAAACATATCGCGTTTAACTGAAAAATGCCCATGAAATAACATCATAAGAATCTTTTTACGCCCTGAAATATGGGGTCCTCATGTTGAAATAAAAAGACGTACATATCAGTAGATTTGCAGGTTCCTCGTGAATCCTTTCGTAGTGCTTTGTTCTCTGTCAACAACATCTCTGCACACATTTTCGGGCACTCCCAGTCTCTTGTTGGCGAGACATGCCTTTAAGTTGGCTCATGAATAATACCGTAAAAAAAAAGTCCAACGCAGCCAGCTAGACAATCAAATTGGTGAAACCGGCATTTTACCCTCATCATATAAACAAATCCCCAAATTTCAAAATGTAGTAGTTGTAATTACCATAGTTGGCCTAGATTGGTTGTGAGCGCTCCAATCAAGCATGTTAAACGTACCCGAACAAAGAGAAAATCACAGAAATTACAACGAAAACCTTAGTTGATGTTAGCAAGGCAGTAGCGTTACATAAATCGTAGTCGCAGCAAGTGATATCACAGTTTTCGGCTTGGCCAATGTACTTGCAAGCCACTGTGTTACAAAAATCTGCTACAAAACATCCTCGCTCATAAACATCAAACCTTTTTCCACGGATGTCGAATGTTGACCTTGTCTTGGCGCAAACATCTAACCATGGCTCACAAACGTATTTTGTTCGACTTGCATCACATTGAGTCCAGTTCGAGGAAGAATAACATGTATAACATGTCAAAGATAAACCTAAAATAATAATTTTAAAAAACTCAGTGAGCAATTTGATCCTCAAATATGAAAACGTCGAGACCTAGAAAATATTTCCAAGACAAAAAACAGAAAAGGAGAAGACTATGAACAGAATTCCGTCATGGATTCTTCAAGTATCATAGTATATATCTCCTTTTACGTAAGGTTAGATTCTCATTACCTGATCAAGGTAAATCTATACTGACCAGTAAGGTGAATACACATATCTCGCTCATTTAGTGAAGTTATGAAAACGGCCACCTGCCTTCGTTGTGACAGTTTTTAGAGTATTCAGGTTAATATGGACAGTTTAAAACTAACATGCAAATTTGGCTGAAGCGTAAATAAATTTTTATTTCATCGCATCTATGCATCAATATACAAAAAGTGGAATTGACTTTAATATCCCTATGTTATCTTGAATTTTTGAAAGATGAGATCTTGTAAGAGACAGTGAGTAAGGTCATATCTGGTGCTGGTGTGAAAATAACGGTCGTGAGCCTGGATAATCTGCATCAGTATCACCCTCAGTTTTGCATCCGAGATAAAAACTTGTTCCGTAATTATGATTAAAGAGTATCGACCTCAGCAAAGGTCTTCCACATGGGCATCATTACTATTTAGCTGTTGAAATCATACCTTAAGCCATATCGATTAATTGACCAAGACGTATTATAGAAGGACAGTTATTAAATGCCTTACAAACTATTGTTTCGACGACATGCTGTTAATCTCTGTGGTAGACTCTTCAATCCCCACGGTATCTCCATTAAACATGTATTTATGGGTTTTTAACAGGCCTTGACTTCAATGTTAAGTGGCATGAGAAACATAAAGTGAAGCTATCATTTAACTGTTCCTTCAAGTCGGTAGAGATTGTTCTAGGCCGGCTTCAGCGCTTAAAACCGATGAAGAAAAAAAACAGTCCTTCGATGTAGATTAATTAAGTGATGAAGGCTTACACTTTACCTTGTGCATTTGGAGAATTGAAAAAAAGGTAATATGGTGCAACCTTCATGGTCGCGACCATCTAGGTTTTTTTATTGAAATGCGGAGCTATAATAATCTTGAAATTCTCTTCACAGTGCGAGAGTTACATGTCCGTCCTTTACATATTTATACAGTAAGTCTTTCATTCTCGATCTTTATTCTATTACTTACCAACTTGTACAGTCGCAGAAAAGAAAACATATTTAACCAGGTCATGCATGTTAACTTGCGAGTAGAAATTTCTTCTTCTTTCTTTCACGGTGGATGTTGAAACCGGAAATATTCTGCGGGTTTTGACAACGCCTAACGCTGCATGGTCTCCTGACCCATCAATCCTTGCGCAGTATTTTCGGCAGAAAGTCGTCGTTGCTCGCAGCAGATAATCGTACCCGAAGAGTTTCCGACGAATTCTATTGGATAAGCAGACTCTTGAACATGTTTGTCGGAGGAGTTTATTATACTCTAACATAATTAGCCACCAATTGCATAGACAAGAAACAAGGAGTGGGAAATCACCACAAGCACTTTAAAAACATAATGAAAACATTAAATAAAAAGGGAGGAAATATTCTTCGCATTGTGGGATTAAATAGCTCAGTGCGGGAACATGAATGATGAAACTAATCCCGAGTTCTAATTGGCCACCTAAGCGAGCAAGATGAACTATCTTGGAACACAAGTAACACAACACCAGATAAAATTTAAGTTGACCAGAATATTCGTTATAGAGTGCTGTGTTATGTGTAAGACTTGTAAATAAACAAGGAGGAATTCGACTGTTAAATTTTTAATGTGACTTAAACAGAAGAGTATTGTTACCTAACAATCATCAATAACCCCTTACTGACGTTTTATACAAATGATTTTATCTGCTGTTTTGTAAAACTTAATTATTCGCCCATGGGGAAACTTTTAATCGAAGCGGCAGATGATAAGTTTCTTCTCATGCAACAGCCATCTTCATTTGCCATCAAGCCTTTTTTATGAATGAATTTTGAATGCATTATGGATAAATTTTAGAAAAAAAATTTTAAATTTATTGTAACATTATTTTTCGTTCTTGTCAACTAAACTCCAAACGGTCGTTAATGCAAATAATAATCAAGGTGGGTGCATAGTTATTGTATTTGTGTTGTTAGATCAAAACAAATTTAATACTTTTATATCTGACATCCCTCTTCAACCGTTGATATAACGCTATGGTGCGTATCAGCGCAAGTTAACAGTACATCGGTAAGTAACCGTAGAAAATCAACTTTCTCTTGCGACGTCATGATTTGTAAGTTTTTGCATTAAATAATTAAACAAAAGTAGGAACCTAAATTCAAATTATAACTTACTCACAGTATTAACTTACATTTCAAAATCAGGAAAAGAATTCGATCGTAACTGAACGAACTTATGTATGGTGACATAACACTTAACTCTTTCCAAACTACTTTGCCTTCGTTTACAAGAGTTAACGTCCTTTTTTATTATTATTCCCGTCTCTTGGGTCTTTTGTAAGAATGCGGGCTGAAAGTTCATTCTAAAACTCATCATTTAATCAGAATTATCCTTGATGTTTTCCAAAAATACTCGCCCTCTTCTAGAACGTCTTTGAATGGCAGTAGCGTACAGGCGCTATATTACTATTAGTTTGCGATGTTATCTTATTTATATATATTTGAAAATTTTAATCAAGGATTTATTTAGTTTATGGTTTCGTTTCTCTTAGTTCTAACAAAAGAAATTGGCCATCAGCTTAAAACTACCATGTCCTCAAAGTATCGGAATGATTTATGGAACCAGAATGCTTGTGTGCTTCTTACACTTTTGTTCATGGTAAGATTTAGTTATATCTATTTTCGTGAGGAATTAAGCGATGGCCTTACCTCATTACACAAAATGAAATTCAATTTGGATTCTCTGAATCCAAAACTGTTAAGTCACTGGCAGCTTTCTCTGCCCTAAATAAAAGTTTAAGTCAATTATATCCCGAATTTGACTAGATTACTCGAGTATTAGAAGGGTTTCAGTGCAAAAGTTTATCAGACTATGCTTATGTTATATGTTATAAATATTTTATTGTCATCGACAAGGTCAAATCACCCTCGTCGCTCTGAAGTCAGCATGTGACCTCTGTAGTTTAGTGTTAACAGTAAGTACTTATTTTCATGATGCTTGCCGTCAACAATCTGGGAATGTTAAGGGTTATATCTTGATAGGAGGTATTTTGGAAAGCCTCTAGAACGGTATGTTTCACAGTATGTGGAAATGACCCGTCAGGGCTTTAAGCATTGCCTTCTTCAAAACGGCAGGTATATAATTCTAATGTTGCGCTAGGTTAGAAGGTATCTCAACGATAGAATGTCTTTTATGGTCTTTTGCAGTTCATCGAAAGTGGAAGTGCTTTTCAATTTACTGGTAACTTTCTAACTGTATACAAAATATTAAATATCCATAATGAGTAATCTTTCATGGGAGAGGAAACGGCATTTAAGGCAAAAGCTTAAGGCGAAGGAAAAAGATGAGAGGAATTCATGGTCTCTAAATAAAGGGCGTTATGTCATCTTTAAACAATAAACTGAACTTGCAACAGGTGCTCAATGACTGATTTTTGCCAATCATCTTTAAGAGCACTGAAACAAGGCTGACGTCAAGGAAAAACGTTTTCTTTGTCTCGTTCAAAGGGGTTTATATTTTATAAAATAATTGCGAGACTTTTGAAATTAAATCAAGAGTAGATCTCCATTAAGTTTAGGAGGAGCTGTTAACAACCCCCAAAAATGGAAAAAACCTTTAACCACTTAAGCGCCACGAGGCTGTTGATCATATCAGCCAAATCAATTTCCGATGGAGAGTATCTCGATGCCATTATGGGTCAAAGAAGATCGCACGAATAATTGCGATGAGATTATCAGTAACAAACTCGCTTGCAGCTGATCTGCCGGCCCTTGTTTATTTAGCGGGGAGCCCACAAAAACTGGTTGAGAGTTTGAACATTTCAGTCCAAGAAATGGTTGGAAATTTCGAAAGACTTCTCAACACAGTGTTAAATTGCGATCAATATTCTTGGGTGTTATCGAAAAAAAGGTTGATCTTACATGGAATTCTAGTTTGCTACCGAATCCTTGAAATGACAAAAATTCGTCGTCCTCAACACAGAAGCATAGAGCATTCCAAGTGAAATCAATTTTATTATGATAATAATGGGAAATACTCTTATCGATCTAATCTGGTGATATAAAGGCTTTGCAACATATTAATACAGCTCTGTTTATTCTCCGTTTGTCTGAGTTTCCTGAGGTTTGTTCCTAAGGTATAACTTATGTGTTAAATCTCATTCAAAGATTTTGACATTATTTATTGTCAAACTGAACATGCGCAGCCAGGAATGTCTGATTGTTTCATCCATTTTAATGAAATTTATTCTCAGAAAACTGTAACTCTGCATTGGGAATGGAAAACTTTGAAATCCCTTCAGAATCTCTTCAAGCCTCCAGATCAACGGCGCACTGGGAATACTATAACGCCAGAATCAACGATTCAGTATCTGGCTGGTGTGTCGGTAAAGTTAGCGATCAGGAATGGCTTCAGATTCAGTTTAATGGCAATCATTACATCACTGCTGTGGCGAATCAAGGCACCCACAGAGGCTTTGTGATTGAATTCACTTTGGCTTTCAGCAGAGGACTGGATTGGTTCGACTACCACGAGAACGGCACTATCAAGGTTAGAGTCAAATCCTACTGTTAACGATCCGGCAATTAACAAAGCCTTTGTTAGCTCATTTAAAAGCAAAGGCAACAGCTTAAAGGTCATCAGGAGCCACAAGAGATCAATAGTCCAATCGGATATATGTTTTGGGTATCATTCTTTAGTGGGATTCTACGTGAGGTCCTTTTAGATTACTTTTAGGACAGAAGCCGTACCGTTATCTCTTTCATGTTGTAAAATGAATGACTTTATTTTGCTTTGTAATTCTGTATTCTCGACAGAAATTTATCCGCAATAATACAGCTGACAGAAGGGAAATTGTGATGAATAATCTCTCCTCTCCAGTTATTGCAAATATGATTCGAATTTACCCCAAGCGTTCTATTGATGACACTTGTTTACGCCTCGAAATATATGGATGCCAAGGTAAGTAAGAAAAGCCAACCATGAAGAAATGATTAGAAGAAAGCGACATCAAACGAACTAAAAAAAATTATCTATGAGAAGGAAAAAGCATTCCGATTAAGTTGTTCTTTTCGTGTTATAGGTTCTTTGTAATGTAAGTTTTTCTGTATCATTTTGAGATTAAGAAGAAAACTTAATCGTGTTTTGGTAGAAAACAATGTAGGATTGGTAAAAAAAAAGTTTTAAGAATGTTAGATAACGGGAAGTCCCTATTTATAGGCACAGTCCGTCGCACCAGTAAATAAATTGGCGGAAAAAAAAAAAGAAGTTAGCGCACCGTGCAGAATTCTGGTAGCGAGATGCACGAAATGTGTGTACTCCCAGAGCTTCTCACTTATATATTTATCCCTCACTTAAGAGGAACTACCCGTAGTCCAACATTTTTTAAACTTATTTTTCTTTTGCGTGCGACACGTCTAGCAAGTGATGTCACAAAAATACATCGAACAGTGCTCACACCACAACACAATAGCTAGTCATTGAAAGGTCGTTAAAGAGTAATGTGGGTGGTTAGAAATCTTGCTTGGATACGATGAAGTCCGTTTCGTTGCAGCTTGTTTTAACCCATTTGGCATCGCGGATGACGCAATTCCTGATAAATCTATGACGTCATCGTCAAACCTTGGAGCTGGTTTTGAGGCATTTCATGGCCGACTGAACCGCGCGTCAGGTAATGGTTCCTGGTGTAAGGGAAAGCTTGATATATCGTCATATCTTCAGATTGATCTCGGAAACAGGTTTCAGGTCAGCATGATAGCCGTGCAAGGAAATCGTCTTTACGAGTGGGTAACTGTTTTGAAGAAAAAAATAAACTGCAGGTAAGTGAGTTTATTCTTTATTGCTTTTCTGTCAGTTAAACCGCTCTACCTAATGATTTTTGATGGTTCGCACATTTAACATACCTACTTCTTTGGTACGGCGGCATTTAAGGAGCGTTTGGTCCAGTCATGTTCCGTAATTTGGCGAGATGCAGTCAAGCCAAATTAAACATGGATACATCAAACAAGCCTGATGTACCGCCAAAGCATACCAACTTGGACCCGTATCTGGTGATGTTCTTAGCGCGGCAGTTACGTTAAAAAAATCTGTTAGGTATTCTAGAGGGTGGCCCGCGGGGAGAATAGAACTAGTCAATAAATGGTGCCGTGACACGAATGCGAATACGAGTTTCCTTCCGGTACAGCGAGCAACGCGATCAATCGTGTATATACAAAAATTATCTGTCAAACCTCAGCAACAATGCCGAGGGCATTTTAAAAACTAGAAAAATTCAGCAAATTTTACTGCAAGTCTTATCTCGAGGGAACCAGCACATAAATAGTGTAGTTGTCTTCAACTGCATGCGTCCAGCCGTTTAAAGCCAGTTGAAGGAACTCTCGAAAACAGAGGTAAAGTTTACATTTATGTTGACATTTTCAACCGTTCCTGTACAAAAAGACCACTCGGAGTTTCATTACTCTTCAATGAATTCTATGAAATGGTGGCGTTGAGCACATTGCGATGAGTTAGTTAGATGGGTGTAGTGCTTTCTCTAGTAATGTGAAGTATCTTTCTCTACACTAAAGCAGTTCTGAAGAAATGAAAGGAGAGCAAAATCTCACCGCCGCCAACGGAACGTCAGCTAGCGTAGCTTTAGCGAATAACACAAGTGAAAACAGTTCAACTACTATTGCACCAAACGTCACCACGATCAACAGCACTTCATCGAACTTCACAAGTGGAAATATGTCATCTGTTAAAACAGAAAATGTTACATCCGTTAACAGTCAAGGAAATGTTACTCTCAACTCTACTGGACATATATGTTTTAAAAAAAGGATAATTCGTTCTAAAGCGTTTGTGAAATCGTTTACTCTTCAGTACAGTGACAATGGTGAACTTTGGAAGACTTACCACGAAGGAGGGAATGTCAAGGTATGTGTGCTAATAACATGTCGAGTCCTGGAACTCACCCAATCACACTGCAGCTTTGTGGGAAGCTGCTTGTATAAATCAAGCTCCTGAAACCTTTGTGGTCGATTAGAATCAGTTAAATGGGAGCATAAAGCAGATTATCTCAAATTAACTAGTGGTATTTTTGTTTGAAAAAAAGTTTGTCGTCGAGCACTTTCGCCCAAACAAGCATTCAAATGAATTTTATTTTCATCCATTTTGTAGATATTTGAAGCCAATAATGATGCCAATACAACGGTAACACTTAAAATATCAAGTCTCTTAATCACTCGCTACATTCGAATAGAGCCTACAAGTTGGAAGAAAGAGGCCTGTATGCGTGTGGAGGTCTACGGTTGCAAAGGTATAGTAAACTAACTCCACTCTCTCTTTGGGAGTGACCAGAAGCTCTGAGAGTTAAATTTTTCATCCCCGATGAGTAGTTCCAAATGGTAGCCCCGGTTTCCATGAAAGATCACGTGGGAGTGCTGTGCGTGCTGTACATTTCATGTCTTTCAAAAGGCGAGATTGCATCTCTGAGATCTTTACGATTTCTATATCACGATTTTGCCTCCTCGCTTTTTGTATTAAAACCGTTCTTACAATAAGAATATTATATACACTTTAATTTAAGCTGGTCTTTATGTATCCTGATTGTGTTTCCAAAATGTCAAACGAGAAAGTATCTGGTGAATGCAACAAAAGACTCGTCTGACGTAACTGTAAAGTCAGACGTCTGTAGACACACAAACGTAATATTTTGTCCGTGTTACTGCACGGATAATGATGGAGTCAAAGTTAGCAGCATGAATTTTCCACAAATCACGAGCAAAATCAATCCTTTGATTTTTGTCCTTGATATCATTGCGTCCAACCTTGAGGAAGTCAGCCTAAGCTTTGTGCAACTGGCTCAAATATCTCTGCTTTTTGTTTTCTCTCTATATAGAATGCACAGGCGACCTGGGTGCCGGTTCAGGCGTAATCCCTAACAAGGCTATGACCGCCTCCACCAACTTGGGTCCAGGCTATCAAGCCTGGCTGGCACGGTTGTATAATCCACACGGAGCCTGGTGCTCAGCAACGAATGATGGAGATCAGTATCTTCAGATCCAGTTTCCACAGGTTCGCAAGGTTCGTCAACTGGGAACGCAGGGTTCTGTTGTTAAGAAAGGATGGGTGGCAAGATACTTGGTTAATTACAGCCAAAATGGAGAGGAATGGAAAGAGTATACGAATCTCAAAACAGTCGAGGTAAGCCATGATGTCATAAAACTATGGTTTGGAAAATAAAAATGAAAGACGCATGTAAGTATGAACACATCAACAACGGTTATAAACACATCAACAGCGTTTGAGCCCATAAAGAGTGATTTCCTTTTATCAGTAGTGAAATTTAAGGTCGCAAAAACTGATTGAATTCCCTCTCTGAGGAGCTCCAACCAAAGTATAGAACTTTGCTTCCTCTTCTCAAAGGCTCTTTTTTTCATAGATATTTGATGGAAACGTGAATGAACACGAAGTTGTGATAAAAAACTTTGTACATCCTTTTGTTGCCAAGTTTGTCCGCATCCGACCTGTAGCGTGGCATAATGCTATCTGCCTGAGGATAGAACTCTACGGCTGCCCAGGTAACGTTTCTTACATAAAATCATGGCTAGGGGAATCAAAATCCCTTTGGAGGAGGCTGGCTGTCCATTTTATCTCAATTTTGTATTTTCTGAAGTAACTAGAAGCCTGGTTACCACCTCTCTAAGATGGAATGCAAGTATTTGAAAGGTTACCCAGCATTTCGCTAGGTTTCCTTAGCCATTCTGTGGTGCCAGCGCGTGTTTCTGAATGAAGAGAGAGGCTCTGTTTAAATAGGGTTTTGTTCCGTTGATCTTGTCCAAGAGCTCAACATAATGATCTTGGCTGGGCCTCGAACTTCGTTCTTTTGATCTTTTTGATCTGTTGTCCATCGCTAAGTGTTTGCCCCTGAGACTCTCATAACCACAGCACCATAACAAAGACTAAATTGGCTCGGATTTAGTCTTTAGCACAAATACGGGCGCAAACCAACATACACAGTTTCATAGAGCTTTTATTGAGTGTATAGTGATAGAGCTTGTCCAATTGTGATTATGTCTCCTTGACGATTAAAAATAATGGCGAAACATGTGACAGAAAGCATAGTGAAATAGAATAGTTACCTTTATTTACACAGAAGAGGGGGAAGTGATCGGAAAAAACACCCGCAAAAGCTTTTTGAAAGGGATTTGTGTTGATATAGGGTAATTTGAAAGTACATTCATTCTACTGGCTCTATCTTGTCTTGATCATCATAAGACTTAGGATCTTTCGATGACTTTCCCTCGTAGCTTGTGACAATCCTTTAGGTATGGAAGCACATGAAATTTGGGACGGAGACGTAACAGCAAATAGCCACAGAAGTCTTTATGAACCATACCGAGCTCGGCTTAATGGCGCCAGCGGATGGCAGGTCCAAAGCGATCGTTCTAACTCTCCCTTCATTCAAGTAAAGTTGGGGAGTGGTGACTTCACGCTTACAGGGGTGGCGACACAAGCCGTGCATAGCAATCTAGTCAAGTCCTATACCCTCTCGTACAGTTACGACGGCATAGATTGGGTGGATTATCGAGAAGATGGAAGAGTTAAGGTATTTTAACGTCCTACTTTCATAAAATTACAAATTTGGTGAGTTCAGAAGGGGAGGAGGGGGTAATGGTCAATTGATGCATGTACATGCCGTTACTGTCTTTTAGTCAAGTATTACATCGTTCAGAATCATTGACATTTTTGCTGGCATATAGATGAAAAATTTTTTTTTGAAAAAAAAAGTTTACATTCGTAGAATATCAAATACTTTCACTCTGAGAATATATTTTCTTGAGCAGATCTTTGAGGGAAACAACCCCTCCACCAAGACTGTAAAGCACGAATTACTCAGGGAGGTCATTCCTCTGTACATCAGATTAAATGTGAAGGATTCAACGGCTACATACGCAGGACTTAAATTAGAACTTTATGGCTGCAAACGTAAGTACATAATTTTTCCTGTAATTTGTTCTGCGGTGGCTCTCAGCTCTAGAATTCGAAGTACGAGACAGCAGATCTACTGATTGTTCCACACTTGAACTATTCCAAAGACTGATGGTGATCGCGGTGATTTCTAAGAGCGAGTCATCTTTCCACGGTCTTTTTAGTTTAATTGGCATAGATGAACGGTATCTTGTAACAGTTTGAGAACTGAACTCCAGCATGGGTGTTCACCTTTCTTTAGTGGGCTCTCAAATTCATTAGGAATAATACTATCACCTTAAGACTCTCTCGAGTTTTATTAAGGAGCGCCCGTCGGCGTTATAATGTAGCTACAGTTTACCCAGCACCTCTCTTTGATTTAGTTGGAAATGGATGGGTAGAGGGTAGTGAGAGAAAGGCAAGAACTTTATTATTTCTACCCTTCTTCCTTTCGCCCATAAAATCTTTTTTTCTTCCCAATATCCGTTATGTAGGGATTCCAATATAAAGACCAGGTATGTTGCGATTAGGTCGTCGCGTTCCGAGCGGCGCTCGCCAAAAAAATTGCTCAGGGAAGCAGCCGGTTTCAATCATGTCGAGCGAGCATGGGAATCAACTCCGGGATTTGTTTGCGCGTTATATAATTACAGTGTGAAACTGTTGTAAATACTTGTGAGAAATTTTTATTGTTTTCGTTCAGTGTAAAGCACCTATATGTATATTAACAGGTTGACAGGAAGAGTGGGTTTTGTAGATATCAAGAAACAATTGCTGGAAAATGATAGGGACGTATTGTGGAGGCGTTCAATTATGTTCATTTAAGAAAAAGTTGAGTTAATTCGTTTTACAGGTTACGTTGTTGTCAATAACAACGATGCTATTGGTCGTCCAACATCTCAATCTGGAAATCTGACAGACACCTCTGCGCTTGCAATCGATGGCAACAGAACTAATTACGCGGCCAGTTCCTGTTCATTTACCGGCGAAACCGAGATACCCTGGTGGCAAGTCTATCTGCAGTCAACGAAGACCGTAACAGGAGTATTTATCGTAAACCGTGGCGACAAAAACTACCGAGAGGTCACAGAACTATCAATTAGAGTCGGCTTTATACAGAACAGAGGAGGAATTGGAAACCCGACGTGTGGTGGACAGACCCATTTTTTCTCAAGAGGCGAATCCAGATTGGTTTCCTGTGTGCCGGAAGTGGAGGGCAGATTTGTAACCATATTTGCCCTGCAAGTCAATTCATCGCTTAGCCTATGTGAGGTGGAAGTTGAAATAAGCGATATAGGTTAGATTGTCAGTTCTTTATCTGGATTAATTACATCGTAATTGATAAAATTACACCATATCAGTGCTGAAGGAAACCGATCGTCTGCCGGTGACAGCAGACGCTGCTCGAGGGCAAAGGTTGCTATGTTGTTACTCGTGAAAAAATCCTTGAGTAATTCACCTCAGACTGTCTTAGTGTTAGTCAGTGTAGGAACGAGATTAAACACAGATAACGTAACAAAACCTTTGCATGATACCCACGTGAATTGCTACGACCTTAGAAAGAGTTGTCATTTCCCATTAATTTCAGATTCAAATAACTTTTACTCCGTTCCTATTCAATGCGGAAGATCAAGTGATTGCAAAGCAAAAACTCAAGGAAGGATGCATTTGTACTATTTAAACGATTTTTTGATCAACATTGACAACCAACAATATTAGACAAAACAGCTTTGACTTTATCCACGCCTCCCCTTTCTTCGTATTCTTTGTATAACTAAAAAGCACAGATCGGCATTATTGTGGCTGTCATAGTTTGCAAACTCTTGTCTTTTCCAAACACCGCGTCCCCGTAAAATGCCAATGATAGTTTATTTCCTTCTTTTGTGCATTAGTCAGTCAAGAAGGTCTGGGAATGTTCTCGGATCGTATCCCAGATGATCGCATCACTGCCTCGTCTTGGCTCAGCGCCAAACATCGACCACATTATGGGAGACTGGACAGGAACATAGGCCACGGAGCGTGGTGTAGTGCGCGGAACGACGCTCAGCCTTATTTGGAAATTGACGTGGAAATCGAACACATAATCACTGGTATTATTATCCAGGGTAAACATCGGCTGTCCTCCGATAAGCTCGGATTTGCTTGGGTAACCGAGTTCTTTCTGTCTTTTACCGCCAACCGGGAAAACTGGACTTTTGTTACCGATGTGAAAACCAGCCAACCTATTGTGAGTAAAATCAGCCGTACGGAAATGTCTTATTTAAAGCTAGTTTTGTTTCAGGATTTACAGCCTGGCAAGGCTTAGACAGCGCGTCTGCTTTTCCTTAATAACAGAAAAAATATGCCACAATTAGCCCATAGCCCGCGAGCAGGCCCTCATCATCAACCCTGCAAGACACTCGTTTCTCCTTCCTCGGCAAGATTTTAGTCGAATCAGTAAGTGCTTCGACGAGGGTCCGGCACTAATATCAGTGCTGGACTTCAAAACCTCATACTTTCCACGGCCGAGGAAACGCTGGTGCCGAATGCGTAATAAAAGGGGCCTGTTCATATGCTTGTAATGTTCAAAAAGCAATCGTTACTTTGCAGTCATCACTTAATATAAAGAGGTTACTACCTAACTCTTATCACAGTCTTTTAAGTCTCTCAGTTGTTGGTCTTAATGTTGAGGTCTCTTCGTATAGTCACTGATTTCATTTCTCGAATACAGGAACTTAAACAAGAGAGGATTGTTGAAACCACCTTTTCGTAATTTTCCTTTAAGGCGTAGCATCTATTGAACAAAATTGGTTTTTATTATAAAGAATAATACTTTCTTCTTTTGCTAACAGTAATGATGATAATTGGACTAAGCGCTCTCTGAACGATTGACGAAGATTTTAATGGTCGCTTACTATTCGCTGTTGATTTCTCGTTTCAGAAATTTCTCGGAAATGATGAAGTTAATTGGAGAAAAAAAATCGGACTGCTCGGGTTTACTGGCCGCTTTATTCGCTTTCACCCTGAGAAGTGGATTAACTTGCCTTGTCTTCGGGTGGAGCTCTTGGGAACTAAAGGTGTGTTCTTTTACTGGGATATAAAGTCAAGTACACTGTTGAATCCAGCGGCCCGAAATACAAACTTATTAATCTGGCTTTGTGTTTCGATCATTAGATCAGATTACTGTAAATTTGTTTGCTGAGATCATTAACCCATCTACTTCACCTTAATCGTTTGCTCATTATAATTGTCGTTTGTCCTTCGGCTGTAGCTAATGTTCAGATAGTGGGGCAAAAAGTCGACATAAAATGAATTTAAGCAAAACTTCTCCAAATCAATACACATGTCACTGTTAATCATGTTTTTTTTAATCATAGTTTGTTCCGCTCCCTTGGGAATGGAATCAAGACTGATACGAAACTCGGCCATTCGTCATTCCAGTTATCATTCATATTACTATGGCTATCAAGCAAGGCTCAGAAATAGTTATTATTGGTTACCACAAAATGCGGATGAATTCGCCTTCCTTAAGATTGATTTTGGGGCTTACAAACAGCGTTTTACCGCATTGGCCATACAATCTGGGGGTGGTGGCTTTGTGACCAAATTCAAATTATCCTACAGTGTGGAGGGCTGGTCGTGGAGGAACTGGATCGAAGACGCTCGCGAACAAGTGAGTAACCTGACATAAACGTTCTCATCTTCTTTGTTTCTAAAAAGGAAGGTTTTTTGTTGATGAATCTCATTTTGGTTCCCTTTTCCCATAAGCCACTTTTTGGAAGCCATGGAAGCAGATGTGCCTTCATGACCTCGATCCAAATATTAGGGAGTTTAAGAAAACCACGACAGCAACGGGAACGGGAACTTCACTAAACAAAAGGTTAAATGAGCAGAGCAATGGCTCTGCACGTACGCTATAAATCTTTGTAAATCTCTTTGCGTCCTCTGCAAAACAACGTGAAATGAGCAAACTTTGCGTTGTTTGGAGAACGTGAACGACGACGGATAATTTTTTAAATTTCTTATTTGACGCCGTGTTCCATATTCAGTTTTGACAGTAAAAAAAACAAATTAAATGACTTAAGATTATCGCGAGATTCGTTGGTAAAATAAAAGTTCATTTTCTTAACCGGCGTTGTCCACGAAGTCGCCGTCGTCGTTTCTTAAATTCCCTATTTTCCCGTTAGGCCGCCCACTTAGTCTGTAAGTGCATGTTATTCTTGATAGAAGTTATATTGGATATTGCTCGCCATCCCAAAATCGCAATGCAAAAAGGCTCCTTGATCTGTTAGTAATTAAGGTTCTCCTTGAGATCATTGATATTTGTCATCCTTCTCTTTTCATTGCCTTCTCAGATTTTTTATGGAACTAAAAACAGAAGAAGCATCAGGAGATTTTTTTTGCCGTATTCTGTAGAAGCACGCTACTTACTAATTAGCCTTCTAGCTTATGTCGGAAGTAGGGATACTCGTATTGAGGTCTATGGATGTAAAGGTTTGTGAAAGACAATCTATCTGTCATGATATGAAGGCCAGGGATGATCTGAAGGATATAGCGACCAAAAACCTTGTTATTTCTACTGTTGCGTTACATTCCATTGAGAATTTCGTGGTATAAAGTTATTGAAACAATAAATTCAATTTTAAAAGGAGACGGATTTTGAAAACTATTAAAAATGAAACAATTTAATATTTCAAATTGGAATCGTAAATGGGCCAAGTTCATATCACTTACACTACGTCTTGGTCTTACTAAGTCCCTTAGAGAAAAACTTGGCTTAGAGTATTTTCTAACAATCCTCATCAGTCTTTTGTCCCCAGGTTTCGTTCCTAAAATTAATTATTTGAATATATAGTGAAACTCTGATACGGGGTTGATCTTGAACTAACTTGAATAAATACTGGCAGAGAGATGCTTGATGTGTGACCATGAGATGATATAATGTGAGCGCTAAACGGGCCACTTAGATCAGACTTGTGAATGAATGCACACTTGTGAATGAATGCACACTTGTGAATGAATGCACACTTGTGAATGAATGCACACTTGTGAATGAATGCACACTTGTGAATGAATGCACACTTGTGAATGAATGCACACTTGTGAATGAATGCACACTTGTGAATGAATGCACACTTGTGAATGAATGCACACTTGTGAATGAATGCACACTTGTGAATGAATGCACACTTGTGAATGAATGCACAGCGCATAAAACCTTATCCGACCAAAATAAGTTCAAGAGCGGATTTATCGATACTTAGAATTTCAAACTGCAACAGTAGACATCACTCAGTGTCCCTCTGGAATAATACTCACAGGTGGTTAATTTTAAAATATCAAGTTGCCTTCAACTGCAAGCACTAGTCCCCTGTTTCTGTAACATACAGCGACCGTCTACTCTTCTCGGTCAGGTGTCTTGTACCGTTGTTTGTTACCCATTTCCACTTCTGAGTGGAGAGGGAGGTTGAAATAGGAAAGTTCCGCGCCTCAGAACAAATCTCACACTCTAAAAAGTTATTTTATCGGTGACTTGTGCAAAGTTGTATGATTATGTCGTCTCTTGCCAGGGGATTATTCTGCCCTTACGGTGGGAGTTAAGCGCATCGACAAAATTGCCAATTCTTCTATGACCGCCTCAAGCTGGAAACCTGGTTACTACCCTTATGCAGCGAGGTTGTACGGGTCGATTGGAAGTGGTTCTTGGTGTGCGGCTGCTGCCAAAAAAGATGAATATCTGCAGGTGGATCTAGGAACACAATACAACTTGGTCAAAATAGGGCTGCAAGGTGACGCTGCATCGGGCTCAGGAGTAAAACGGTTCTACATTGCTTACTCCGGAAATGGAGGAAAGTGGACTGATTACATGATACATGGAGTGGCAAAGGTAGGAAGAGGGGGGGGGGGCCTGGGGGAGGAGGAGGTGTAGTCAAGTAAAAAGTGAACTTCACTCGAGAAATTTCAATTTTATTCATGTTGTTTTTTTGCGTCTGAACTTGTTGAAGACCAACACTAGATCTATCAATGTCTTCTAAGTATGAATACATTGGAATCAGTTGGCAAATAGTATATACTGGACAAATCACAATTTTTCTTGGGATAAAAGCATGGTCTTCCTGATCCTATTGTAAAACAACTCAATAGACAAAAGAAGACAAAAAAACATGATCATATGAAAAACGAATGAAGTTGGTGTCGTCTTGCAATCAGCACTTAATGAATGTCTTGCAAACCTTTTATTGCTTCTATTATAGTGACTTTAAAATTCGTAAACTTATCTCTGGTTCGATTTGTTTAATTGTTAATAATAGAAGGCCTTCCCGATCATTTTCTTGACTTTCAGCAATTTGAAAGTGTCAGTGGTGACTCATTACTCCGAACCGTTTTTGAACGAACTTTTATCGCGAAGATGATCAGGATTATCGTAAACAGCTGGAACAATTGGCCGTGTTTGAGAATGGAGCTGTATCACGCGGGTAAAACAATGAGATCTTCTTTTGTTCAAAAGGCGTCACTATATTGATAACTTAGTAACAATCAAAACATACACTTTTGGTTTATTCTGTGTAGGTTGTAAAAACGACTTGAGCTTCAGTCTTAAAGAAGCCAAAAATGGAGGATACACAGCATCAAGTTTTCTTGGACCTGGGTTTGAGCCATGGCGTGCAAGCATTCTCAGTTCAAGCAAACAACATGGTTGGTGCGCAGAAAACAGTTCAGCCTCAGAGTATTTGCAAATTGATCTGGGAATTCTTCATCAAGTCACTGGAGTTTTGACCAGAGGAATCGTTGCAGGGGTTTTAGAGAAGGAAGCCTGGGTGGAACAATACACGATTCAATACAGCATACTAGGAGATCACTGGATTGATCACAAGGAGGAAGACGTCGTCAAGGTGAAGTTTTCAAAGCAATAATTCAAATTTGGTTCGTTTTTCGTATGCACTTCTTTCAAAAATCTTAGGTGCAAGTGCTACGGCATACAACAACATATGAAGTCTCGGAGTGATAGTAGATGATACCTTTGAATAAAAACAATGGAAAGCTGAACCCTTTATCACTTAGCATCAGTAGGCATATTCTCCATACTTTTCTCTATGCATTTCCTAAGGTGCTGACAAGGAGAATTTAATTATTGATCCAGAGCTTCTTCAGGGGGTGATCATTTCCTTTATTTTTGTGATTTTAATGTTTAATTTAGGGGGATATTATAAAGATAAATCAGATCGTAGAAATTCTTAGAGGTTAATTATAAAATGTTAATAGCTTGAAGAAAGATGGAAAAAAATTTTAGGAGGACCTTACATTATTTTATTGATATCTTATGAGGATTTAGGGGAATTTTCAAAATATTTATAATATCGAAGGACAATGAAATTAGCCCAGAACCAACGGAAGAGGATCTCAATGGTGCGGAATCTCTAACGGTTGACCGTTGAATCTACATGTGTTAAGTGCTGGTCACCGATTTCAGTTTTGACTAATGAATAGATACTGCTCAGTGACCCATTTATTAGAAACGCTGCTTAATTTATCAAGTACCGCCACTCTTAAATACACCTTTACAATATCATTTTCCAAAACGGGAGGTGTTAAAGAGGAAAATCATCCCTAATCTTTAGCAGTAAATCTGAACAGAAGAACCTCCAACGGAATATTGACTATTGCATCATTCATTTCTTTTTTTTCTCTTGGTCATTAAACTATTGACGCTGAATTTTATTTAGAGCCTAATGAAAAGACGATGATCTTTTTTTTCGTGTAGTTGCTGAGCATAATCCTACTCTGTAAGCGACATGGGGTTTTTTTTAACGTTTTTTTTTGCTTGCACAACAGACATATGATGCAAATGCAGATGCAGTTTTTCCAAAGAGCCAGGTCACCAATTTCCACGCCCGTTTTGTTCGAGTAATTCCTGAACAGTGGCATTTTAGACCATGCATGAAGGTGGAACTCAAAGGCTGCGAAGGTGATTTTTTTATATTTTCTATTGATCCTTTTATGTGACGCGGACTGTGGAACACATCGTCAGAGTCAATCGAGGAGTTGATTATCATTCTGTTTCGTTTGAACGGATTGGTCACTATTTTTTGTCGACCTTTTTTGAGAAGTTTAGCTTCCTAAGCGCCTGCCTTGAAAGCAGGTCATGCCGTAGGGTTTGACACACTCAGTCTCATCCAATAGTAAGTTGATGTTTGTAACTTCACGTTTTCTCGTCTCGAGTTTGTATTCTGTTAGTCTTACGTTGAGGTTTCCAGTCAGGGTGATTCAGGTTGTTTAGCAGTGGATCCTTTCATCACTTTCCTTTAAATATTAACCGCGCTGTATTTGTCTTACAACGTCATTGGATCTTTTGCAAATACGAATTCCTCCTCGCCTTTTGATAAACTTTTTTCATTTAGAGTGTTCATCCCCATTGGGAATGGAGCATGGTGAGATCAACAACAACCGAATAACAACATCAACTCCTACCTCAAGATCTACTAATTCTCGACTACGCCACGGATATGAGTTTTTGGCTAGTTCCTCCTGGGACCCATTTATTCAAGTTGACTTAGGGCCGGAAAATAAACGACTGACGGCCTTTGCTATGCAAGGAAGGGATAACACTTACAATACTTGGGCCGTCTACGTGAAATACGCAATCGGGGATGGGTCAGAATGGTTTAATTATACAGAAAATGGAGAGAAAAAGGTACGATTTACTTAACGTTGTATTATATCATGAATTCATTGCGGCCAAAAAGTTTTTTTCCTTCTGCACATTTGCTCAAGTGTTATAATATTGCAGCATCAATAGATGTCCATGGGTGAGACTTGCTGCTACAATGACTAATGTTTTATTAGTGCACCATACCGAGAAATTATACACTGCTTTGTACGTTAAAAATTTCCAGGAAAAAAAAAAAAGGACAGTTAGTATCAAATTGTTTGTTCATTCATTGTTAGTATCAAAAAGACTAGAATAAATGATAAGACGTGGGAAGACCACCTTGAGTCCACGATTAGCGACCAAGACTGTATGCGAAGTCTCCTTAATGTTTCAACTTAGCTTTTATACGTTAATTCTTTCCCAGTTTTATTTTTTAGCACTGAAGTTCTTCTAACACTTTTGATTCTATTCCACTAATCGTTTAGCGCCTTACTAACGCAAATGCTTGACAGGTCAGCTGACATCGGTCAATTTGAAGAGGAATTGAAAAAAGGGTCAAGTTTAGGAAGAGACTCTTGCTACAGGATAATCCTTGAAATTAGTGACAAGAGCTTTTAAGAATGGCTGCCTGTCAGGATCGAGAATCGTCCGTCAACGACCATTTTGGTGAAATGCTCATATTTTGCTCAAAGATACCCTTTTATAAACTATTTTCAAAAATCATGTTTTTAAGTTTCAGCGATTCTTAAATTTTTATAAATTTGCCAAAATCTGAAAACGCGGTTTTCAGGCTTCCGTAGCTAAGGCTCCGCATGACGCACAGTCAAAAATTAACTGCAAAAACCAAGCCCCGTTTAAGGATTAAAATGTAATCAATCAACGCCAAACTTCACACGATATTAGGACAGCTATTCTTATTCAATTCTAGTTAATAAACTTTTTTGGGGCACATCGATTTTGGGATTATTTAAGCCCTTGAAAGAACATCCTCACAGACAGAGTAAAATGGCGGCGAAAAACGGGTGATATTTCACGCGAAAAAAATGTACCTGGTACCACATATTTTGGATTTTCAACAACATATTCGTGAAATATTGCTATTTTCCATTTACTGTGAAAAGTATGATGTCCGGAATCGCATTGCTTCCCTTCGAAAATGGCAGAAATGTTTGTGACTTTGAGTGAGAAAAATGATGCAAAGTGTGTAAACAAACAACAAGGTAATTTAATCATACTGAGTTGTTAAATCTCCAAATTAAATCCGGTCTCCACTGTGTCGGCTTGTAGCTTGGAAAATGTAAAGACAAGTAAACTGTTCCGTAAGATATTTGAAAAGGTTCTACAAAATATTTTTGGGCTAAAAATCTGCAAGTGAAGTACATATTACATTAGCACCATCTCATATTCAAGTAATGCAAAAGATACATTCGAGAGAAGCTACTTAGTAGATTAGAATTTGATTCCATGCTGATAAATAAGATATTTTTTTTATCTTTTACTTTGGGAACTCATTTTCTGTAGGTATAAATACATCGAAAGGCGACTTTTGACCTTCAAAGTAATTCAATGCAAGACGACAGTTCTTCTTATCCTTGTAATTATCAATGTCACGCAACGTAACGCCATTGAAAACGTATCGGGGGTGCTGAAACATACCCGCGTAGAAACCGCAAATCAAATAATGATAAATTAAATTAGAGAGAGAAATCCCGCACTTCAAAATGAGCCGAAAGAAATGTAGGTTGAATACTCTCACGTCCGTCAGTTTGCATGTGTCGGCTACCAGATGAGTAAACTTCATTACCGATATGAAGACCATAAAAGGAAAGTGAGGGTCAACATCGGCATAATTAAAAAAAAAAAACAGAACAAAACGGAAGAACTTCTAATTACTTTACGTGCTTTTATAAAAATGAGATAACTAGTAACTGACGAATAGAAACGAGTCACCGTTAATTCGTTTCTTCCTCACTTTTCTATTCTGCTAAACTAAAGAGAAAGTCAGCATCACGATGACTTTTGGCAAGTACATTTGCTGACAATCTCTTTCAGTAGAGCCAAGTAAGGGGACTTTTTACGCATGGGCTTTGATGGAATATCGAGGCCAAGGTCTTCACACATGTACTGCAACATGGGTAGCGTCAAGATCTTCAAAGAGTCATTTAGCGCCATTTCACAAAGATCGTACTGACCGTAGATCAAGGGATGGTCAAGTTGTATTGACGCGACAGTCTCCTTTGCCTCGCTAAAATTACTCTCCTCTTGAGCTGCTCGGATATCAGCCTCGTCAGGATCTCTCTGGCGTACTAAGGCACTCTGTCTTGAGAAGAAAGAGGTGATCTGGGTGGTTGTGAGGAATTCCGATGACTGGATTAGTCGTGCACCATCGGTGCCCCGGGCACGCCGCATTTCTCGAACAATTACCTCTGTGTCGAGCTTGTGGCCTGTCGTCTGCCCTATTCGAAATTTAGATAAAAGGTACGACGTAAGCCTTCCTCACTACTCTAAGAGCCTAGCCTTCTTTCAGAGAAACACGAGAATCTTCCTGTCGCACAAGGGCTTGAAGAGATGGCAGCTTTCCCACACCTTCCTCCAAATATGATTTGTAGGCAATTTTTGCTAAGTCCATTAGAGAATGTTTTTCTGGTACCCTGCTACATTTTTCGAGTGACAAGTGCTTTTCTAAGGCTGAAAGCCTTTGAAAAACATGAGTGCAGCCGTCTTGAGGACATGAATACACCCCTGCTGCCTGGCCACGTTATATGGAAGCTATCTCTTCAGCCACATTTTCTTCCCCTGACGATTTGTGGGGGGTACTTTTAAAGAACGGAAATCTCTTGCAGAAGCTGATGGTCGCAGAATCCCTTGTCCAGGACCTTCAAAAGTAATAAGAGAAATATAAATATGACAGCCATACAGCTAAGAAATAATTATCTCTTATAAAAATGACTCTTTTCCTTTTAAAAACCAAGAGAGATTGAGATCATCAATTCATATTTGAAGCTTACCATTGTCTGTTGTTCAGGTATCTGCACCATTACTCGAGGCTCTTTGGGGTTAGACACAATACTTGCTCCAGCGCCCTCCACCGGCGTCTGTTCATTTGCAACTTGCCCGCAGATGAACTCGTCGCATCGCGTACAAATTGCTTTAAAAAAAAATTAAATAACTTAAATCAATTACTATTCCTAGGTATAAAGTAATCAATCAGTCATCAATCAATGGATAATCAGCTACTCAGACGAGAAAAAAACGTTGGCAATATAAATTGCAAAGTTTCCTCACTGATATAAAATATGCTAGCTTGAGAAAGTTGAAACTTATGGTGTTTTTTTTGTGTAAGGTATTACAAAAAAACGTGAGAAAAAACAATTTTATGAGAACATTTATCAACAGAAGCAATTCAAATTACGCGACCCAACTGGAACTAAGGTGTAGGAGTTGCAAAAAATAAACATCGATTTTCGGCTATCCACACGGTTGCTTCCTTTGGCACTCGAGGACTTATGTGTTGCTAGATCCTTGGGAATTGCACAAAGGGTTTTCCTAGTCCTCCAACGTATGCCAAAGTCTGCCCTGTGGCGTGGGAAAATAGTCAGGGTAAGATGTTTTTGCTCAAATGAGAAAACACCTGTAAAAAATATAAAACCACTTAAATCTGTTGCAGGACTCATTCATAAGCACAGTAAAGTTACCTGGAAACCCACAAAATCAATATTTACCGGCTCTGGCTAATAGCAGCTTCATTTCAGTTCTAGAACCTTCATCTGCACTCAGTCCAAGAGTCGATAGATGTCCAGTTACATCTTTCGAGCAATCCTCGAGTGTAATGCATTCCACCTGACCAGGATAATCAGGAGATCGCCCGCAAGGGGTCACCTTATCAACTAGCGTTATATAGCTACAGAGAGCCATAAAATGACAAGAAATAATAACTTCTGATGAGAGCACGTATGAAAGCTCAAGACTCGTCCGTGAAATAACTTTCCTTAGATCTGTTACGAAATTTAGACCATTTACGCAAGAGCTTCGTGGGCAGTGATGACGTGCAGGCCTCACCACGAGTGAAAATTGTGATTGAATGGTGCGAAATGTTGGAAGCTCAATGAAAGTAAATCAGAGATTGAAGTATAAAAGTGTTACCGTGTAGTTATCAGACCTTGAGTGAAGTTTTTGTTTTTAGTCTTTGGTATATTTCATGATGACAGCCCATTTAGGGTCTCATGTGGTGCGGCCAGTGTTTGTTGGGACCGGATGTCGGTTAATTAGGAACAATTCGCCTTAATACACTGGACTATTCGTAAAGAATGCTGTTCTCCTTCTGTATTCGCTGGAATTCTTGATTTATATATATACATATATATCTAAAACAAACTAAAACAAAGCCCTTGCAGCTGAAATGTTTAAAAGTCATTCAACAGACTGATCAAGAGATTGTCACATACAATTTTCTTAATCGTAATACATATAATGGTGATTGATGAAATGACTGTAAGAACATTTTCGACGGTGATTTTATTTTCTCTCAGCTCTCACACAACTCCGAATGTACGACTTCCCTATTACTCAATATTTTGTAGAGTACTAGCCAAAAATTTCCAAAATTAAAGTTTATTTTTAAACCTTTTTCCACCAGGGAAGGAATGATTAGATTGGCGTTTGTTTACACAACACACATCATCTCGGTCACTCTGGACACAAACATTTGCGGTATTTTCGAAGGGAAGCGGTCCGATTCAAAGCATCAAATTTTACTCAGGAAATAAATAATATCATTATATTACGAATATCAAGTTAAAAAGTTAAAAAGTGAGGTACCAGGTACACTTTTATCGCGTTAAATTTCACCTATTTTTTGCCTCCATATTAAGCGCTCTTTAAGGGTGTTGCTTAGAGGACTTAAAAATTCTCAGTATCAATATGTACAGAAAAATTAACATAACGAAAATGAATGGAAAGGCTTTTTATTATATCGTGTGAAGTTTGGTGTTAATTGAATTCATTTTAAGCCTTCAACGGAGCTTGGTTTTTACAGTGAATTTTGGACAATTTAATAGGCGGAAAACCGCACTTAAACCGCGTTTTCAAATTTTCGCCAATTTCTAAAAATTTAATAATCGTCGGAACTTTTAAACTTGATTTTTGAAAATAGTTTACCAAAGGGTATCGTTGGGCAAAATATGAGCAATTCACCAAAATGGTCGTTGACGGACGATTCTCGATCCTGACAGGCAGCCATTCTTAATGATTAAATATATATATATATATATATAAATGAATTTGGGGGTAGAGTCTACCTTGGCATAAAGTGCTCAATGCTGTGGTAGCAGAGCTAAGAATACATAAGTTAAAGAATTAAAGAGGACGCATCGATTCTGTGACTCTGAGTTTCGCGTCTAAGCGCTCGTCAGACAGAACTTGCTTGAAAAGGTGACCTGATTTCATCTCATGAAGAAGAAGTATGCGGTCTGAATGTCTCTCTCCACATCAGAAGTCATTACATCATGAGAGAAATAGTTAACACTTTGTTATTTGAAGGCAGGGAGGTTCCTATTAATGGACTGGGTAAATTGATTATGGGAGAGATTTACGTTAGAGCTTCTGTTAACCCAGATAAATTGCACGTCAATGAATGGATTTTTTTTATTTGACAGATATTTGAAAGAGACCAACACATGGACATGATAAGCAAACATTTCTTCAAACGTACCTTTACGACTCGTTTCATCCGTGTTATGTTACTTACATGGTCTTTTGATGCGGGCGTTAGAATTGAACTGTACGGCTGTCCAGGTATGTACAGCTTTAAATACTGAGGGAGGGGCGAATAAACACATGCATAGAGTTTAACAATGAAGGGGAGGGGGGTGGTTTACAGATCACCAACGTGCTCATTGAGTGGTTCCTTCAATTCTGACGTTCTTAACGTCTTTTTGCATTTATTATTTTTATTTCTCATTTTCATTCTTACAGTTGCTAAAGAGCTCTAATATACATAAAAATCAGATAATGAAGACCAGTACATATGTGCAAATCAATAGTAAATGAAACGATACCATTTCCACCATAATTTGTAGGAGTGAGTACCACTTTCTAACACAAATTGCAATTGTTACAAGAGTTGATTTTGTTCGAAAGAAAGAAATAAAAGAAATAATACAGTTTACTTTGGAGAGGAGACTGATAAGTCAGAGTCTTAGTTTTACACCAGGAGGACTGTCAGAAAGTATAACTCATCTTGATCACGACTTCCACTCTTCTCAATACCGTGTTTCCTTTTCTTTTCTCGATTATCTCAAAAAAGTAGAAGGAAAATACTCTTCTCTTGCGTTTATCAATGCGAAAATTGAATTTCATAAGTAAAACTTTACGGCTTTGGTCTCTCTGAGCACCTTGAATACTTTTCGAAAAAACTACCGAGGCAATAACGTAATTATGGTATGCTTTCCTTCAGTGTGCGAAAATCCCCTTGGCATTGAAGGTGGTCTTCACAACATTACTGTATCCTCCGTCCGTGGAGTCGGGTACGAACCTTGGCGGGGACGACTTAACTCTGCAGGGATCTGGCGCCCTTACACCAATCAAATATACGAATTCCTTCAAGTGCGCTTTGATCAAGTGATGACCGTAATAGGTATTGCCACTCAAGGTGATAGTGGCCCATGTGGAAGAGTTAGGAGATTCTGGTTGTATCATAGTTTGGACGGAATGCGATTTGAATTATACAACGATCCTATAATGGGAAATGTAAGTAGAACAGGCCTGTCTGTTTAATAACAATTTTAATCTTCACCATCCTTTCCCTTTTCCAGAAAAAAGAGAAACTGGGTATGGTATCAGGAGGTTTTGCCCCATTGCGAATTTGTTCTCGTACCACCTTTGCGAGTTCGAACCCTGAAGTTAACAAGCACAAATTATATTTTTCGATTAACATGCAACTGTTTGTTCTTTAAAGTAATTCTTAAAATTTGCTTCGAGCATAGGAATAAAACATTGTCTAACCAGTTCGTTTAAGACCGGAGTAATTTAGTGGCCTTACATTACTCGTGTAGGAGTCTTGCGTCAGTTAACACGCTTAGGAATTTCTATGTCAGCCAAACTTTTGTTCATCGAAATAAGTTGGGGCTTAAGGTGGAGGCGAACTCGCAAAGGTGTTGGGGCGAGCTTGCATTGGGGTGAAGCCCCATTCAACTTTTAACGTTACCTCTCTTCCCCGTAGACTTCGTTCCTAGTCTCACTGGGTTTTCAAGCCCGGCAAATGTTTATGGGAGGAATGACTTAATCTCCGGTTCAGTGTAAATGGAACTCTTTATTCACATCAGTGTGGATAGTAAGCACTTTCAGATCGTGATCCGAAAAGTTATACATGTAGTTCTGAAACCTTGGGCTGGCAAGAGAAGCGTCTTCTTCAAATTTCTGTAGAAGATTAGTAGGTCACCAGGATTAATTGTCGAGGTCGGCTCCTGCTCCAAAATTTGGTTAAAAAAGCATTGTTAAATTATGTTATGCATAAGATTAAAGTCACCGGAAAGTTATAATTCCTTTGGCTAAACTTTTATGGACGGGATTTCTTCCTTGCTGAAAATCTGTACTTTCAGGACCTTACTAGGTTTTCGCGGGTTTATCTTTTTTAAAAGTGATAGAGAATATTTTCAAAATCTTTCAGCGGGGCTCATTTCATGTATTATTTTTGTAGAAATGCCTCTACGGAGCAGCTTCCAGATTTAATAATAGCCAGAAAAGATAGATACTTTCGGGAAATTTCCTTTTTCTCGATGTTGTTTTTAAAAGGCGTCAACAATTTTTTTTCAAGAAAAAGAAACAGAAAAGTCTTGCACCCACACGGTAGAAGCAAAACGCTCTTTCAACACTTCTCACCAAAAATTCATAAATGGCAAGATGAGAAAACAAATTTCCTGAAACAGAAAAATGGCACTCCAGGAAAGTGGTTAAGAGGGAAAAAATAAATTTCATGCCGTCAACATTGGGATGTGAATTAATAAGGTATTTGTATAGTGTGAGAGAAATCCTGCAAAAAACCTTTTGTTAGTCAGTTTGACATTTATTTTTGTCGAAAATTCTTTCATAAAACAGAACAAAAGAAAATCAGTCCCGGTGCGCTGGCATGCAAATCCAAAGTATTTCTCTCAGTTTCTATGATTTTAAAATTCATTCGTCTTGAAGGCATAGCTGGGATCACACCTATATTTTGATTTTAGTTACCGACCCAAATTTTATGAATTATATAATTCTCGTCAATGTTTGTTTAAATCCTCCTCTACGTGTTTATCAGCGATGAATCATAATGGTTGAACTTTCTAAAGGGATCGCTGAATGAGTAACCTGATTCAATAGTGTTCTCTTTAGTATTTAGTTAATGGTAACGAACGGAACACCCATTTATTCTTGCTAATAAAAACAGCAAAATTAAGCCAAACACACCTGCTAAGCTCTATCGATTTCACGTTGTTTTGTAGCAAGGAGTTAAGTGCTCTAAACTTGATTTCCTTGCAGTGAAATAATGCGGTATACGTTTCTTGGTTTGCTAAAAGTAGGATAATTTCAGAAATACAAATTTTTATTCAAATTATGAATACCGCTTCGCCACGGAAACGGAAATAGAGCTATGTGGCTCAAAGCAAATAAAAATCAATTTCCTACTTTGTTGTTTTAGAAACCCATGATAAATATAACGTGAGAACGCTAATTTAAACTTTTGACTTTAACTTTATGAACAAATTACATTGTTTTTCCAACGTGATTGCCTTACTTCCTGACAGTTTTCTTCTTGGGATTACCTCTTGCGCGTTACAAAGACATATATTCACAAGTTTTCATAAGAAAGCTTTTTCAAAATGACCCCTATGTTTTCTTTGTTCATCAATAATGAAACAAACGAGACCAACTTGTCAACTGAAAAGCCAAATTTAGGAAATTTGGCCAATGAGACAAAAATGGCAAAGGCTTTAAAAACGCTAACTTTGTCTACATTGATCGCTGTCTCGGTTTTTGGCAACTGTCTCGTTGTTGCATCCGTATACAAGAACGTTAACAAACGAATGCGCGTTGTCGGTAACTACCTGGTGGTGAACCTAAGCATTGCAGACATGTTGCTGGCAATTTTCAGCTTGTCGCGTATGTTAACTCTCGTTCATGTTGGCTACGAGTGGCTAGTCGGCGGATTATTGGGTTTGTTCCTTTGCAAAGCGCAACACTTTTTTATCATCCAGTTAGTGTTTGTCTCTACGATGAACTTCATGGCAATTGCTGTCGATCGATTTGTTGCTGTTTTCTTCCCGTTCTCGCTGATTTTGAAAGGGAAATTGTTTTATTTTATCGTCGGGGCCACGTGGATCATTCCTAGCGCTCTATTCGCGTTTTACTGGAAAATGATGGACATGGAAGTGCGTGGTGGTACGACAGTTTGCTTTGCGAATGTGCTGAAAATCTTTCCAACTGTAAAACACTTTTATGAGTTTAAGGTCGCAGAAAGTGTGATTGTTACTGGTGTTACTCTTACAATAACAGTCAGTCTGTACATCGCCATTGGAGCGAAGTTATTACTCAGACGGCTTCCAGGAAATGAGCAAGAAGCAGACACGCGTCGTAGGGAAGCAGTTGCACGAAAAGTTTTCCGAATGATGTTCATCGTGGTATTGGTGTATTGTCTGTGTTGGAGTCCGCAGTGGATTATATCAATCATTTGTAATTTGGTCGAACGCCAGAGGCCGATCTGTAATAATCCGAATGCAAATTTTGTGAAACTTGTTGTCGCTTATTCAAACAGTGCAATCACGCCGTTTATCTATCCCATATTCTCTGGAAACTTTCGCACAAGCTTCCAACAAATCTTGACGGGCGGTTTTTGCTGGAAACGTGGAAGGGTTGCCCCTGAGGATCAGAAACGCAATTCCTCACGCAAAAAGCACTATAAAGCAGAGCCAGATGATGAAGTACAAAGCCACAGACCAGAGGTGTTTCTTTTGCAAGACCAGGCTCAGAGTAAACTTGTGCAAAAGAAAATTATTTCATCAGAGACAGGAACAATGTGAACGAGGTGTCTTTTTAATCAAATCATTATTGCGATAGCCTCTCGCACACGCTTTTATATTTCCGACCAACTGAGTAAACATAGAAGTAATGGGATATTTCTATTGATCCCTAAGTTAAGACTGACTAGTTTGCGATTGAAACTTGTAGAGAGTCAGGTCCAAGAACTCAACGTAAAAACCTGTCTGTTTTCTTCATCAGTCACTTTTTAGTTTTGTAAAACGAATTTGCTAGCATACGATTCCTTATGCTTTCTTTCTTGAGACTTTTTTTATTATGAAAGCATATGAGTTATTAGTTTACTTTGTTGTAAAAGTAAAAAACTGTTGTAAATGCTTATAAGAAGAAGCTGAAAAACTAAAGTAGTCTTCATTAAATATCAACACCATGCGCGTGTTAACGAGAAATGTACTTGAAGGAAAAATAAAATCATTCGCAAACGGTTCTTCTAAGAAGGGAATTTGTCACAATATGCAGTCCATTGCTCTACCCTTCTTTTGACGAGAGGATTCTATCGTCATTACATCGAAGCCCCGGCTACAAACACTGACAATTATCAAAGGCTTAGTTCAATATGTAAACTTTGTCTCTACAGGCCACTAGAATTCGCCCATCTGGCGTCGTTGCTATTCCTGTTGGATATGCTAAGCAAGAGGTACTTTTACCTGTGAAGCGACCGTCTATAGAAAATTGCTGAACTCGATTATTGTTACAGTCACATACGAAGAGATTTTCGGAATGGTCCAGATGAATTCCTAAAGGCCAGTTGAATTGTCCGTCTTGGTCTCCTTGTTTCCCAATCTTGTTTAAGAATGTTCCTGACTGATCGAAAACTTTGATGCAATTATTTCCTCCATCGCACACCAGAAACCTGTCTTTATAAGAAATGCAGCTGGTTGGTTTGTCTAGTTTTTCTGGGCCCTCGTTTCCAAATATTTTCATAGTCTCACCTTCGAGTGACATTATCTGTACCCTGTGATTAGATTCCTCGGTTACAACAACGCGGAGTTCTTCATCCAAGTAAACATCAGACGTCTTAGCAAACTCTCCTTTCGCTCTTCCATATTTTCCAAAGCTTTTTACACATTTTCCTGTGCAAACATCTGTTTGCTGAATCCTATGATTTGATGAATCTGCAACCAGAATGTCATTATCACTTACGAATGCCAAACCATGCGGGTGGTGAAATTTTCCAGCAATTTCGCCTTGGCCTCCAATTTTTCTTAAAAATGTTCCCTTTTTATCAAATAAGAAAATGCAGTGTCCGCTGATGTCCGTAATGGCCATCTCTTCTTTCGTGTTCACTGCAATTCTGAAGGGTCTTTGCAGCTCTTCTCCGTTAGAAAGCTTCAGGTCCAACTCGCCAACCACAACAATCTCACGTGGTACTGCCAAAACAACGAAAGGAGAAGTCTGAAGTTTATTGCCACTAATTTTCACTTCAATGTTGTAGGCACCAGGTACTTTGGGCGTAAAAATCAATACTAGTTTGCCACTCTCTCCGTCGCAAACCATCACATCCGTGACATCTTCCGTGGGTTCTACGGTTATTTCGATTTCTTCCTTAAGATCCATGCGGGTGCTATAACCTTCAACCTTGGGGGACAATAAGAATTCTGCTTTAACACCAGCTTGGAGAGTTTGATCCAGCCCCTCCAAGTTAAACTGATCAGGATCCATTCCCTCCGAAAAAACTATACCTAGTTTTAGATCCTCCATAGACGACGGGACAAATTTGATGAAGGAGGTATCGTGATGAATTGGAAATTCAATTTCACGAAGTTCAATAAATTTTTGTCGTAAGTTATCTTTATTCTCCATGACATCTGAGCTCGAGCTTCTTTGTGTCAAATTCTCTGCAAATTCAACAACTTGATCCATTTGTTTCACCAGAGACTCGGTCGCAGCCTTCGACGAGTTAATGCTCTCGAGTCTCGTCACGCGTGTGGTCTCGAGAGAGGCGATAGCCTCTTTCTCGCGTTCTCGAATTTGTGCGATCATATGTTCGGCTGCTTGATTAACTTTCGCTTTCGCGCTTGCGACGTTTCTTTCCAGGTTTAACTCTGTTTCTTCAATTTGTCGAAGAACTTTCTTCAAATCGGTTCTCCTTTCTCTGACGAGTGCTGCGTTAGCCGTGATGTTTCCTTTCTCGTTTTCAGCCACGTTGTCGATTAAATCAACTTTGTGGTTTTGGTGATCCGTGAGGATGCAAATATGGCAGACGCTCGATTTACACTGAAGGCAGAAAAATGTTTTGATCTGTTTCTTGTGGAATTTTTTTGAGCAAAAGTGCTGTTGCTTCAACAATGCCTCGTAATCTTGATCTTGAAAGTCCTTAACTGGCATGACTTTGTGTCCACCGAAGTCGGTGCTCATCACTTCATGAGCGTTCAAACAGTCCAAGCACATGAATCGAATACAGTCAAAGCAGTAATGGACGTTAGACTGGCTGGTCTTCTTACAGTTACCACAAGTAATACTTGTGCCATGACCACTCTCTCGAACAGCGAGGAGACTTAATAACCTGTTGTGAAAGAAACTTGCAGGTAAATTGTGGAAGCGATTTCCTTCTGGCAGTTTGATTTCTGCCCGACACTCAGGACATCGAAATTTTCCATTTCTTTGGCTCTTTGTGGCATGTTTTTGTAAATAATCACAGCAAAATGTGTGAAAACAGGATATGATTTTCGGTGTCTTGTAGGTTTCGAGACAAATGGAGCAAATAACTTGTTCAGTAAGGTTTCTAAAGAACGACTCCATTGTAAGACGCGTACGTTTTGAAACGCTCTCTCAAAGAAATATTGTCAGAGATTCCAAGAAAAACAGGAAGTTTCCCATCTCTCGGCGTGATTGGCTGGTGGCGAATCGCGTGACGCGAGCAAGCTATTCTTCTACCAATAATCGGTGGCGTTTTGACGTCATGACTGCTTTTATTTTCTCAATAGAAAATCTGTCTCTTTTGTGCTTTGTCAGAAATTAGAATATTCTTTCATGTCAGCCACGTGGTGTAGTCAGGGGTCGGTGATGATTGAATCTGTCTGGCACTTATGTCACTCCTTAGACTAAACAAAGTCTATTAAGAGCGGTCCAAGGCGTTTCACATCGGAAAAAATGTTTTGCCTCAAACTCTGCCCATTAACCTGTCTTTTGTAGTAAGGAAATAAAACCACATTAGTTTCTGGAAAAACGTTAAAGAAAAAATTTGAGAGCTCTCAATAATCAAAGCTCCTAAAGGCCCTTTTGTGACCCCAAAATTCAACAAACTCGCTTCTCATAACACACGACATGCAACAAGAAATCGTTTATGTTCCTAAATTGTGCGATATATAAGGGGTTTCGAAAGCATTTCAATTTTGACATGTGCTTATTTAGAGGTTCGCCACAATTTATTTTAAAAATACCCGTCAGACAGATTTCTGAAATTGGTCAGAAGTACTCTTTCTTGGGTGATATTTCACAAGTCCAGACCTGACCGTTGAAAACTCCGGTTGATTTCTTCTAAAAAGACTTTCGAAAGAATAGAAATATAAAAACATCGTGCACTTAATTTTCCTCGCCTTATGTTTGCTTCATTTGTCGCGGTGTAACATGCCAGCCACGTGGTGTAGTCAGGGGTCGGCTGATGATTGAATCAAGCATTAAGGCATGATTATCAATTTACTTGTATTAAATATTTTATTGATTATTTGAAGCATTCTTTGCACCACTGATATGAATCCACTCAACCTTTTTTTAGCAACCGTTAGCAGTGACAATTAAGAAAGTGCTCACAGAATTCACTTCCTAATGTCTCCTGCAACTTTGACCACTTCTGTATCTCCGCTTTCATAGAAGCTTTCCGCAGTAAATATAACAGCAGCAAGTTATTAGCCGCATAATGCGAGGACTTGATCCGTTTCCAAGCATGCACACAGATCCGACATACTGCAACCACTTTCAGCTTCATTGACTGATTCTTCATTTTCCTGGATTAGAAGCAAAATTATCGTATCATAAGCATGTGCATCATAATTCTAGCAACAAGTACGATTTACTCCAGATGTAATGCGAAGGGAAAGCAGGGCCATGTTTTCTAAAAAGCTAACTAAGCGAAGAACGACATGTGCTAAATAATTTTGACCACTGCGTTTTGTAATTATCGGTCTCATCAAAAAGGCGATAATACCCGATCTTTAGCCCCTAACCACAATAAAATAAATGAGAAAAAAATTATATCTGAGGGCTTTAGCGTGGTAGGAAACTCAGGTAAGAACTTGACTTAACTCCTTTTGAAGTTTTATTTTTCTTTGTTGCTGTTTCTATTTAGACTATTTTCTCGGGCTGTTTGCCTTTCCATCTCTCGCTGCTCTTCGCTAGAATTTGGCCTTATTACCCTCGCCCTTTCTTGTTCGGTTTCATGTTCCGGTGCCTCTGCCTATTTTGTTCAAGTTGTTTGTTGCTCTCTTTCGCGTTGCTCGTGACTCGTGCTCTATTACTTCTTTTTCTCTGTGTCTTTACCACCTATGTTCACGTTCACTCAATCACACTTTTCAAAAACTTGATTAAACAATGATTTCTTTCCCTTGAAATAGCTTTTCTACCAACGTTGTTGCTTTGCATAAAAGATCGCAAATTGAGAAATGATGTTTTCAACGACAACTCAATAAGAGTGATTTCCCGCCAAAAATGCGGGTTGCAAATCCTCTGGTAGCACGCGTGATGCCCTCGTGTTGTGCCTATGACTGCAATGGGACACTGCATTCGAGTATGCGCGCTATAACAGTTTGCTCACGTGTGTAATAGCGCAAGCGCATACGATTGCATTCCTTTATCCTTCTCCCTTATGGGTTTCCTTTCTACACATGTTATGTCAAGATTTGTGCTCGTATTTCAGCTGTTCCCGCATGCCAAAATTAACACCTTTGTATGGACGATCGGTTATACGTTCACTCAATAAACGAAATTTTCTCGGCTCGATTGGTTATCAATACAAGCTACACATGGATTTATAATTTAAAAAGCTGATCTATTTTGCTGGGTATTTAAAGTTTTTATTTACTATATTTATTTATTACACAGACACAGTTGGGTGAATAAGCCGCATGGCCCTTGGCCGTGCGTCAGCTAAAAGTACCATCAACCAAATTCAACTCGAACCCAGAATCTCGTCGGCTTTTTGCAAGTGTTGCACCCGCGTTGTGCTGAAGAATAGCAATGCTTTGGTGGCGTGCCAGAAATTCTATTGGCCGTAAATGATAAAGTAGCACCTCGTACGTACGGTCACACACCAAACTAAATTTTCTGACTTGATGGGTTACTATTTATTCTTATAAGCATGAGGCTACGCTGCATGCACTTCGGGCACTGCGAGCTCCGCTATTTAGATATTAAAAGCGTATTATTGTAGTGGAAATGCAGTATTCAAACGCTATCTTTACTAACTTCCAACAGGAATTACGTGGTAATGAGAATAACGACGAAACAAAATTTGTGAAGTTACGCTACGTTATAAAGGCCCAACACGTTCGCGTCAGACCGACTTTTTTTTATAAACACAAATGCATGAGGATTGAGTTATATGGATGCTCTGCTAACGGTGAGTGGGTTATTTATTTTGAAGTTATTTACTTTTCAAAACACACATAAATTTAAGTAAATCAAACGTCCTGGCTAATCCGCTAGAAATTCTGGTTTCATGAAAAGCGGACTCTTCTTTCGTTAATCTCGAAGATTAATATGCCGCGAAATAGAAGCAAATTGTATATTTTACTTCGAAGCGAGACTAAAGCTTAGTGCCGTTTAAGTTTCTGTTCCACTTGCATCTCGCCAAGTTGCTTTGAAATTTCTCTGGCACCATTTGTATTTCTGGATGCAGAGAAGCACTGCGAGAATAGTGTCTGACTCATGGTAAACGCAATGATTCTGACCAGCTCTTCAAATCCGCTTTCCATCATGCTGGCCAGTGAGGAACTACGTCTACTGAAAGTCTGTAAAAAGGGCCTCACATTTCGTTGAAATGTCGTTTACAACAAGAATTGCATTTGCCGAGAAGTCTGACATATGCAGTTTTAGTTAGTCTCCAAGGACCATGGTTTTCCAATTCCAACTGGCATTACCTCATAAATCAAGAAAGGGGTGGGAATTATAGGGGTTCCGATCGGGCGTTATGTATGCTCTCTACTCTGTCATTGATTTTTCTTTTCTATTGGTTTCAAGTCCTATTGTAGGTCTCTTTACGATTTTTTTCAATTCGATTCTTAATCTGTCTTTTATCAGAACTAGACGGTGACAAGTCCATTGGGTTCGAGAATGGAAAGGTAGCAGATCAATCCTTGACCGCATCAAGCACTCTAAACAAGTATTACCGACCTGAATTTGGCAGATTGAACAGTTTAATTGAAGGAGGTTCCTGGTGCGCTAGAGAAACAAATACAAGCGAATATTTGCAGGTGGACCTACAGGAGATACATAAGATCAGTAATATCATACTACAGGGAAAGTACACAGGCTCTGCGCAAGGAAATGGATGGGTTACCAAGTTTTCAGTCACTTACAGTAACGATGGCATTGTGTGGAGCCGACACAGCGAGGGTGGAGTACAAGTAGGCGTCTTTTCTTTGGATGCGAACTTCCACAGCTGCTCTTTTCAATTATATTTTAATTATGATAAACTTTTGACGTACTTAATTCTCAGTAATTAATGGGCGAATTACTAATTATTTGATGTGGGAAGGCACAGCGCAAAGGTCTCCTTTACCTAAACAGATGAAGCCTGTGTGCATCGGGTAGTTTTGAAAGCAAAGCAGGATATATACATGATCATTATTTTACATGTTAAACACACGAACATTTCGCGCGTTAAGCATTATTTTCCAAGCCCCGTTGGGGCGAGAAGCCCCGAGAAATACGGAGGATGAGCAAGACTTCACATAATTATTATTTCTCGAACCATCGAATAAGGGATTTATTACTCCATTATTATTTTATTTTTAAGCATTTTGGCTTCTAATTTTCGAAACAAAATCCCAACGACCTTAGCTGAACATTGAATCGATTTATTAAACCGTGCGTGGAAGACGAAAAGAGCAAGAACGAAATTTAAGTGTCCTTTGCGATCAGCCAAACAAATCTGATGCATGCGCTTAAAAAAATCGTTGCTTAAAAAATCAAACCTGTAAAACGGAAATAGATGTTCAGTGCTGTCATATTGGGTTCCTCCACTCTCCTTCGTAGTTTTTCCTTGTTCTACAGGGTAATACCATCGGATACCATGCGCGTTCCTTGCTTTAGTATGAGTATAACCATGGAATGAGACAGCTATTTACAAAATAATTAAGACTGACTTAACGGAGGGTCAGATTGGTTGAAATAGCAAACTTTATCAAAGAGCAAATTTTCCCCCCTTGTTTTACTATTATGAAGTCAGCTCATTATTGAAGCTTCCTCTTTCGTTGAATATTGATTTTAAGCTTTTAATATCAGGTATTTCTGGGAAATGACCTGAATAACATGACAAGGAATCATGAAATAGTGCCATCACTGTACGCTCGTTTTGTCCGGCTGCATGCAGTGGAATGGCATCAGCTGATTTGTATGCGAGTTGAGTTCATCGGATGTAAAGGTACGTACAACTTTTCGAAACCATTGAATTGCGGAAAAGGTCATGTCAACACCAAGAACACGAAGAATAGACGCACAAGTTCAAGTAATATTAAATGTGGTTTGACAATCTTACCATCAGTTTTTTTTCAGTGCGTCACGTCACTTCAAGAGCATAATTTGGTTAACCCTAAGTGCTGATCGTATGTGTTTGGTGTTTATGTAGTATACAAATGAGGAATTTTAGCTGCCTGTCGAAGACACCTGCCAAGTGGGCGATTGAACATTTTGGTTGATCAAGTAGCTATAATAATTGATAATGTATATTTCTCGACGATTTTTGTGGCGTAAGCTTTGCCTAAACTTGGCAACACAGATAACGAAGGCAATAAAGACTACCCGGTAGCCTTGTGATTTGAGTGCCAGGAATGTAGGTCAAGAGGTTCCGGCTCAAGCCGTTGTCAGGTCACTGTGTTGAGATTTTTGAACAGGTTAGGTGACTTTCACAGTGCCTCTCTACATCCACGTATATTGAAAATTTTAATTGGTTGTTTATTTTCTTTCTTGTACGAAAAGAGTCACCTCTGACCTTTAATTACCGTAGCTTGAGCGCAGAAAGAATTAATAAACAAATAAACTGATAATTTTCAACGGATGCCTTATAAAATCGTTTTGATCGTCATAATTGAAGTTGATAAATGACTTTACGCAGTTTAAGGAATCATGTCATCGTTAATTTTAACAGCGTGTGCAAAGCCTCTTGGTATGGAAAATCGCCAGTTGACGCAGATATCTGGGTCCTCCAACCCAAGGCGTTGGCATTATATCAGACTCAATAATGATCTACCGTGGTATCCCCTTACCAGCGACAATCGAATATTTATCCAAGTTGTTGTAAGTCCCTATGGCAAAACTGTTACGGCTTTGGCCATCCAGGGACACAGCTACTGGGTCACTTCCTTTACACTGGGAACAAGTGAGGATGGCTCAGAGTGGCACGATTATTATGTCGATGGAAACGTTGTGGTAAGAGTTTAAAAGGGTCGGAGACTGATCGTTATGATTCATTGGCAAACGTCGTCTAATCATTTAGCATTCAATTTGATTGCTTCTCATGGATAATACAAACATTACTTGATTTTAATTCATATCATTTATATTTCAAAAACTGTTGGGACGAGAAAAGAGAAATTATTGACGCAAGAAAAGCTTGCGGAGTTTAAAGCACTAGTTTTACATGTAATAGTGTAGTTTGATCGTCCGGGTGAGTGTAGTCCTGAGAAGGACTGTTGTCGGTAGTGGTGACTGACGTTACGACAACCCGAGCGGAAGTCATCATCAGAGTCAAGAGATTATTTGTTGTCTTTCGAATGTTCTCGACTGACAACAACTATTCACTTGACTATGATGATGACTTCCGCCCAGGTTGTTGAAACGTCAGTCACCACTACCCGGACAATCAAACTACACTATAACATGTTACCCCCGGGTTCAAACCATTCACTGTAATAGTTTTACAGTTTGCAGCGATAGGTTTCTGCAGATTATCAACCAATACTGATACTTGGTCGAACTTACGGTATTTGCTTATGAAGTAGCTCTGAATCTCAACTCAATAGTTTTTGTTTAAGACGAACAGACCAAATGGCTGTGTTAGCCGAGTTATGAGTTTGAGTTTAACATCATTCTTCAAAAGTTGCCTTGGTCGAACATGCGATAACGACCTTTCTTTGTTATTTGACACATTTACTCTGGAGTTATGATATGTCGACTAAGATTAGAACGTATGCAACAATGAAATGAATGCAAACCAACACTTGTGAGAAAATATAGTAGGGAGCTTAAGCACAAAGGTTTCTGAGACGCGATCAGTTTGTGGAAGTTAAAAGTTCTCATTGCCAGAACGGTCCTCAGCTACGTTTATTGTTGCCTGTATACAAACTCGCTATGTGCTCCTAACAATTTTTGAATTTGCGAGGCAGCCAACTATATATCCTCCGAAACTAATATTCCTTTGAGTATTCAAGTTAATGGATCCCACAGAACAAAATTTTTTTATATCACATAATCTCTAAATGTTTCTTCTTTCCTTTACCGTGGCAGGTTTTTCTCGGTTGCACGACTCGTTTTCAAACTTTACGCCGACCACTGCCTAAGAAAATTACATCACGCTATATCAGGCTCTACCCTCAAACTTGGGATCATACACCACATATCAGTGTGGAGTTCTATGGATGTAATGGTAAAATAAGAATTTATTTACAAACGCACACAAAAAACTGTTTTATTTTTAATTACTGCAAACAAATAACTCTTACGCAAACCATTTTGGTTGCCGTTTAATAGTGAAACAATAATTCGCTGTGCAGAGAGTGGTTAAACGCTCTCCTTATCGTCAAAGAAGCTCGATATTGCAATATTCACTAATTAGCTGCAAACTTCTAGAGTGTGCCGAACCACTGGGAATGGCCAGCGGTCTCATACCAGACTCCGACATTCAAGCTTCGTCATTCAAAGTGGGCGGAGAACCCTGGCGCGCTCGTTTGGGGCCTGGTTCGGGTTGGATTCCATCATCTGTGGCATCTTCAGAATACATTGTGGTAGATCTTGGAGAGTCAAAAGCCATAACATACATCGAGATGGAAGGAGATTCTCTCAAGAACCATTGGCTGAAATATTTTTTCTTGGACTACAGGATGAGCACTCGAGACCCGTGGACAATTTATGAACCTCGTGGAATAAGTGGGGTAAATATCTCGCCTTGATAGTGGGAGGTTTTTTATATCATGTTTCTAGGATTTGTTATGTTAAAGCCAGCTGATAAACAAACATCTTTTTGTTCGTTTGTATTTTTTTAATATCCAATATCTGTTCAGTGTCATTTGTCGTTTCAAGTCGTTGTTGTCGTTGTTGTTTTTTAAACTTGTTCACTTTGTAAGTTAGTAACTCTATTCCAAACACTATGGTGCCATCATGTCATGCTATTTGTCATCTGTGCCACATTCATTTGACCACCAAATTTCATAATTACAATGCACATTTAGAGATGAAGATCACCTGATTATCAGTCCGTTATAATTGGTGGTAGGGTATCTCAATATTTTCTATTTTCACAATTTTGCGTCAATCATAACATATCATTGAGCAACGTGCTTCCAGGTCCGCAGCACAACCTCAAAATGAAAAAGCTATTAATTTCGTGTCACCGGTTTTTTAAAACCTAATCTATTCGTATTGTGCAACGGCTGCTACATGTTATCTTAAAGGGTAAACAAATTAAACCTATCAAGGTCTTTGCTTCACTTGTAAATTAGCTTGAAAGATCGTCTTCTGCGCTGTCAGATTTAGGAAGCACGTCCGTCATCTTGGCTCAATTAATGCTTGTCTTTCATGCAGAAAATATTGGGTGTAGAGATGAAAAACATGGTGGTGACTATTAAAACAGAACAGAAGCTAGAAGCAAGATTTATAAAGATCCGCGTTGAGAATTGGCATTTAGGGGCCAATTTAAAACTTGAATTTTATGGCTGCGACAAAGGTAATACTTATCTAGTAGACTATACATCACAATCGGGTAACTTAGTGTTAATAACTGAGTTGAAAACGTAAATTAGCCACCGTAAAGGGTAAAAAAGCTGACGTTTCGAGCGTTAGCCCTTCGTTAGAGCGATTGGCGAAGGGCTAACGCTCGAAACGTCAGCTTTTTTATCCTTTACGGTGGCTAATTTACGTTTTCAACTCAGTTGTTAACACTAAATTACCTGCCATACTCTCCCACCGACGCAGCACCACAGTTTCTTTAGAAACTTATCCCTTTATACATCACAATCGATAGCCACTATGACAAAGTGCGCAACGTGCGATAAACTGTTGATATTTGCTTTGAAATTCACTCCTCACAAGATTATTGAAAACTGATGTTCACTCCAATCACTTTGCTCTTTAGACTTTTTGTTTTAGGAGATTTCCTTTGCGAGATGCATGACTTTGCAACTCCAAAAGGTGGTGATGGGCCTTAAGTATTACATAAAAAATTTATGAGTTGATATATGATCTGTGCACAGCAATAAGAGATGGTGGCCAACCAATTTCAAATACACAACTTTTTTGACGTAGCTTTTCATCACTATTTAGCAAAGACAATAATTTTCTTTCAGTATGTTCCGACGAAATCGGAATCGGAACTTGGGCAATAAAGGACCCTGCTTTCACCGCCTCTAGTTACCTGTCCTCACGCAGATACCCATGGATGGCACGCCTCGATGGTAGAGGGGCCTGGTGCCCAAGCGAAAACGATACTCAGCCTTTCTTACAAGTTAGTCAATTATCTTACTGTTAGTGCAGAATAGATCAAAACTTTTGTTACGTCAAATAAGTGTATATTTACTGTATATACATGTGCTATATTAAAAGAAGAAGTTTTGGACGAATAAAAGTCTGGCAAATATTATAAAAGGCGTAAAGTAAAAGAACCATAGAGGTTTATCGGAAAACGATTTTGAAGTTAGATGGAACTATCAATAGTTTCTTCTGTATTCTGACCTAAGCGAATGAGCTTTGAAAGAGGAAATTATATGTACGACACCTCTCTTTCTTTGAATTGTGCATTTGAATGGTGGAAGTAGTGAAATGACAATCCACAAGAGCTTGTAAACAGTTTATGATCTCATGTGATCCATTTGGTTTCACGAAGTGTTTTTAATGTCACACAAGATATGATCTAGATCTATGATCTGTGTTTTCTATCTTTTTTATCTACCGTTATTTTGCTAGCCATATGTGCTGTGAATGTAAAAATAATGATAACTTCTTTCCAGCCTAAACATAATAAACATGGAAAAGACAAAGATACTTATTTTATAATTCAATGTGCATCTCACCCATCGCAAAGTTTTTAAAATAATTTTTACCTGAACTTCTACTTATATCTATCAGGTGGACCTTGCGAAACCATACAAATTACGATTTATTGCCACCCAAGGATTCCACAGCTCGAACAACAGCGCTTGGGTACAGCAGTACACATTGCACTTTCGCAAAGAACTTTTATCTTGGATTCCATACTCCGAGAATAGCACAGAAAAAGTGAGTTATTAAGATACCTCTTTCGCTGCAAATCAGAAAATAATAACTGCTTTTAGCAAGGCTAATATAATTGATTTGTACAGTTACCTAAACTTACTGACTGCCTCCGGACACAAGCAAAGCCTGAATAATTGCTTCAAGCAGGTTATCGCGACCGCAGCAAAATAATTGTGTCCATGCACATATGCAAGTTTAACTTTGTCGGCGAAATACTCAGGAAAGTTTTTCAAACACATAACGTCACTTGTGATTGTGCAGATAGAAAAAAAAGATGATAACAGTTTGATATTGAAATGTACTTTTCACTATTTTATTCCAGCTAATTAACTATGAGCCTCATATCCGCCAGGAAAATGAGAATTTATTTGTTGTTATGATTTAGATGTTTCCAGGCAACTCAGATGGAACGTCGATAGTCAAAAACAGGCTCAATAATGTTTCCAATGTGCGATACATTCGTCTTCATCCTAAGAAATGGCACACATTTGCATGTATAAGAGTCGAGTTATACGGATGCAAAGGTAAGACTAATCCGGGTTATGAATGATTTCCTAATTGAGGTCCTTTATAAAACCGCCATCTGATTCCTCTATCGGCGGAGTAAAAGTGTTCTCCTATGTCCAAATGAATCCTCACCACTAAAAAGTGAACACTGATAAAAGCGACTTGTCTAAAAAGCAGAGGTTTCTCCCCATATCCAGACGGCGCCGTTATATTTCCTTGCATTTTCGCATGAATCAATGGGCATAGATTCTTACGCAAACCAAAGACGATAGCACAATACTTGGGACTGAAGTGACTCTAGGTCTTTCACCTTATTGTTAATATTCTGTAGTGACATTTTTGAACTCTTGAATTATTTCTGCCATTTTAGATTTCGATGAAGAAAGCTTGAAGCCGTTAGGAATGAGCGACTATCGAATTCCTAACAATAGCATTTTAGCTTCAGACATTTACTTGGATACTGAGGTGCACGGACCATGGATGGCTAGGTTACATAGTACTGCGGGATGTTGGGTATTTCCAAGAGGTGAAAACTTTCTTCTTGTCGACCTGGGTGAAGGTTTAGTGTCCGTAAGTGGAGTCGCTACGCAGGGATGTAATAACAAGGTTATCGAAAAATACGGACACGTGCTAGAGTATAAATTGTCCTTCAGCGATGATGGTGCAGACTGGTATTATTATCGAGAGGGAGGGGGCCTTAAGGTATGATTATGTCTCATTTACTCCCTATCTTACAGAGTTTTTTTGAAAAGCAATACACGTAGCTGCCATCCATAAACGAAAAGTTAAAGATGCACTGTAGTTTAAGTTTCCCAAATTTTGTAATAGTTTGAACGGTTGTAAAAAGCCAAATAGGTGATCTTTAACTCATCTAAATTCTTCTCATACAATGTTAAGTTATTATCAATACTTTTTCATGTCATCGAATAATTGACAATTGTCTTTTGTAAAGTAAGGAAAACTACTCTGATTCCTTCCTGCACATTCAAAATGTCGAAGGAAATCGCCTCTGGCAGTCTAGAAGATTTTTTTCTTTCTTTCTCGAATGATTTGAAGGCCATATCATTTCTTTAAGCAGGTTTTCAGCGGTAATACCCCTGACGAAACAGACCTCCCTGTACGTCACGTGTTTACCCGGTCATTTTACACTCGTTACGTCAAGTTCCTCTTGACTCGCTGGGTGTTAGATATCACTTCTCCTGCGCTGAGGGTGGAAATTTACGGCATCAGAAAAGGTGAGACAATGTTTCACCTCTAAGAAAAAAAAGGAGAAATAGTATTATAAGGTTTGTACATAGAATTATTTCCCGATCAAAGACATTAGCTCCAAAATCGATTTTATCGCGAAATTCTAACTGCTGGTCTTTCGGGAGAGATAGGGAGGAAATGAGGAGGTGAATGGAATGAACAGACCAGAATGCCAAAAGAGCTGAGAGAAGGGGCTGACCATAGCCTTTTCCATGCATATAGTCTTAATTTATAGCAGCAAGTGTCATAACGGCTCTCTTGTACTTTATCTTATGTTATGTCCTGATCTTCCATTGCTTTCTTTTCTAAAGGAGGGGAGTTGCTCGTGGAAGCTAATATTTCCATCAGCGCATCAAGCTCCCGATATCCGCTGACACCGCAAGACTGCTTACTCAGTATTAGGCGAACGTGGTGCGCTGAGTTCGATGACGAGATGCAATACCTCCAGATTGATCTGAAGCGAAATAGTTACATTGAGGCGATCATAACCCAGGGGGCAGTTGTTGAAGAGTCCTGGGTTGAGAATTATACGATTTCGTATGGTCATTCCTATGATTTGTGGAAAAAATATGAAGAGAATGGCTCTAGCAAGGTAAATGCTGTGAAGGCAAAATCCTATAGATATAATTATGTTTGGAGATCGGTCGGCCACGGAAACAACTCGCTAATCCATTCACTCAAAAAACTGTTGTATTTTTGACAAATGATTATTTCATTTGCATTTACCAGGTCTTTCAGGGAAATAACGATAGCTCATCCATTGTCACTCGTAAATTCATGAAACAAGTCAGGGCGCGATTTATCAGGATTCATCCTGTCAGCTGGATTGGACATATCTGCATGCGATTTGACATACGAACCGTTGGTCAGTATTTTTTGCATCTACCAAAAGTGCACGGTCATAAGATAATGATTACAATATGGCTTCACCTTACAGTTTTTCCTCTTTTCAAATGATTGAAATAGAATTGCGTATGCCCTAAACTAATTATTAGTAACGTTTCCTGACTATTGAATTTTTTATAACACAGCAAGCTCGTGTATTTTTAACTTAATTCCTCTTTATTCATTCCATCATGTAATTTTATTTAAAGCCATTTTTATCGATTTCTTGTTAAAATCGAAAGATCGAAGTGTACCTCTTGGAATACAAAAACACAAGATTGCCAATTCAGCCATAACTGCATCCAGTCATGCTGGAAGTGGTAACGAACCATGGCGGGCCCGCTTGGATGTAGGCTTCTTGAGCGAAGCGTGGCGCGCAGGAGAAGACAGCCACGATCAGTATTTACAGATTGACTTGGGTACTACTCATAACATCACTCACGTGGCCACTCAAGGAAGTCATCGGACAGATAAAAGCTGCTGGGTGACTCAGTTTAATTTGTCCCACAGCTTGGATGGGTCTGAATGGAACAAGTACGAGGAAAATGACTCAGTGAAGGTATTATCGAGGTTTTAAATTTGGTTTTGATAGGTCATCAAGTTGTCTATTTCCTCGTGCTTTTTAAATTAAAATTTGCACCTGTTTGCGTCGGAATTATCAGGAATAGAATAAGAGGAAAGTGAAAGGGTGATAGGGAAATGAAATAATTAGTGGAGTTGAATATCAAGTCACTTGTACGCCTCGTTATTTTAGTTCTTACCTCATAATAATATCATTGGGGCATATTATGTACACAAAAATGGAAACTAACCATCATTTGCTACCTCTCAGGATGAAAATTCATTGAACTTTGTTTTAGATATTTTGAAATTATATATCGTGTCTCAGTATTGTAATGTATAGGTTTTTTGTTGTTCACTTCAGCTCTTCCAGGGGAACACCAATGATTATGGCATTGTTCAACAACAGATGAATAAAGAAATTGAAGCTCGCTACATCCGATTTCTGCCTGTCACGTGGTTCAATCACGTGTGCATGAAGGTCGAGCTATATGGTTATCAAGGTATGAATGATAACTGATTGTTTGATTAAAAGACGAATTGATTGTCTGACTGAGTCATTTAGTGACTGAATACTTGATTGAGACCCAACAGCATGAATTATTTGACATGAAGCTGCTTATGCTCTGATTGGCTCCCAGTGTGGGAAAGATGGACTGGTTATTTACGTGCAAGTGCAGGGGGAGGGGGGAGGAGAAGGGGAAAAAGGGGAAGGGGGGGGGACAGGGAGGGGGATTGCTTTGTACCCGCTCACATAAAAACGCCCGAAGCCAGCTTTTGGCCATCAAAATATATTACGTATATCCCAAGCGCCTTCGATGAAGATGGCTGATTATTTCTCTTGTTCTTTTTTTGCGTTTTTATGGATCAAAAAAGAGAAGAAAGAATTATATGAAAGAAAACACATGACAAGGCCAGCCTTCTTAACCTTATTCATATATTCATTTGTTTAACCATAGTTTGCGGCTTCCCTCTTGGTGTAAACAATGGAGAATTGTCGAGCGATTCGTTCACAGCGAGTAGTTACGGTATGAGCAACGAGCCTTGGAATGCGAGACTGAATCGCTTGATTGGCAATGGAAGCTGGTGCGCCGAGAAAAATATCACAGGAGAGTATCTGCAGATTGACCTGAAACATAGTAAAATGCTTACCGGAATATCCACTCAGGGAAAACATGATAAAGATGGAAAATGGGTCACGGAATATTCGTTGTATTATTGGGAAAAGGAAGGACTTACTCCTCAGCCTTATACTGTTAATGGATCTACCAAGGTATCAAGTCAAATGAGCTAACTCATATTTTTCGTGTTCTTAGACATTTTGCATACTTTATCGCATGGTGTCGTAAAAGACTCTCGCATGGCTTATTTCATGGTTTGCGTCTGACTCGTCATGCGTCACTTGGGTGGATGTAGTTCTTCATTTCTCTCTTAAAATCTGCCCTATTCAGTATTCTAGCACTATTTTTGTCTCCATGAAGTGTTTTTTTTTTCTTCACGTCTCTTAGACATTTCTTTTATGACAGTGAATTCTGTTTCAATATTTATTACCTTTCTTTTTTAACACTTTCCTTTCTGTCTGCGAAGACCTCACTCAAACATCCTGGATTAAGTAACACGTATTTCTACCTCTGCCAAAATTTATCCTGAATCCCATCGCGAGCCAGTGACGAATGATGTGAAGTATAACTTGTCCCTGACAGTGGTTGAACCCAACTTTTTTCGAAACTGATCATCCAGGAAGACTCTGACCCCCATAATACCAAGGCGTGTTGCTTTGACCTTCTTAACCGTACTATGATAGACTGGTAAAATCGAAGCGACGGAGGGAGTTCATTGTTATGGCTTCTGCTGCAGCGAGTTGAAGCTGTGTTTCATTTGTTATTATTTATTTATTTATTTTAGTCGGTCTAGAGCAACCTGAATATCTAATATTTGTCTTGCATTTAATGGATTAACAGGTTTTCTCTGGGAATATCGACCAGTTTGCTACGGTTACACACAGTCTTGATGGCGTTAAAAATGCACAGTTTGTCAGGCTTGAGGTGAAGTCATGGCATCGAGACATATGCATGAGAGTGGAACTTTTCGGATGTGATGGCAAGTTACAATTATTGTTATCATTTCTTCACGTCCCTATTTTTGCCTCCTCCACTATTTTGGTGATGCGAGTTTAATTCAGTCTTTGTATTCAATAGATTAAGGTATAATCTGTAATCAAAATGAAATTACAAAAATAATTATACTTTTCCTATAATGAAATCATATTTAATGCTTCAGTTTTGGAGAACAGAGGTTTACTTACTCATTAAGAATCCTTCAGCTGTTAACGAAAGAGTACATTCCTTTAATAACTTTGGGACCAGCATTAAAATTAATGGGAAATGTTACTCTGAGTTGGAAAGTACTTGCGTATTCTTTTACTTTTAAACTGGAAGTAAAAAATACGAATTTTTTTATTCGTAGCTGCGCAATTCATTCTCATTTTCAATGCTTCTCCGATTATATGACGAATGTATCTTTGGTGGACAAGACACGCAAAAAATACATAGAAAGTATAATTTTGCCTTTTTTTCGTTTTGGTTCGAAACTAGCTAATCTCGTGGATGGTGGGTACAGCGAATGGTCGGCTTGGTCGGCGTGCAGTGCTACCTGTGCAGGAGGTTTTCAGTACCGACAGCGAACCTGCGACAATCCGGAGCCCGAGAATGGGGGTAAAGACTGCTCATCACTGGGAGCTGATAAAGAGGAAGCGATTTGTAATACACACATTTGCCCAGGTGGGACTATGACTACACTTCAAGCGAATAAAGATAAATTTTATACCTGTATGAAGGTACATAACGAGAAAATATTAACTGCCTCGGACGATACTCAAGACCGCAGTTATCCTAATACGAGCTGACCTACATGTAGAGTGGCCATCAGCTTGTTTACTATGCTGCCATTTATTGGACTATAACTGTAGAGATCGAATGGGGCTTTGTGTCCACTACAAACCACTTGGAAGTTTGAAAATTGAGTTTGCAACAAGAATTTTAACAACTCGCTAAGAATGAATCAAATTGCATACCGTCCTTGAAAAGAAAAGTAATGTTTATTTCCTTTTCGAAAATTATACATTTTATTTCATTTTTTATAAACAGATTTTAGTTTAATGAATTTGAGTCATATTATTTCTCCCAAGTGCAGCGTATCATCCCAAATGACACGAAGACAGTTGAATTCAATTGTAAAGCAAGGAGATTCAACGCTGATAACTGAATTTCCATACTTTAAAGTAAAAATTTAAAGTGTTTAAATCTTCAGCTTGGAATGTGAATGCTATAGAATAATTTTTTTTCCAATTTATTCGAGTTGTTAGTGATCATGACCCAAATTTATCAACTACTCTATTGAAAAAAATTGACTACTGACAATAATTTACCTACTGTGAAATTTCAGCACTCGACGTAACAGTTCCTTCCGTTGTAGTAAAAGAAGTTCCGGTTGTTATCAGGATCAAAAACTGCGGTCGGGAGGTTGTGAGTTTGGATTTTGGGGATTGCAACGTAACCAACACATCGCTCTGCGAAATTGAACATATTTACAACAAAACTGGCTTTGTGGAACTAGTTTTACAAGCTAAAAATCACACCATAACGAGACGCCTTATCCTGGTGCAGGATGCTATTACAGGTTTTGTGGTGAACAAAAAAGTTAACGCAATTTCATTTAGGGATACTTTTTTAATTAATTGGAAAATCGATACGGGTTCAATGGTTCGTTTTTCGATCGATTATGGAGACAACTCGACAGAAACTTATTCATTTTCTTCTGTTCAAAAAGTCCTACAGAGAAATAACTCTCATATCTACACTGGCCTGGGAGTATTCTACGTCATCATAATGGCCATGAATGAGTTGAACAGCATCACAATATCTGAACATGTTATAGTTGAAATTCCAGTCAATGTTTCGTGTTTGCTTATCAAGAATCTTGGGCCCTTTGATAACATATACCAGAATGACAGTATTGAAATAAAATTGAATGTATCTGATGGTTCTAACCCGGAATTTTTGTTTATTTTGGGCAATGGAATAAATCTTACACAAAGATCAACAGAATTGGTGTACAGTTATCCGCAAAGTGGACTGAAAAATATTAGCGTAATTGTTTACAACAATATAAGTGCGTATCAGGTACGAACTGTTGTAAATGTCCGAAAAGTCTTTTCACTTGGTAATGCAACTCTAGAGGTTTCTTCAGCCAACGTTACAGAGCCGGCATTGATGATCCTAAATGTCAGTGAAGGGTTTCCATATCTATGCTTTTGGTATTTTGGAGATGGGAGTTTCATTCAAACATCTTCTTTTCAAAACAGTTCATTCATCTACCATGTTTACAAAACAATAAATGTTTTCAACGTAAACATTAACTGCTCAAACAACTTTGGCTTTATAGTCCAAAAAGCAACTGTTACGGTACAGCAAGCAATTAAAAGCCTAACTTTCACCAACAACTGTCCGAGGCAAATCGATGAAATGGTAGTTTTTAACATATCAACAGAAGAAAGAGGAACGAATTCCTGCTTTGTTGTTAATCTTGGTGATGGAACATTTTTTGGGTTTGGTCACGAAGACTGCAGTCATGAAAACGTATCGATAAGATTCTTAGGCTTCGCTGGAAATTATTTTTCTATCAACTACAACTACTCTTCGTTGGGAAGTTATGATGTAAGCGTGACAGCGTGGAATCGTGTTTCTCGTTCCTTCCTACAGGACAAAGCCCTTGTGGTAAAAATACCTTGCAATTTTCCCACCATAACAGTACCAGAGTTTAAAAAAGATATAAATTCTCGAACAGTGTTCACTCCATTACAGGCCGTTCGTTTTCGTGTTTTTATTACGAAAATCGATTGCAAGGCAACTGATCAAAAAGATATCATTTGGACTGTTTCTGAGGTGTCATCTTTGCCAAAGAATAAATCTGGAACCCATACCGTTCTTAACCCAGACAACAAGAAACTCGAGGAGCTAACTATACAGAAAAAGACCTTGACATATGGTGTATATATGATTAGGTGTAATGTCAGTATGAGAGAACAATACGATGTGTACAGCATTGAAGAAGGCTTCATTGAAATACAAGGCAATGCTTTGATAGCAATAATCGAAGGAGGGAGTCTCATTCAAAAAGCCTTTGGTAAGCCCTACGTACTGGACGGTTCGGATTCCCGTGACCCTGATGACGCTGAACCCAATTTACAGTACTACTGGCTTTGTCAAAATGCTTCCTGGGAAATACAGGAAGATTTAATGTCCATGACAAGCGAAACTTACCTTCTTAATGTCTCTGATTACAATGCATCCACTTTCTGCCATAGATCAAGAAACGGAACTTTAATGAAGGGCGGATCGTCCATTGAAATTCACACAGGCACACTTGGGTTGCATTCTTCCTATGCAGTGGCCCTTTTTGTCTTCAAGACAGTGAATAATCACTTTCGAATCTCAAGCTTTACTCAGGTTGTAAAGATTGTCGATGGAGATCCACCAGTTATCAAAATCAGGTAAGAAGATACCTTCAAAGCACTATCATATTTCGAGTGTATAAGCAAGTTTTTTTGTGATACGTCCTGTTAATAAATCAAAACTTAGTTAGGTTTCTATTTTAAATTCCATACGATCATAATTTACTATATAATTTTTCCTAAGGCTACTCATAATTGGGCTAGTTATTGAATTTGAATTAAAAAAAAAAAAAAAACTAGAGGTAGAGATATTGTGGTAAAGATTGATTGTATCTAATGTAAAATTCACTTTGAAGAGTTCACCATCTGTAGAGTGTACCTTTTTAGCTGAACAGTTAATTCCTTAAAAATATCACTATAACAGACGACCACATGTTTCACGTGACTTTGAAATAAATGTATTCACTAGGTGCAAACGGAACTGTGGTGCAACTGTTAACGCTGCGGAAAGATTTCTGCTAGAAGCCCAAATTGACCCCTTGGAATCACTTAACACTTTACAAGAAAGATACCAATGGAATGTCTACGAGAAAATTGAAGAAGGAGAAACATTTGCCTGGACGAAATTCAAAGATACCGATGCATCAAATGTTAATCATATATATTTCCTTGAGAACACTCTTAAGCCTGGGAGGTCTTACAAGGTGTCTGTTATTGGAATGATACATGGTCGAGCGGACGGATACAGTGAGTTGGACTTCTATGTCAATATCCCACCTCGTGGTGGAAGTTGCTTTGTTGACAAATCTGAAGGCTATTCAGACGAGACTTCGTTTTTGTTCGAGTGCAAGGAATGGGCTGACGAAGATCTTCCATTGTCGTACGAGTTTATGTATTACACGCGTTACGGGGTCGTGTTTCTCTTGTATGATGATATTTCACCTGTTTTTGTTACCAAGTTACCACTCGGTGAAGTGGAAAAGAACTTTACCTTGAACTTGCAAGTGAAAGTAATCGATGCTCACGGCACATACAACACCACAAAAATCGACGTCCAGGTATGTAAACAGGAAATTGACTGTCCGAAAAAAAAAAGGCTTTGCTATTAAGTCGTCATTATTCCTTGTATTGGATGTACTAGTAAGGAAATAATTTCGTTGGACCACCATCTTGTACGTCCAATGTTTGCTTTTTATAGCTTTAGATCTGTTTTCATAATGCGGTTCGGATACATAGCCGGCAAGTAGTACCAGAAGAACCAACAAAAGTTTGTAAACATACCAAGCGCCGTAATTGACACCATAATAACGTGAACAGAGACGAAAATTCCTCAACGAGAAAACAAAATGGATATTCTTTGTAGGACATACATATATATCATTTGTGTTTATCTGAACAAGGTTTCAGCCTCTGTATATTTGCCATTACAAACATAATGCTATTTGGGAAAGACCCACGGGTCTTAATACTGCTCCACAATACACTTTCTTATTTTATCAAATTTGGTGACTATTTAAAATCAGTTAGATTTTGCCGTCTGATATTCGCTTGGTTAACGTTAATTCTATATTAAGAGGAGATGTTGTTGTGCGACTTCTTGGTCTAGATTGAGTTAACCTGTTAAATAACTACTGTATGTATAACAGGGTAATTTGGTATTATTAACTAAGTTGATAATACGAAAATAGCCTAGATGGACCCATCGTGAATGATTGCAACGCGGATTATTGTCCATTTGATGAGAAATTCATCTTCAAATTAGGACATAAAGTGTCGCTTGTCCACTTATTTTGTGGATAAGTGATCACAGCAGGAAATAGCTTTTACTCCTTAAGGATAAGAAATTGAAAGAACTCGCTGGGGAAGGCACTTCACCCCACTTCATTTGCATGAGCGGGCGAACAATTTACCACTTCAGACTGTCACAGCATTGCTCTAAAAGTGTCATGTAGAATCCGAATGAGATGGTCAAATGTACAAATATTTTCCAAAGTATATCATCTAACTATTTGTTTGTTTCACAAATATCATTTTCCATAATAAATTGATGTTGTTTTTTTTTCTATTGGTTCAAGGAAGTACTACTAGTTTCATCTGTTATCCGCTTAATTCCAGGTACTTCTCGGTACAAACAAACAAAATGAGACTTTATCAAAGTTCCAGAACTTCGCAATTAAGTCGTTGTCTTCACTAATGGAAGAGGGAAAGACACAGGAAGCCACTCGTGAGATGAATGCGATCGCCTCCGTTCTAAATGCCTTTGCAATGCAAAATGGAACTACGGAGAAAGAGGAACGCAAACAAGTGAGGCTTTTAGTTTCTCTATACCGTTTTAATGTCCTTTTGAGTTATTAAACATTAGCACCGACTAGGTGGTAGCAAGCTTGAGTTGTTCTTTAATCTTTCATCATTTCTGTTAAATACTATTTTAATGCATTTTTAGGAGTCTAGATGAAATTATTTTCTTCGTCTTTTGCTGTCGTACTAGAGGAGCCTGAAATTTTGATTAGAAATCTCTAGTCAAGTTTAAACTACTATACTTAGGTTTCGTCCAATTGCACTGAATCCAGTTGCATGTCTATGGTCTGGGAAAATTAGATAATGATAATCAATTAATTTATTTCGTCTCCCAACGTAGACTCAGAAACGTTGAGATCTGCATCACAGCTTGATATACCTCGTGAACGTGACAAGTGATTAAAAATTCCATCCTTTTTAACGAAAATATGTGACTGATCAGCTCAAGGTCTTGTATTTCTTAGTTAAGAGCGACGATGGCAACTGTTCTTGCAAATAAAACAGCATCGTCTCTCTCTGATGTGAAGCAGTTGGGATCAGCCTTAAATCAAGTGACCCTAATTAGAGACGAGGTTCCTGTTGATATTCAGGTAAGAAACAGCAAACGAAAGGCACGTTGTTTTGTGGGTTTACAAGTATTGAAACATGAAACAACTGGAGGAAATCGGGATGATTGTGTTATTGTCCATTGCTTTCTCATTTAGGATCTCACATTCACGTAGGTTTTTTTACTGTCTATGCTTCGCTACTTGTATGAACGATTTGATTGAAGCATTGAAGTCCTCAAACAAAGTGCATACCATTCGTGATACTGCTCTGAAATTTCAGGAAATTAGTCTCAAATCTTTTAAAGACATGGCGGATTTGATCGATAAAAAGTCGCATGACAAGGCAACTTCCACAAGTCTCATCAACGACACAGCCATCATAGTAGGATCGGGCCTAGTCAATGTCATCATGGCGTCCAGCGATTCGGCTCGACTATACGGGGAATATCCTTCTCAGGACTCGCAACCGTATTCTAATAATACTGTAGAAAAGGTATGTCGAGTAGATGATGTTCTTCATAAATCAGACACTTTAATGAATCAAAGAACAACTCACCACAACGCATAGCGAAGCTAATCCCGTTACAGTGCGATAGAATTTTTTGGAATTCAAAGTTCCCTCCTTCGTTTCGTTTAATCGTGAAATAATCTTGATTCTAATAGGGAATGGGAATGACCTTAACACCTTCCCTTAACAATGGTTTCGTTCACTAAGCAACAAATGGGAACAATCTTTCACTTACATTACATCCAATACAAATACTCCTATTCTAACTCATTGAAAACCTTTAAGTGAGCTGTCTGTCAGTTTTTGAACTCTCGAAATTTCTCTAATTGTTTCTAGGCAAGGGTAATTGCGCGTGATGCCATGGCAACTTTGGGTAATGTTACTGATGCGTTGAGTTCTTTAACGATTCTTGGAGAAGAACCTCTGATTATGTCTGTACCTCGAATGTCAATGGTTCTACAAAAGATGAGATCGGACATAATTGGCGAACACACCGTTGGGAATGGCCAAGTGTCTGTACACTTGCCTAACCTTACAGAGGTATTCGGTGGAATTTCGGCCAATGGATACGTGGATTTACAGGTATCCATTATGATGTTCATATCAGTTACATTGATTGTTTAAGTTTTTCATTGAGCCGAGGGCAGGCAAAACGTTGAATTGAGTAAAGTGGTCATATCTCAGGGAATAGAGGAAACGTGAATGAAAACGGTGAGTAGGAGGAGGGAAATCATAAACCATTTACCTTCATTCTTCTCCTTACACTCTTTTTTTAATTACCACCCTTTATTGTTTATTTTTTAAAAAGTTACGAAATTGGCATTTTCCCAATTGTAAAGCTAATAGCCAGATACATTTACTGACTCTTTACATTTTATTTATAGGTACTTGTTTTTCCTAGCAACCCATTTACGTGGGACAGCACAGCTTCGACCATTTCTTCCCACATTCTCACAGTTATGCTCAAAGATGAAAAAAAAACTGAATTAAACGTATCTTCTCTTAAAAATGAAATCAGCCTGATTATACCCCAAAACATAAAGTTGCTTCTGGAACCATCACCAGCATTCATGAACGGAGGCAACGGCAGTATTCGTTATCATAAATTTGACATCACAAAAGTGGAACACCCAATGAGTTTTCGGATTAAACCTAGCAAAAACGATGTATTTTTTGCGATCTATTGGGGCTATCAGGAGCGTCCTGAGATGGGAGACCATAACTTAGTCACTGTTTTGCCAGACTTTTCGTCATGCAGCGTTCTTGATGGCAGCCTTGAGACCTGCGAGTATGATCCTTACACGGTATTCATAAGCGGATCATCTATACCAAGATCTGGCGAATATTACCTGGGTATCAGAAGTTATCGGGCATCAAATGGTACACGGTCTCGCGTGCGGAGGTCTTGTTTCGATGGTGCTCGAATCAAGCGCTCTTGTATAACTTATAAAGATCCTCCACCTCGACCAACGACTGATCCTCGGGGGGAATACAAACTTCAAGTACCCTTCTACGATGCTGATAAAGACGTCAATTATACAGTTAACAGTTTTACATCACCATGTAAATTCTGGGACGTCAAGAACGAGACATGGTCTTCAAAGGGATGTAAGGTAAGTACTATTGTTATACACGTCGTCATGATTGATTAACTCGTGGTACAGCCGCAGAACTAAAATTTTGTAGCCGATTCAAGGGATCCGCTTGCGACCCACTAGAGTTATAATTTTTGAAGCTCGAGGCTGAGTTACCTTCAAAATGAGGAACATTTCTTTCGAAAGAATTTCAAAGGCGCATTAACATGTGTCCTTGCCGAACTTGGTATTTGGTATTTATCAGTAACCACAACGTTATCGCCTGACATGATACGTGATGTTATGATTAACGAAAAAAGAGGCCACTAGTGTGCTCGGTTCTGTTGTGAAGCGCCTACGAGGCAAGAGCATGATAAAAATTTACGGGGAAGCATGAGACATGGGTGAGTGTTTCCGATTCCCTTTTCTTGAGGGCTTTATTGCTGCCAAGGTTTCCTACTACTTACTAGAGGGACTTAAGAGCTGAGTACAGTCGAAGCTTTTTCATTTCTTTGTTATAAAGAACCCATCAAGACTTGTAAGTTAAGTGTAGTTAAAACTGCCTAACATATATCTGACTCGACTGATTATTAATTTGTGTTTGGCTGAATGAACGTTTCATTTGGGTCAAATTCGTTAAAATCCCGAAGCAGTATATGAAAAAGTCACCTCATCATGGCTTATCGCCACTTACCGTTCACTCTCATAAAGCACACTTTTTCAACAAATCAGTGGTGCGTTATATTGAAACTTATTATAAATTTCAATAAAAGAATTGGTCCATGTTTAGTGTGCGTATTTCGAGTTATGGATGCACGCAGGAAGTTTGGAGAGCACGAGAGAAACGAAAGAATTGCTCGAGGCGCAGTCGCTTTTTGAATGCTCTCCAAACTTCCCAAGTGCATCCGTAACTCAATAGACGCATAGCTAAAGCACGAACCGATTTTATTAAGACATAGCATGCAGACACAAGTTGTGCTCGAAAAAATTTTTTTATCACAACAGTATCTAGCTTATTAGGTGACCGTGTTCTACCTGAAAACTACAAATAAGAGACAAGGCAAAAATAACCAAGAAATGTTTCGAGACAAAATCTCTATTCAAAGAATAATATTGTAAATATTCTGTTCAGGAGCGAAAAACGAGCGAACATCTTGCATGCACGAGACTGCGTAGTAGACTCAGCATGCTTGAATTGCTTACCATAATTCATGGTCAGTAAAGTGTACGAACATTTTCGAGACCCGCGTGGTAGATGTAGCCTGCTTAAATTTTTTTTTTTTTTTGTAGTAGAATTAACGACCAGAAAACTGCGTAGCTTTGTATTGAAAATTATGACAATTTTACGATTTCAAAACAAAATTATTCATTGACCAACACTTTTGGGACAAAGCAACACTTCAAAATAATATTTACCGTTCCAATGAAGAGTCCTCAACTTCGCAAAGCCTCGGTTGAAGTCAGAAAGCTAAGTTTTGTTTTTAGCCATGATTCGCATCGCGTTTGGGAATGAAGCATCGTCAACTCCAAAACTTATTTGGTTGCCTTTCGTTTCGAGCTTCCTCGAGCTCCAAAAGGTCTATCTCAATTAGGAAAGAATGGTTTCTATACTTTTCGATACCCACATGTAATGGTATGAGATGTCACATGATATAATGCAATACACAGGTGTAAGTGACGTGAGGCAGAGTCCCAATAGGATAAAAAATGTTTTTGCTTCTGAAGTTATAACTTGGTCGATGGTAATTACTGGAATAAAATTGAAGATATTCAGACAATACATGAATAATTTTTACTCATAGGTTGGAAACAAGACCCGAATTGACCAAGTCCATTGTCTATGTACTCATCTGACTTCTTTTGGAGGAGGGTTCATCCAAGCTCCAAATCCTATAGACTTTGATAAAGTTTTCGAGGGCTTCAAAAATTTGTCCGACAATGTTGCTGTGCTGGCAACTATTGTGACAGCATTTGCCATCTATATTTTGATGGTACTGTGGCTGAGAAGAATGGACAAGCGGGATAAACTTATTGTAAGCTGGTCCTTAACCTTTTGGATATGGCTATGTTATTACTAAGAGAAACGATGCAAAATTGAGCAAAGTTGAATTTGAAAGCTCTCAGTACTTCTAAATCGACGATGAAACCAGTAAATATTCTAGAATCAAACTTTTTATTGGGATTCTCCCAAAATCCTTTGTTTACTCAGAGGCTTTAATTTTTAGAGGTGACATTGAAAGTAACTCTCAAGAAGTGCAACTTTTCAACAGAACGTCCTACCGAAGCGAAAAATATTTCCAGTTGTCTTAATTTCTTAAGTGGTACGTGACAGTCGCTTAGAAATAGTGAGTACCTCATCGACTCATGTATGGTCTTAAAATGTAGTGTACAAGGTTGCAGTAATAAATCATCTTGTGAGAATTTTTTAGAACAGAGCAGCGCAAAATGTAATCGTGGGTATTTATGAGAATGTGGCGCATTTCAATTGATATAATCATTAATAATTGTCTTGCCATTATAGGGCATTCCTACGACAATTCAAACCCACGAAGGTGTACCCCTAAACAGCTATGAGATTATAATCCAAACTGGCTCATGGCGAGGCTCTGGTACAACAGCCAATGTCTTCATAGTCCTGGTGGGCGAGAATGGCGAAAGCAACCCCATCGCACTAAGGGATGAAAACAAATCTCTTTTCACCAGAGGATCGACGAATGAATTCCTCGTTTCAATTCCTGAGAATCTTGGAAAATTGCTCTACCTTACGGTATGGCATGATTTGTCAGGCATAAATTCTTCTTGGTATCTCAGTTATGTTATCATTCGCGAAAATAAAACAAGGGAACAGTACATTTTTGCATGTGACCATTGGCTCGCCCTAGAGAGAGGAGACGGTTCAGTAAGGAGAGTTATACCAGTAAGCGACAAAAAGGAACTAACAAGTTTTGGGATCCTTTTCCGTACCAAGACATCTAAAGACATATTTGATGGCCATCTTTGGATCTCTGTTGTAGGTAAACCCTCTAAGAGTAACTTCACTCGTGTCCAGAGATTGACCTGTTGTATGTCACTTCTATTTAGTGCAATGATAACAAACGCAATGTTTTACAACATTGGAAACAAGTCAGACGATTCCACTGTTTCCATTGGACCATTTTCATTGAGTCTCAGGCAGATCATAATTGGAATTCAGAGCAGTCTCATTGCGCTCCCAATCAACATCATAGTCTTGCAGATATTTCGTAATCTAAAGCAAAAGAAAACAACCAGTTCAAAATATAAAAGGCCATTTCCCTTCCGAAGAAACGCAGTGTTCGTCAGCGATGAATGGTCAGACAAAGATGCTCCGATGGAACCAATCCAGGAAACTTCAGGTGGACGCTTGCCTCACTGGTTGATCTATATAGCGTATCCTCTGTGCTTTCTGATAGTGATGACTGCAGCATTATTTACTTTGTTTTACAGTATGCAGTGGGGAAAGGAAATATCCAACAAGTGGCTCTCATCCATGCTTGTATCATTTTTCCAGGACGCATTTATAACACAGCCCTTAAAAATCTTCCTTGCCGCTCTAGTTATCTCATCAATTTTGAAGAAACTACCCGGCGACTTTACAGAAGGGCCATTTGCGGGTAGGAAAACAAGCATTGTAGACCCCAAACCAACCGCATTTGACAGAGAAGAGGCAATAAAAAGACCACTCTTTATGTCTAAACCTCCAGACGAGACCCTAGTGGAGAAGGCCAGGAAGTACAAATTGAACGAGTTGAAAGCTTTCAGGATACTGAGGGAAAATATCTTGCATCTGCTATTTCTATCGTCGTTGCTGGTGATAAGTTATTCCACGAGAGACCCAGATGCTTTCACTCAGAGCAGATATCTGAGATACGTGTTCGGTGAACAGGTACGGTGTACCAACGCTAAACTATTAGTTAGGATAAGAACGATGAAAAAAGGATTTAAAAAAGCTGCCTACAACGAAATTGCTCGTTTATGTCCAGCATGACGTTTTCCGCCTTGAATGCCATTTCACTTTTTATAGTCTAACCTTATCCTGTAAGTTCTCGTACGAGAAAGTGCCACTTGACGGCAATCAGAGAGACTCAATTATTTTGGTGGTTGCTTACGGGATGTTGGCTTGTACGTTAGATGTTGCTGTTCATTAAGGTATCATGGTAAATGGTTTAAACTTGGGGTAGCATGTGATAGGGGAAATTGATATTATCAACTGAGTTGAAAACGTAAATTGGCCACCGCAAAGAGTTTCAAAGCTGACGTTTCGGGCGTCCGCCTTTCGTCAGAGTGAAGGGCTAACGAGGAGCTAACGCTCGAAACGTCAGCTTTAAACTCTTTACGGTGGCCAATCAACGTTATCAATAAGTTGATAATACTAAATTATTCAGTTATACTCTCCCAACGACTCAGCGCCACAGTTTCTTTAGAAAATTGCCCCCTTTCATCGGTGACATAAGAGAGTATAGTCTGAGTGTAAGACTAGAAGGACTGCTGTCGGTAATAGAGACTGACGTTATGATAACAGACTTTCTCAGTAATACACTCACTCGGACGATCAGATCACTCTATCAATAACGTGTGTATCTGGCCCCTATATGGCTTGCCAAAGCTTTATTTCCCTTGTTGGCTGTAGCACCACACCATTTCATCTGTGAGAAAACAGATGAAAAAAGAGAAAAAGTGCTAAGTTTTGTTTACCACGTGATTACAAGCAGTGGTTTTTTTCTTTTTTCGAATATGTATTTTTAATTTACCTAGGCTAACGATATCCGGAGTCTTTGGTCTTTCTTGGAAACTGGTTTGCTACCTTTTGTCTTCGACAAAAAGTGGTATAACGGTGATGAGGACAAATTAGATGGGTTCACTGAAGACAAGTACTTGTATATTATTGGTATGCCACGCCTTAGACAACTCAGGTCCAAGAAAGGTACGCTTTTGAAATGCTTTTCTTAGATTAATATACTGTTTCCAACTATTTTTTTGTTTAAAAGAACGTTGTGCTGGGAGAAGTTGACAATATTTAATTGAATTTGAATTCGTTTGGAATATATCTAGCACAAACTAGTTGCTGTTACATTAATTTGCTCAAGAGGATGAAGCTTTCTTTTTTTTTCCATTTGAAGTAAACTGTGAAAGTGAATACTCCCAAGACCTAAACATGAGTTGCAGTGGTTCTTACTCCGTTATTGACGAGGAAAAAGATTTCTATTTACCTGGATGGATAAAAAAAGGCGACTTGAGCTTTTCGGCATGTCCGGCTTCATGGCGATACCAAACAGCTCTAAAACTGGACGGACTGCCTTTTTGGGGTAGTAAAACGATTTACAGTGGCGGAGGATATACTGCTGACCTGGGTTACTTCATGGAGCAGGCTAGAGAAGTGATAAGTGACTTACAGACCTACAAATGGGTTGATCAGTTCACACGTGCAATCTTTGTCGAGCTTAGTGTGTTCAATGCTCCAGCCAATCTTTTTAGCAGTGTTACTTACTTGGTGGAGTTTACAGGTACCGGGGGCTCTTCAACGTATTTGAAAGTGGACACTTTCCGCCTTTATCAGCATGTCGGCCCCTGGACTGCAGCGGTTGCATTAAGTGAGTTTGTGGCCGTTGTGACTGTTGCAATAGCTCTCTACGTGGCTTGCAAGAAGATTTCTAGGGAGAGAAAAGGATTTTTCAAGAAGGCTTGGAATGTTGTCGATGCTGCGCAGATTGGGCTATCCATCTCTGCTATAGCACTGTTCTTCATCCGACTGATGAACGCAAACTGGACTATCGCAAAAGTTCAGGAGAACCCATTTGTATTCGTAAGCTTTCATTATGCAATGAAGTGGGACGAAGTTAGCACTTACGTCATGGGTGCCATAGTATTCATCGCCACGTTAAAGTTTCTCCAACTGCTGAGCTTTAACCGGCACATTGCTGTTCTTTCGCATACAATTTCTCGTGCCGCAGTAGAGCTGCTACCGCTGGGAATGGAAGTCTTACTCACGATTTTTGCCTTTAATATCTTTGCTTACGTTGTTTTCGGAAGCCGGGTCGAAGGTTTTAACAACTTCATAACGACCTGTGAAACTACACTGGCTATGACGCTTGGGAAGGCATACTTTATGGAGCTGAGCGATTCGGAGGCTGTCCTCGGTCCTTTGTTTTTCGCTATGTTTGTGATAACTATGCAATTTTTCCTTATCAACATGATTCTGGCTGTTATTATGGACACCTACAATGAAGTTAATGCTGAAATCGATGAGAACTCCCCAGAGTACGAAATGGCCGGTTTTCTTCTATGTTATTTAAAGTCTTTCTTCGGTGATCACTCTGAGTTTAAGGCCGGAGACGAGGTCTGGAGGAAATCTAAAGAGAAGGGAAACAAAACTGTTAAAACTAAGAGTGTCAAAGAAAACCTCCTTGTTTTAAAGGAACAGCGTAATTTGCTGAAGGAAAGGCTAAAATCGTTGCAAACTTTGGACAAAGATGTCGCCGATTCGGAGCTCTCTTTTGTAGAGCGGTGGCATGCCATCTGTATCTCTGCTGATTATGAGACTGATGCAAAGTTGTTAGAAGTGATGACGTTCTACCTTGGCCACGAAACCGATTGCTCCATCGAACTTAGTGTTTCAGATAACGAGGCCGATGCATTTGCATAATCGGGGACAATCAGGAACATGATCATGCTTTCTGATTGGAATGACAAGAGAACTCAAAACTCGAAATTATTACATTTTGTCGAAAATTGCAATATTTACGCGCTTGTTGATAGTACTTTACATTTATATTTTACATTTATTTTACGTTTACATTTCATTTACATTACTGAATCGAAAAGACCTTGATAACTGTCGGACTTCAAGAGTCAGGCTTAGGATATTTTTGTCAAAAATTGCGATTTTTTGGGCTCGTGTTTGACAGGAAGGTATTAATTTTTATGTCTTTTAAAACTACATTATTTGAATGTAATGGAATCTCAAATCTTAAATTTGTTTCCAAGCAGATAAGGAGTGTGTTAAAATATTTTTATACATGACAATAATAGATGAATTCTACCAGCATCTATTAATCAATTGAAATCAATTAATTCATATATTAAAGTTCACAAGGTAACCGGGTGGACAATCAGATATGGTTTGATGCTAATCTGGTATAAAGATATAATGAACGTAACCTAGAAGTTACAATTCATAGACCCAACGTCTCATCAGGGGTGATTTAATCGCTGCAAAAAGAGGACGTTTTATATACTAACTAATTAGCTGCCCTTTGATCTGACGAGGTGTAAATGGGCGTCAGGTAGTAAGCTGCCATCATCACGATTTAAAGGAGCGTGGGCGGAGTTGATAGGCCAGGCTTCCAAACAAAGGCGCTGGTGGTAACGTCGATTATTGGTGATAATTTTAGACTTATCCCACCCAATTTTATGGTTGTTAGGCATGTGTGCTCCGACAAAGCTGAATTTTCTTTTTCGCATTTTGATGCTCTTTCAAACGTGTACCAAACTGACGTTTGGTGTGTCCGATATACTCGTCATCATTTATCATTGCACGGAATAGAATAAATAGCGTTGGTTCGTTGTTCTTTCATGACAGGATCCTTAGGTTTGACAAAAATATGCCTTGAAGTCTGAAAAGGATTTTGGGCAACTTTAACGTTGTGGTTACTCAAAATTCTCTTGATGGGTTCCGTAACATCCTAAATGTAAGGAATTACAGCAAAACCAGTCGCTGTTTCCTTCTCGTCAGGAGTGTTATTAGATGTAACTGGTTTCTGGCAGTATGGTTATTATAGCCATTTACCTCTAGGACGGCAGAAACATTTTCTCTCCTCAGCCTTCGAAACAAGTGAAGATGGTAGACAGTCCGCTCTCCTGAGTAGCTTCTCGGTTACATTTATTAAATTTCAAACCAGAGTAGCATCAAACCATGTCAAATTCATCCTATGCAGTTGGTACACAAATAAAACCATTCTTTATAGCGAGTCGTTAGTTGTCTTTATTAATTGCTTCATTAAGTACTTAATGTAAAAAGTTTTTTTCGCAGTTAAGGTTTCACTTGAGAGATGCCTGCCTAAATTGTCGTTATTTTTTCTATCAGAACGCTGCAGCAGAACAAGCCTGCAGACGAACGCATTAGGCACAAGATTCTGGGGGCATGAGCGGACTTTTGCGGCCCGTGCTGAGGGGAATGTGTATTTACCAGTCGTAAACCCCCCTCCTACGGGCAAGAACGATAAATCCATGTCGAGCTCGATTTCCCAGGAACAAACATTGATCTGATATTCTATTGTTACGGGTCTGTCATTTTTGCTTATTTTAGCCAACAACTCCCAAGATCTGATTGTTTATTCTCCCTCTAGCTGCTACACATTTCCTTGAAAATCAGTTATGAGAATTTGTTGTTAGATCGAGGTGTCAATTTTACAGGAAGAAGTTAAATGTTGATCACTGCTGGAAGTTAAAGGGTTAATACCGAGAAAATCGGAAGTTCGGGTTTTTAAGCCTACTCATGTCAACTTGAGCAATTCTCTTTCCAGTTTTGGTCAGCACCTGCCTTGTTGGAAGTCCTGGTTAGCAGTTTACAAAAACAGTTTTCGATCGACCTATCGCTGAACATCTGAGAAATTGTATTGTTGTGATCTTCTGCATTATTGATAGAATCAGCTTAAAAGGTTTCGCGTTTTGTTAATGAAGCACATCTTCAATCAATGTCAGCGCAAACCTGATGAGGGATTTGCCAAATCTAATCTGAGTTTCATAGATCTCTTTGCTCCAAGCTTTAATCACCAGCGTTTTAGGATATCTTTCTATTTGTTTTTTTCCTATTAATAATTCTGAAGAATAAACATAAACTGATTAAGTCAGCCCGTAATTTTTAACAGTAGGATAGTTCAGTTTCCAGTGGAGTCCTGAATCTTATGGCACAACAGCGCGTTTTCCTCTGAACAACATTCAATTTCAACGTTGAATTCCCACTTTGTATAGATGATATCAAGGCAATATCCTTACCTTCTCGTTGTATGGGTAAGCATTCTAGTATCTTAATTTACGATGTTATGCTAACGTAAGAAACCTTCAAACATATTCGTTTTTAGAAGATGAAAATATTGACTGTTTGGAATTTACGTTTATTAGTCAATTAAATTTGACCATTTTTTAAACCGTTTTACTCAATTTACTCAGTAGCCTTCGATATGCTTTAGATAATCGCTAAAAATTATTCATTTGACCTGTTAGCGAGTAGCTTTCGTAGCTGACTTAATCAGAAATGATGTTTTATTATTTACCCCTATCAACAACTTTATTGCAGTATTTAACATTTTTATTCTAGGATCAGTGAATACTATCCATATATCCGCCCTTTTTGTATTGACTGAAATTTCGGGTCTTTAATCAAATCCCCTCTGCCTTTGAGCAAAATTAACAACAGGAATCACTTGCTTTATCAGCTAAAAGGGTACCGAAACAAATTAAGCAAAGGTTAAAAGATATACGCCATTGACTTCTTTACTGCTTCTATATAAGTAAGTCGACAGATTCAAATTACGCCCTTAAACTGAGGTAATCTTCAAACATCCTTACTATTCACGACGGACAAGTCGTCAGCAATGTTAGCCACAGACGCATTTGTCAAATTCAGTTAAAAGATTAATGCACTGGTCAATGTTGTTGTATTATGGACCTAGATAATAAATTAGCTAGCTAAAAAGATCCTCTCTGTATAGATAGTCTAGATAATTAAACTGTCAAGTTTTCTTTTTGTTTCAGATCAGCATGATACCCTTGATTATTCAAGGTAAACCTTTCACTACATGAACATCTTTCATCAGATCAGCTTGACATATATCAACTGACCATGATCAGGAGAGTGCTGTTTCAAAACACAGCGTCACACAAGTTCTCGAACAAAGTCATATGGATGATCATGCTGACGTGACTCATCCCGTCCAGTAAAATTGGGCCAAACCTTGTCCTTTGAGCATGCATTTGCGTTAAAAAAGAGGCTCCACTTACTCCGGTTTTTTTTTTAAACGACCCGGAAAGGTCTAACCTTCTAACGAGAAGTCCTTAAACCATACTGCCTTTTCTTAACTGCAACTAAATTTCTAAACAAGCCTCGAGCTTGGCTGAGTGCTGATATTTCCCCGTAGTCTCGTAAAGGAGAGGTGATAGAAAAGAGTAAAGAAAAGAAAAAAAGCCCCGTTCAAACAGTCATGATAGTTGATGATAGTTTCAACTATCACACTCATTTGAACACGAACCATTATGCACTGTCATTTAGTTTGATAGTTTTTTCTAACCCCTGTGATAGTTTTACGGTAAGCACTTTTGTCAAAAACGGCTCAAACCTGATTGGCAAGTGGTAAAATGACTGAGGTAGGCTTCAGAATCTTCAACTCGCAACTTCTTGACTAAAATTTCAAATGCCAGCAAAATTGCTAAACCCAGCGCGCGTCATATTTGTTTACAAATTAATTAATTTCTCGTTGCGTTATTTTGTCAACTAACATCAGCTGTCATAAACCGTTTGAACCCAAACATGATAGTCAGTGATAGTGAATGAAAGTTGAAACTATCGTCGACTATCATAATCGTTTGAACTGGGCTTAAGCGTTTTCCTTATGTGGTCTACCGATACACTATTTGCAATCTTAGTAAATTTTTTTATCTGCCTTTTTTTTTCTATTTTTTTCTTGCTCTTGGGAATCTTTCATTTGTGGAACAGGGAATGTTATGGCCTGCTCAGATGCGTTAGGCCTCTCAACCAATCAAATCGCAGATGACTCGTTATCTGCCACCACCTGGCAGCCTGGCAGAAGTGATCCTTGGTATGGCCGGTTAAACAACCAATCACGACGCAGCTGGTGTGCAACTGTCATTGATGATATTCAGTATCTTCAGGTTATTGCAACATTAAATAAATGTTTCTTAGTACGTGATACAGGATTTCAATACTAATAAAAAACTTGACGTATAATGACTACGTGAATAAAATTGCAATAGGATGAATTTTGAAACCATCACAGACATGGAGGCAAAAGCATCAGCTTGGCAATTTAGTTTGAAATTTCTCATTTGCATTTAGATTGATTTGGGTCCCAAACTGAGATTAATAACTGCGGTGGCCAGCCAAGGAAGTCATAACTATGACGAATGGGTGACTAGTTATAAACTCTCCTACAGTACAGATGGCGGGAAATGGAAAGTCTTTGGAAAAAGCGACATACCGGAGGTGAGAACTGTTATAACCGTGTTACAGTGTGAATTCACTTCTTTCCCGTGCGGGAAACGGCACAATCTCCATTCCAAGGGCCTCCCTCTTCCTCCCTTGAGATAGTAACCTGGTTGCAGTTCATTTTGTGCTTACGCAGAATCGTTCAGAATTTGGGAGATTTAAAAAAAAAATAAATCGAGGGTAGGATTCATGCATAGATTTTTTGTCAATACTAACTTGACAGGGAAGGCGTTTATTCGTGATTTTCGTTTTCCAGTTGGCAGTACTGCCACTAAACTTTTATCTAGATATAAAGCCACTAAACGCATTACTTGTTTAACTTTCAACTCAATGTTTGTATACCCAACCGAAAGCCGAGCAACTTGAAGTCTACTCAGGAACGTAACCGCTATTTTGCAAATGCACTCGGGATTTGTCGATTGGTCGAGAACCCTCTCTCCCTACGGCGATCTTTATTTTGCATAGGCACGTGACCAGCCGCAACCAGGGTGCACGTAGGACAGAAAATGATTTAAACGCTCACTTCTAACCTGTGAAGAAAAAAACAATCAAAATAAATCATAATTAAAATGATATGAATGTTCTCAATCGTTCATTCATTTTTTTACTCTTTCGTTACGTAATCCATCGATTTATTCAAATAACAAAGCAACCACACCAGGAAAAGTTTATGACGCTTACACGACGGATAGGAAACGATTCCAACTCCCACGTAACAAGGATTATATAAATGTTCCCATTCATCCATTCATTCAATCATTCCTACGTTGGTTTATATTTCTATTTATTACTTGCTATTTACTCAATCACCTGCTCTCATATTACCTCTTCTCTTTCGAAGATATTCGATGCAAATAAAAATCGCGGAACTGAAGTAAAGCACCAAATAGATCCGCCCATCACAGCTGTGGCCTTACGCTTCCACCCAGTGACATGGGAGGGTGATATGTGCATGAGGGTAGAAGCATTTGGGTGCGATGGTGAGCTTACCACATCTATATCACTTCTTCTTCAAAGTAACCAAACGATAAAAAAGTTTAGTTTAATGATAATCAGAGGATTATCTTTAAGGAATTGACCGTCCACCCTCACTTTCGTTTCACAAAAGACGTAATCATTATTTTAAATCCCACGAAAGCATTTGATAGGGTAACAGTTATCGATGAGTAGCAATAAGTAAAGTGTAAAATTAGTGAATGATAAAAGACAATGCCGTAGATTGATCATGAAAACACAAGTCCAAAAATCTGTGCATTGGATTAATCCTATTTGGTGATCTTAGGATTATCCTTCTAAACTATAAGCTTTGCAAATCACCATAAGAAATCCATCGTTCCAGGCCAACGAAAATACTGCAGTGATGATGGTCAAAGATACCTGTACATGTCTAAACAAAATACTCTCTTTAACATACTTCGAATCAAAACGAAATGAACTGAGGAATCGAAGCCAAGTGCACAACTGAAGCGAAAGGAACAATGCTGAAATAAAATTAGAAATAATAAGTTACCAGAATTTTGCGTCAAGAAACTTGAAAATGGGAAAACAAAATAAAGGACATCAAAAGACACTTACAAAGATTGTAAAACGGTTGGCTTAAGGCAATATATACAAAACGTTTTAAAGGAATTAAGAAAATTGATTCAGCACTGTGACAGTTAAACGATAAAGCCGAATAAATACGATTTACGATAAAGAACTTATATGAATGATACAAACAAAGGGAAATTACGCAAAAAAAGTAACAGAATATTGATAAAAAGTAATGCAAATGAAAACAAAAGAACTTAATGAAAATGCGACGGAAAAAAAATACGAATTTATTATAAGTAGCGTCAATCACAAGCAGCCCAAGCTCCAGCTGTGAGATGATCATCTTGCGCAATAACAGTCATGGCGGAATTATAGGAGTTTGTATGGGAATATAACAACAATAGCCTCTTGATCGATTTCTTTTGAGGGGACCCGTGGTTCTAAAACAATTTATTTACGATAACTGACGGTATGGTCCCCGGCGAGGCTCAGTTCGAAAAGGAGGTAGGGTTACCAAGCTGGTTTTCAACGGTCGTGTGTCAAGATTGATGTAGCCGCGGGCTGTTAGAACACCTCTAAACTGGAAAGTTTTTGAAGCAAACTGCGGCTTAGTGTCGGTTGCGTGGGGAAGATTGAGTTTTTAGTGAATTGAAATGAAACTGCAGTATATTTGCTTGGATTCTGCGTTGGATTTGTGGTCGCCCGGTCATTTTGAGCTTGGATTTTTCGCTTCTCGGATCAGGCGTTCGGAAATGGAGTGTTCAGCCTTGGGCTTTTCTTATGTACGTTGAAAACCTCGAAATGAACAACTCGCTAAAATGGGCTCTTTTCATCAAAGTAAGCGGTCAGATAACAAATGATACACTGTGGATGTAAGGTGAGGTTTTTTTTATAGAATTTGACGTATTTTGAAGCTACACTGGTTTGCAGATTTAATGAATGTAACCGAAGAAGTTACAATTCATAGACCCAACGTTTCGACACTCCTGTCTAGTGCCTTCATCAGGGGTGATCTAAACGCTGCAACAAGAGGTCCTTTTATATGATCACTAATTTAATCAAAGCAGAGAACTGCCAAAAACCAGTTACAAATAGAAACGCTCTTGATGAAAGGGAACCAGCGACTGGTTTTGCTGTTATTCCTTACATACAGGGTGTTACCGAACCCATCAAGAGAATTTTGAATAGCCACAACGTTAAAGTTGCTCAAAAACCTTTTCAGACTTTGGGGCATATTTTCGCCAAACCTAAGGATCCTGTCACGAAAGAACAACGAACCGACGCCATTTATTCTATTCCTTGCAATGACTGTGACAACGATTACATCGGACAGACCAAACGCCAGTTTGGTACACGGTTGCAAAAAGAGCTTTATCAAAAAGCGGTTTTTCTTTGCAAAAGGAAAATTCAGCTTTTATCGGAGCATACTTGCCTAAACCAACCATACAATTGGGTGGGATAATTCTAAAATTATCACCACTAATCGGCGTTACCACCAGCGCCTTTGTTTGGAGGCTTGGCACATTAACTCCGCCCACGCTCCTTTAAATCGTGACGATGGCGGTCTGCTTCCTGACGCCTATTTACACCTCGTCAGAAAAAAAGGCCGCTAATTAATTGATCCGAGAAGCGAAAAATCCAAGCTCAAAATGACCGGGCGACCACAAATCCAACGCAGAATCCAAGCAAATATACTGCAGTTTCATTTCAATTCACTAAAAACTCAATCTTCCCCACGCAACCGACACTAAGCCGCAGTTTGCTTCAAAAACTTTCCAGTTTAGAGGTGTTCTAACAGCCCGCGGCCACATCAACCTTGACACACGACCGTTGAAAACCAGCTTGGTAACCCTACCTCCTTTTCGAACTGAGCCTCGCCGGGGACCATACCGTCAGTTATCGTAAATAAATTGTTTTAGAACCACGGGTCCCCTCAAAAGAAATCGATCAAGAGGCTATTGTTGTTATATTCCCATACAAACTCCTATAATTCCGCCATGACTGTTATTGCGCAAGATGATCATCTCACAGCTGGAGCTTGGGCCGCCTGTGCGCCAATATAGTTTTTGGCGACAACAGAAGTCATAAGCCATTTATGTTTAGACATGGTGACACCAGATCTTGTTTACGCAACACCTTCGGGGACTGGGGACAATCACCAGAATGTCGTTTCAAATTATGTTTCTACAGCTTATTCAGAAGCGTTAGGGGTGGAGAATAGTAGTATCATTCAGGATAAATATCTGACAGCGTCTCATCATAAGTACTCTTTCGAAGCACGAAAAGGAAGACTTCATAACTTAGAGAACGCATGGTCAGCTTATCCAAGAGTGGGAACTTTCTTGGAAATCTCCGTTGGAAGACATCTGAGCATTATTACTGCTATAGCCACACAGGGTGTAAAGAATGAATATCACGAATCCTGGGTACTAAGCTACAAATTGAGTTACAGCTTATGGGGAGACGAGTGGATGGAATACATTGACGACGGCGAAGTCAAGGTCAGCCAGTCTATCCAAAATTCAAAACAAAAAACAAAAAACAAAAGCATTTGTCACCAATCATTGATCACTCTCATCTTTAAACTTGAAACGCCTCAAAAAGGTGATTACAATCAGATCCCGACCTAACAAATGGTTTTTTTATTAAATCAATAAGTAACGGTAATAGGACTGAGTGGAGTCCAATTCGGACCCAATCGGACGGCACGAAGTCTTATTTCCATTTAATCATAAAAATTACAATTTTTGAGTAAAGAAGAATTGCCAAGTTATGAAAGATTTTTGAGTATACGCTGCCCAGATTGCCAAGACTTCGTGCATAAGGTCTCAAACAAGGTTTAAACTTTGTAAACAAACACAGAAACTGTTCAACTATAAGTCAATCGCTGCCAATTTTTAACCTTTAAACGCGGGAAATGTTAGTTGAAAATTCAGAATCAAAGTTTACGTCTCCTTTCTTGTTTCAGGTATTTCGTGGTAACAACGATCACAGCACAGTAGTAAAGAATTACCTCCGACACAATATAACAGCCTTACGTATTCGTTTTTGGCCAGAAACATATTATATTCGTCCTGCATTAAGAGTCGAGTTGTACGGCAGTAAGGGTGAGTAAATTCGTATTAGAAAAACAAATTTAGTTTAGTTTGGTCGGTTTCCAATTCTCTTATATGTTTTTGAGACTGTTGTGATGAAAGCGTTGTTTCCAGGATGCCATAAAAAAGATGAGGCCGTTATTCTCACCACTGCATACAGTTCGTACTTGTTACATTCTAGATATATTGATGGAAAAAGTCATCTGTGTGTAAAAATTTAATCTTCTCATAATTAAAGCCAATTGTAAAATGAGAGTAATGTACTATGTTCATCCTACCACGATCATAAGTTTACTTGTAAAATTTTCATAATGCATTCGTAAAATGTGCAGATGTTTGCCAAAACCCTCTTGGCGTGGAGAGCGGCGACATATCCAATGTACAGTTTACTGCATCAAGTCGTGCACCAGTTGAGAGTGATGCATGGAATGGTCGCTTAAACAACGGGAAGGCCTGGTGCGCGGGAAATAATGACGATAAACAGTATCTTCAAGTAGATTTAGGAAGAATTCTTACGGTAGCGCGAGTCGCCACGCAGGGTCATCCTGACAATCTTCAGTGGGTGACTCGTTATAAAGTGGCTTACAGTATGGATGGAATATTTTGGAGGAATGCTCTTGACGAAAGCAAGTCAAAGGTTAGAATTGTAACTCATATCAAGTTCAATGATCTGGCACAGGCGTAGAGTAGGGACTTACATACCCCGGCAAAACATCTTGTTGGCAAAGATAAGTATCTCCTGAGAGTAGGTCCACGTGGGATTGCACGGAGTCCAAAGCTTAGTGGTTTCCACCTTCTTTATTAGCTATGGAAAAATGTCACGTCCAGTCTTCCTCAGTATCTACTTCTGTAACATTCTCATCACTAGGAAATTAGATATTATTTAACCAAAAGAACTGTTTTCAATTGCATCAGTTAAGATCCATGATTCCATTCCTCTCTTGAAAAGGAGGTTTTTGTACTATTAATTGCGAATGGTGATGAAGGAGTAACCTAGTGATTGACTAGTGTATTATGCATCGCCTAATGTCTACATCTTTTAAAGACCCTGAGTGGTAATACAGATCACAGCAGAGTGAAGGAAGTCCCATTCTACAAACATGTAACAGGTAGATTCTTGAGGTTCCTTCCTGTGGAGTGGAATAATGCAATCTGCATGAGAGTAGAGGTTTACGGTTGTGAAGGTTGGTAATTCGTAAACTCATGGTAGTTTCGGTATACTAAGCAAATTTCTGTTAAAATTTAAGATATGGTTTTTCTCGAGTGTTTTACATGTCGCCCGGGTTGGACAGTGCTTGTGCTTGAATTTTCATACAATTTGATGTGAAATACGAGCCGGGAGTGCAGGATATAAGGGCCCTTGATCACAATACAATTCCATTGTGAGCAGATTACGCACATTGCTTACAATGCATTATGCCATAATCAATAGCTAGCAAAGCGTTACCCCAAATTATGAATAGTAAACAATTATAAAAATAATGATATTTAACGAGGGAACCGAACTGGTAGATGCAGTTTTCAGTGGGGCCCTTCAAATTTGCCGTTTTACCTGTTACGAATCATTTATGATGTTGTTGGACTGTTGGTGTAAACTAGCGAGATATCAAGAGTCTGAGCAAGAACTTTTATCGGAGGCGACAGCCAGTCTTTTCTTAATGACCCATTCAGCCCTGAGTGCGTGCTCTTAAACATCCTATCAGTAGGTGGGTGTGGGCTCACGGGACTACTAACCATAGCAGATTAAATAAAAAAGACCTCCTATTGAGGACTCTAAGCAAGGTCAGAAAGCAAACCTAGACACGATTAGCGATGGTGATTATTGTCCGAGAAGAATCACTCAAAAGCAAAACTATACGTGGTCTTGCATCACATAACAAACAACTAGGCTCAGAAGACTCACATAAAACTTCCAATATTAGTATATTTCGTGACCATGTGTTCTCATTCCGCCCAATGACTTATGTACCGCACGTATTTCCAGATTGCGCCTATCCGGTTGGTATTGAACGTGGAGTAGTACCAAATGAAGCCTTTTCAGCCTCATCATGGTACGACGTGGACCATGAGCCTTGGCTGGCAAGGCTCTATAGTAGAGAAGGCGAGGGAGCCTGGTGTGCACTGGAAAATGATGGGACCCAGTACTTACAAATCGATCTAGCTCAAATACATATCATAACAGGCGTAGCTACTCAAGGAAAGTACGAAATATCAGAATGGGCGATTCGTTTCAGAGCTTGGGTGACAAACTTCAGCTTATCTTTCACCGACGATCATATGCTTTGGGTTAACTACACTGAGGATGGAGTCTCTCCGAAGGTGAGCTTTGCTAAAAAATTAAGCCTAGATTCAAAATTGCATACGAAAACCATATTGGTCAAATTATCAGCTGTAGTTTGTCACAAAACTTTGAGTCTTTGATACTTCAATCCTATTTTCCCGCATCAAAAATTGCCATTCCTGTCTGATGTTTGCGTAAAAAGAGAGGCCTGGCTCTTTGTGCTGACAGATGCTTCGCTGTAGTGATTTCCCTCCTGGAAAAACGAGTGTAAGAGAAATGTGTTGTATTGTCTAAAACAACATTTGCGAAATAAATTTTGACTCAACTTTTTAGGTCTTTGATGGGAATTCACAAAGGAATCAAGTTATCCGACATACGCTTTTAAAAAGAATAACTTCTCGACATCTAAGGTTTCTTCCAGTCACATGGTTTGGATGGACATGCATGCGGGTCGAAGTTTTTGGATGCAGAGGTTAGTAAGATGTTCTTGAAGAAATTTAATAAGAATGCTGGAGAGGATTATTACTCCACCCGAGAGACTCCGTGGGAAGCCAGATGCCTTTAAATGTATCAAGGGACAAACAGTAGTGATAACTACTAAAATGCCATTCAATTTTTTCTACAAGGAATCGAAACTTTTTGTTTTTTGACAGGTTCTATGCAAATTACTGTGCCTTGGTTTAAAATAAAAACTGACAACAACTTCACTGGCGATATAATTAGTTTAGGTACACCTAATTTCAATGGAGTTTTTCTTTGAAAAAACAGTGAAAATACAAAGGAAAAATTATAAAAGAATTAGCAGCGTTTAAAATTACGCTCTGGCTTTATGCCTGATGGCCGAGCAATTTTTATATAATTTCCGCTGAAATTTTTTTTTCAAATCTCATGAGAGTATCAGATAGTTGCTGGAAAAAGTTATATATTTTTTTTCTGTCGGTCTTGATTTGACGACTCAGCTTGCTCTTCTGCTCTTGGAATGGAGGATTTTCACCTGCCGTATGAATCGATTCTGGTTTCATCAGTTCAGTCTGGACTTTACGCTGCAAGAGCCAGAATTTTTAATTCATACACATGGCTTCGAGGCTATAATGATAAGAACTCTTTTCTCCAAATTGGAAACGGCATAGATGAATACCTCTTTACTGCAATTGCAACTCAAGGCCATTTGACTATGAGGTCAGCCGTGGTCAAGTTCCAATTGTCTTTTTCCAGAGATGGTTTACACTGGTTTTACTACAGAGAGAATGGCGACATCAAGGTAAAAACGTTTTTATTCATTTATGAATTTTAGTTCTCCATTCCATCGATATGTAAGTCGTGAGGCATGAAAAACGTTTGTGGTAGGTTACAAAAGCAAGTCATTTTTATTGTCTTTCCTAATAATGATGAAAAGGTATGGTTAAGATCTCAGTGCTTTGTGATAACATTTCACAACCGATATCTAGAGAACATAGGATATCTCTAAATTTTCACAATTCTAGTTGATTTTACCTTACTGACGTTTTTTGTTGTTGGTGTTTTAATTTTTTCCGATGAGGTCAAAGCTTTTGATTCATTTCACTTTATTTCAGATGTTTATTAGCACATCTCTCGTCAACACTGTAGCAAAGCATTACCTTGAGCAGGCTGTCACGGCAAGATTCGTGCGCTTTTGGCCCAAAGAATGGGCTGGGAGACCCTATCTTCGCGTTGAATTATACGGATGCCATGGTTAGCTTCCTTTTTGTTCAGTTTATCAACAATTTAAGTCTGGCTTCAGAGGCTTATTTACTTAATTTTCTTTCGTATTATCTTCAAAAAAGGCAAACTTCTTGCCTCGACCGTCCTGGCGAATCGTGAATGCAAAATATTCATGTCTTTCCAACATTGCTTAATTTCCGTTTTTTTCCGTTTTTTTCCGTTTTTTTTTCCGTTTTTTTTTTCAGTTTACTCGAGATCTGTTGATTTCTCAAACCTGACAAGTATGGCAAACCGCTATCCTAATTTCTATACATACGACGGATCTGTTTTAAAGTCCTGGCACGGACGTTTGTCGATAGATGACGACTCCCATAATGCCCCCAGATCAGCATGGTGTGCAAAAAACAATGATACAAACAACAACCAGTTCCTTCAACTAGATTTGAAAGTGACAAAAGTTATTCAGGCCATCGCGGTTCAATCCCATTCATCAGAGGATAAATGGGTGAAAAGTTTTACCATTAGTTCCAGTCTTGATGGGCTGTTTTGGAAGCAATACACAGATGCAGGAAACTTGAAGGTGAGCTTAATGATCGTAATATTAATAATGGTAGCTTAAAGCTTATAGTTACACGTTGCTGTTTCCGCCAGACTTCGAGAGAAGTATAGAGCGGCTTACACAGAAACCAACAGAACAGATAAGAGAGCGTATATGGAAGATCCAGCAAAAGAAGCAGAGGAAGCGGCACAAAAGGGAGAGCAGAGAAATGTCTATAAAGGAAAATATAATGGCAATAGAAATGTCCCCATACGAGATAAACAAGGACAGCTCCTCACCTCTGAAAAAGGCCAAGAAGCACGCTTGGTAGAGCATTTCAATGAAGTCCTCAACAGACCACCACCAGAAGAGGAGCCTGATATACCAGAAGCTGAGGAGGACTTAAGTGTTGACACCGGACCACCAAAGAAAGAAGAGATCATTGCAGCCATTAATTCTCTAAAAAACCACAAGGCACCTGGCAAAGACTGCCTCAATGCTGAACTGTTCAAGGCAGATGCTGTGACTACGGCAAGCATATTGCAGCCACTTTTCAACACCATCTGGGACTGAAGGAAAATTCCTGACGATTGGAATAAGGGTGTCATCATCAAGATACCAAAGAAAGGAGCTCTGTCTGACTGTAACAACTGGCGCGGCATTACACTATTATCCACCCCTAGCAAGATCTTAGCGAAGGTCATCATGAAGCGCTTATCACTGGCTGTGGACCATAGACTTCGTGAAGAACAGGTAGGTTTCAGGAGAGGAAGGGGCTGTATTGATCATGTTTTCACACTGAGAAATATTATTGAACAGAGTACCGAATGGCAGCGAACTCTCTATATCAACTTTGTAGATTTCGCTAAGGCCTTTGACAGCGTGCACTGGCACAGCCTCTGGAAGTTATTACGAGCATATGGAATCCCCTTCCACCTTGTTGAGATCATCAAAAGCTGACAACTTTACCTGATGTGTTGGTGATGGTGACATCTTTTTTGAAGTTCACACTGGTGTCAGGCAGGGGTGTGTAATGTCTACATTTCTTTTCAACCTTGTTGTGGACTGGATCATGCATCGCACCACTGAAGATCAGGTCAGGGGAGTCAGATGGACACCTTTCTCCTACCTGGAAGACCTGGACTACGCAGACGATCTAGCCTTACTATCACACACCCACACCCACATACAAGAGAAGACGCGTCGCCTCAACACCTTTGCAAAGCAAGTTGGCCTGAACGTCAGCAGCAAGAAGACTGAAATTATGGCACTGAACGCTACCAACACACGACCAGTCCAGATTGATAACGAAGAGCTTCCTTACACAGACAGATTTACCTACCTCGGCAGTATCATCAGTAGAGATGGAGGAACTGATCTGGACATCCAGAGCCGTCTCAACAAGGCCAGAAATTCGCTCAATATGATGAACAAGGTATGGCGTTCTTCCACCTATAGTACTCGTACCAAGCTGAAGCTCTATCATAGCTGCGTCCTTACAACCCTCCTGTATGGCTCAGAATGTTGGCGCTTAACGGAGAAGGATCTATCAAAACTCTCCACTTTCCACACCAAAAGCCTTCGGCGTATTTTACGCATCTTTTGGCCTAATGTCATTTCCAACAAAGATCTTTTTGAACGGTGTGGAACCGAATCAATGGCTACCATCCTGATGAGGAGACGCTGGAGGTGGATTGGCCATGTCACCCGCCATTGCAAAAACTGCTATGTATTGGACGCCAGAAGGGAAACGCAAGCGGGGTCGCCCCAAGATCACATGGCGACGGACAGTTGAGAAGGAAATAAAGGAGATGGGGAAGACCTGGGAGGGCATCAAGTTCATGGCAAGGGATCGCCAGATGTGGAGGGAACACGTTGCTGCCCTACATGCCTGTTAGGCGTAAAGGGCATGAAGAAGAAGAAGAAAGCTTATAGTGCGTTATTCTAACATGTTAATTTGATCAAATGCGCATACGCAAAGAACATTCAATGTCGCGACGAATACAGAGGTACTCGCCTAAACTTTCCTAAATAAATTTCATATCGCAGGTAACACGAACCAAGCTGTTGTTTTTATAGCAATAAGATCAACTCTAAAAACTTTTTGGATACACTCAGCTCTTTTTTGCAACTCATTTCACTTTACCAGTATTGTTGGTTTTCCACACCTAAGGAAGAATTGATCGCAAATAACTTTATCTGATCCTCTGTAGGTATTTGATGGGAACACACATCGACATAGTTTAGTCAAAGTGGATATTAAATATAATCTCCGTGCAAGATATCTGCGAATTCACCCAAAAACCTGGTACAATCACCCTTGTTTAAGGCTGGAGGTGTTCGCCAAAGAAGGTGAGACAGCATGATCCATCGAGAACACTCTTTCATTTTTTATTTTTTTTATGTATCAAAGCATTAAATACTCATTTATCAGGGGAAAGTACGCAAAAATATGCCATATAACTAGTTGATTTACGACCATTCACAACTTTTCAAATATACTTCGTTCTTTCCATATTGGTGCATGGTGCCTAGTTGTCAAATCAGTCGAAGGTCGTAGTACCCTTTGCCCTGGGAAATGGAGAAATTGACTACAAGTTGAAACTGGTGTACATTTAACACAAATGTGACTTTTTGGTCACTTTGTGAGGTCATTTTGTTGAGGTAATTGTTCTTTAACTCTATCCATGTAAGCAGATATAAAGCAAAAATCGGAATAAATTTATACTATTATAACTAGAGTGGAAAGGAACACAATATCGTAACCTTAATGCGTTGAATTGACCATGGTATTGTCTGACAGATATCTTGCCCGTTGGGGTTTTTTTTTTCTAGACTGCATTGATCCTCTAGGAATGCAGAGTGGTCAAATTTCTGACAAAGATATTAAAGCGTCTAGCGCTCTGAGGGTGAATTACGAACCCTGGCTTGCCAGGTTACACAGTCGGCTGGGAGAAGGAGGATGGTGTGCAGGGGTTTGTAAACATTTTAAGCTTTCCTCATAAATCGAGAAAAAACGTAAACTCTCGGAATAATCGCTCTGGTAATTACAGAGACATGCACACTTTCGATTTTAGAGAATACGTCGATTCTTGCCGCCATTACTTCAAGCGTGGTTATCATGATACAGAGATATTTTCTAGTGAACCGCAGCTGAAAAGAACGAGTAATGAAACGAAAGGTGTAAAATATCAATTTTTACCGAACATGGGACAGAAGCAAATGTTAGTCCCCCTTGAAATTTGCCAGCTGCTTCCACTATCTCAGTTGAACACTTTATTTATAGGCCATAAAAAAGGCGTTCACGAGCTAAGCCATGAACGACAAATTTGTCGAGTATTGCCAACTCCATCGCCCCATTTTCTCTTTTAGAGAAATGATGAGAATCAATATTTGGAGATTGATTTGAAACACCCTTACCACGTGAGACGAGTAGCATCGCAAGGAAAGTCCTCAGTACCCGGATGCATTATCCCGGACGCTTGGATCACAAGCTACATGATGCAGTTCAGACGTGATACACTAGACTGGTGGAACTACACTGAGAACAACACCATCAGGGTGAGGATCCTTTTATTGTAATAGTTATATCGCTTGAGAGGCTATATTTAGAAGGACTGAATATGTTGTTGTGCTGTTAGTTTATTTGTTTTCTTAGTCATCGAAGTCTTATTACAAGTGTTATTAGAATTCTTTATATTCATGTTGCCCGTGATGTTGTCTCCCGGGAGCAATAAGGGACGGCGACGCTGTGGAAAACGTCGTGTATTAATATTTTAGTTATACTTTCGCGTGCGACCGGATGTGTTTACCAACTCTTACGGCCCCACACCTCAAATTCAGCATAACGTACGTGAGCAACGGTGGCTTCCAAAATTGAAACTAGAATGATTTTTCCGTCGGGGTTTCCATTTTTAGACGCAACTTTTTGTGATTTCACGTTGTTGCTTTGCAGAGGACTGCTAAGAAATGTGCAGAATTTTAAAACGCACGTGCAGAGCTATTCTTCTGCTCATTAGATCTTTTGTTTTGCAAAATCCTCGTTACCGTCGCCGTCGTGGTTTAGTTAAGGTCCCAAATACCCAGCAAAGACGTAGGAATCATGTTTATGAGCTCGAGTTTAAAACAGGTTTAAAAATCCACAAACTAAAGTCACTCACCGTTTTTTACAACCCTGAGTTGTCTTTCCCTTGAGCTCTAACTTAAATGTCTGCGGGTAACTGCTCACCCTTTAAGTTGTAACCCTGGTAAAATATATGACATAACCAAAACAAATGTCTCCAAGTTCAGTAATCTAAATTGCTACATAACCAAATTTTTATGTATAGGAGTTCTCTGGAAATATCAATACCACCCATGTGGTCACTCATCACTTAAAGAGCCCCGTCATTGCTCGCTATGTGAGATTTCGTCCCATGAATTGGTTCCAAAGAATTTGCATGAGAGTGGAAATATATGGATGCAAAGGTATTTCTTTATATATTTATTCAGATAAACTAGTCAGATTTCTTCATTTCCTATTCCTTACGCGTCGACAGAGAAAGAGAAACTTCTGCGTGATACTAATAAACTGTGCGCTTTTATTTTGTCACTACGAAACAGCGCTTGCGAACAAAATCTCTGATTTGTCTTCAATTAGTTGATTTCTGGGAAATACTTCATAGGTTATCAGCGGAATAGTATCCTGTTGTTCTCATTCGTGGCAAAATAGCTCAGGAAACTTCGAATCGGGTTTGTTTTACAGGTTTTTGAAGATTTACTTCGTTGTCTTTGCTAAAGCACGCGAGACGCGAAGGAATTAATGAGCTAAGTACAGCCAGTTTTTATTCATAAACAAGGCTCATATTAACTAAGCCTACCGGAACCGCACTGGGTGAGATGATACATATCGGCCCTCGATCTACTTGGTGCGGACTAAGCTCAGCGAGAACCGTACTTTTAACTGGTGACATTCTCACAGTGCGGCAACACTTGGATCATGAGATATGTTTGAAAATTTGTGATGTTATGGAACTTTTCAAGCGCACTCTAAAGTCAAAATTACCATAGCCTTTGAAATGAGAAACAATGCATTTATTCCTTCACGAAAGCCTCAAAGATTTTGCAATATTTTTGTTAATCGTTTATTGTCTTCCACTGTAGCTTGCTTCCAACCTTTAGGAATGGAAGACTTCTCAATACCGAGTAAAAACGTTGACTCATCTGTAGCTTCAAACATCTTCAATGCAAGACTAAACTATGCAGGATCAAACCAGTTCGTTGGAGGTGTGTTTTAATTCACAAGTTACGAATCAGTGACGTATCAAAGACTGTTCCTTGTGTGTCATTTTCTTTACGTTCTTAGCATATTCTGACGTCATCAGTGATCTATTGCTGAGCAGACGCACGGAAACATCGAATCTAGTTTACACATGGATTTATTCATTTTTTTTTTTTCGTTTTACGCATGTATATACTCCCTTTTTTTGTTGGGGAACTTAAGTTTACAAACCCTGAAGGTTTTAGTTGGATTTCTCACTCATTCATCTCACTTATTTATCATTAATCATATTGAGAATAGTACGTGGACGTGCGTAGATATGGAATTTATCTTCGGGTGTTTGTTACAAATCGATGAATGGAAAAAAGATACCACAATCCACGCAAAAAAGTCGTTAAGTACGTGGGCGATAAGGCTCAAGATTAAAAAAAAAAGTTTTAAAGAAAATTGTCTCTTCGTTTCAGGGCGAGACAAAATCATCTTACAAATCGACTTAGGGCATTTTAAGACTGTCGCTGCAGTCGCTACACAAGGCAGATATCGTGGAACGCATTTTGTTAGAATCTATCGATTGGCGTTTAGCAGACTGGAGGGTGAATGGTTTTACTACAAAGAAAATGGAGAAGTCAAGGTATTTCACAGATGCTTCAGTTTTAAATAATGCTCATCAAAGTTTCTTCTGATAGGGCCAATTGTCCGTGTTAGAACTTAAAATTGTTTCGATTTCTTGTATCGAGATAAGCAGCTAGTTTCCACAAGAATTTAACAGGTTTATTAAATTCAATCAGCAAAAACTTCATATCTTTCTTTTGAAAAGTGTTACGCCAAACTTAATAGAATCTTTTGTGCTCTTCGGAATCAAATTGCCCTCTAACGCTTTTATCTCTTCTTCGGTAACATTGGCAAAACGCAAGACAGCCATTTGTAAATTTAGCGCCCTTGCTCCTATCAAGTTGAGCGAGGTGATTATAGCGGGAAATACCTCAATCTTCGACAAATCAGAATACGCGCGTCTCTTAATCTCCGCAACAATCATACTACCATACTAATATACTGTATACACAGATCACCTTTCAATCAATTGTTTTTTTTCATCAAGGAAATACATGGCAACACAAACGCCGACGGAGTAGCTCTAAAAATCCTACATTACCAAGTTGTCGCCCGCTATGTCCGTTTTGTGGTAGTAGAGTGGGTCGAAAATGTTTGCTTGAGAGTGGAAATTTACGGCTGCGAAGGTAAATTCATCCAGACGAATTATTTTTGTTTTATTCTATTTTATTTTTTGTTTCTTTCATCTTTAAAAAATGAACTTGTATACTAAATCATAATCCATAATATTTATATAATTTAGTGCAGGAAAGCGCTACTAATACAATTCTGTCCTGAGAATTGATCATGAACGTTGAAACAATCGAAACAATGTCTCACCAGGTAAAAAGTACCGAGAAGTCAACCTCGCCAGATGAGGGGAGAAACCTCAGTTGTCGGGAAAAAAAAACAAGAAACAGTGAGAGATAGAGGGAGAGTGCGTGCGAGAAAGATCGGGGGTTGGGATGGGAGGAAAAACCTTTTTGTAGAGTGATAATCTTAACACCTCTATTCTACGATCTTAGCCTGGTCAGATCCTCTTGGAATAGGATCAGGATTAATAAGCAAGAGCAAAATGACCTCATCCAGTAACTCGGGACCTGGGCATGAGCCATGGTTGGCAAAATTAAATACAGTATTCGATAAGATGGGCTGGTGTGCCGCTCCTTTTGATTCATCGCCGTACCTTCAGATAGACATGGGGCGAGTTGTCACTCTAACTCATATAGCAGTTGCAGGAAAGAGTGGTGCAGGCATGGTGTCTGAATTTATGTTTTCTTCAAGCGTTGATGGTGGCTTCTGGCGCATTTATACGACAGTCTCTGGAGAAAAGGTGAATAATTTTGTTTGTTACTTACTGTCTTTATTCAGAGCAAAAGAGATCGATTGTTTCTCTTTTTCCACCTTTGCCTCTAGACGTTTACAGCAGCTACCGATTACTCACAAGCATTAAAGTTCCCGATAGATTTGGAAATGCAAGCGCGATTTTTCAGGTTCCTCCCTAAGAAATGGACTGATTTGCCGTGCATGAACGTGGAATTGTATGGTTTTGATGGTAAGTTATTTTTCAAGCAAAATTTAATTTTGAAGTTGCGATTATCCCTTTAGAGTGGTTTAGCAAGAGGACGGGAAAGTCATTTCAGAACGGTGCGTGCAGCAAAAATGTAGATAAGAAACTGGGTCGAGAACGCCGTCGTGTTGTGTTGAAAAGTAATTTAGCAGTCGTTGCAACGAGAATCCTCACCTCGGCTTTTTAAACATCACCATCACCTTTGAATTTTCGGTTTCATAAACCACTCTAAGGACAACGAAATTATCTTCTTTAACAAGCGCAAACAGAGGATAGTTATAGCCTACGGCAAGTAAGTTGTCAATATGAATCCACATGGGCGATTGAACTTTGAAACTATTCCATTCCAGTTTAGTCTCGAGTCTGCTGATTCATCTATCAAATTTTGAAGCCCACTAAATAATTTTTTTTCCTATGATTTGTGTCGCTGTCATTTCGTTTCGTGCTACTAGATTTCAGCACTGCTCGTTTTTCGTCATAATTTTGTGAAGGATAATTTGGAAATCGTCCTCGTTGAAATTTTTGAACAGAATTTGTTTTGGCGAACATTCTTCTCAATTACCCAACGATGGAATTGTTTACGATGAGTTCCTATTTATCCGTGAAAGAATGAAATTAACTCAAACTTTGTTACCAACGAGCACTAGGAATCTTCGTTCCTATTTTATTTTATTTTAGTTTTTAAATTAATTTTTTTAGAGTTCAAATGCATTTTTTGAAACAGAATTTAGAGACTTTCTTTTGTCTTAGTTTTACCGGCGCTGGTCAAAAATTTCAAACATAAAAAGTGAATACCTGAGCTATTCTCAATTTTTTTTTTTTAAATCACGGTAAAAACGACAAAACGACCCAACGATGGAATTTCATTTTACGATGAGTTCCTATTTATCCGTGAATTGAGAATAAAATTAAACTCCCAAACGAGTTAGGACTAAAGGAATCAAAGACTTCTGTTTTCCTATTTTATTTTATTTTCGTGTTTTCGAGAAAATTAATTTTTTCCCAAAAACACCGAATAAACCAAAGGAAGGGACCAGGTCGTTGAAATAATTTCAAAGACTGAACTAAATTACGCAAATAGGCGTTTTTCGCGACGGGAAAACCAGTGTAATGACGTCCTGAAAAACAAGTCGGAAGTCGAAATAGAGTCGTGTCCAGACTATCCTCGCGCTTTCCCGTTCTGAAATGACGTTCCCGTCCTCTTGCTAAATCACTCTATCGTCGCGGCGTAAGGCGCTTATCTCAGTGATTATCGTGGAGATTTTAATCCAAATAACTGGATTTAGGAGGGTTAGGAGGGGGGTTTCGTCAACTTGTTATAAAAACTCGCATTACAAAAAAACTCTAGAAGACAAAATTAGTTTATTATACTCCTCATTTCGTTTCTTAAACGTTTGAAAATGGATAACCGTCATTTCAGCTAAAAATCCTCTAGGTTATCGTCTTAGTATGACGATGAACTGACAGTGTTGTAAAAAAATTGGAAGAAAAAGGTCGGAATGCCTATTTGCAAAACTTTTTCTCGATATCAAAGTGTTACAGATAGTAATGATCGTGTGGGTCAGGTTGCCTTTTTTGTGGAAATAGTTCCTGTGTGATCGTCTTCACGCGGATGTGAAAAATTTGCGACAGAAAAAGTTGGCAGTGTTGAGTAGTTATACTCAGAAGATACTAAAGTGACTTAAAATAGGCCAAAATTGAATTTGGTGTCTAGAATGCACGAGGCCTTTAGGACTGGCGGAGTGGATTATACCAAAAGATGCTATGACAGCATCCAGCTCGCTTGGAACAAACTATGCACCTTGGATGGGAAGACTGGGTTCCAGAGAAGGTGGTGGAGCATGGTGCGCTAAAAGTAACGATAACATGCAGTATCTGCAGATTGATCTGGGTCACGTGAGTGAAGTACGCAGCTTGCAGATTCAAGGAAAAGAAGGAGTTAGTAGACATCCTACTTTGGAGAGCGCTTGGGTGAAAAACTTCACTGTATCTCATAGTGTAGATGGAATAACTTGGACAGATCATGAAGACTTTGGTATTTTGAAGGTTTGTCTGTCTTAGTTTTCGTTTGTCGTTTACTGAATGTTCTTGTGTGCTGCTGAATTCTGTGGGAAAATTTATCATTGAACTAGCCAACTAACTACTTACTAATCATTAATTAAGCCTTTTTTCACCTCTAGTTTTGAATTTTTTTTCTGTGAATGGTGAAATATCGATTTGAAAGTTCAACTCTATTTGAAACGTGGATAGCGAGCAAGCTGGTTTGAAAGTGCGAATAGTAGCATATTCTGTGTGAATTGTTTTTGTTATTAATAAGAGATGGACACATCACTCTGGTCGAAGTGAGAGGCGACAAGGAGCAACGAAGGGTTTAATTGGTAGTTGACCCCGACGGCGCCAAGAAGAGGTGTAACCAGGAAGGAAAACGAAAACAAAGTTCTTGGCGACGTAGGCCAAATACCTTTGGAATAAATTGGAGCTCCACCCGAAGATGCGGGGTGGGGATGGGCGGGTCTTGATTTGCCTTCTCTCGGTCAAACTTGGAAGAGACGATTTAATGATGTCAAAAAATATTTAACTTCTCAGGAAGCAATACAAAAGTGCGTAAACTCTAGGGTGTTACGTCGGTAACAATGAATTTATTTGAAATATTAAATACTTCGAATTCCAACAGAATATAAATATTCAAATGACTTTGAAGAACATTATCACTGAGATTTTATAAAAACACTCCGCTATTTGACACTGTTTGAGAACCTTTTTTGGGTAAAGATAAGTTGTTTGAACTTATAAAATACTTTGAACATAATAACGATTTCAGTCCAACCATTTGTTTTTCAAATTCAAGGTGTTTCGTGGTAATTCAAATCCCCACGAGTCTAGAACTGTGTCTTTGGAAGTCTCGATAATTGGACGCTATTTCAGAATTTTTCCCAAAAGTTATCATCGTCACATGTGCATGCAAATGGAGCTATACGGATGCCAAGGTGGGTAGAATACCGCCATCATCTGCACTGAGACGTAAAACTGCCCGACATGATTATAACATAAGAGTAACCTTGGCTTGGTAGCATGATTTTCGTAAAGGATATTGAGTATTTGATGCTTTTAGGAATACTGATAACGTTAAGGTTACACTACTTTAACTTTTAAACTCCTTTTTTTTTCAAATTGAAATAACAAGAACATAACATGCACGTTGACGCAACTTCTGCACGGACCAATTTAACCTTTGCTGCGTATGTAGGATGTTTTTCAGGCCTGATGGCTGTATTAAATATTAATATTTCATATAACTAATCCTTAGTCATGTAGCATCGTTTAAATATTGAACAGCCAAAACACTTTATTTGATAGAAAAAAATGGCTAATATTCTGATTTGCATTTTTCTTTTAGCTTGTGAAAATCCCCTTGGAATGGAAAACTATGACATTCCAGACCATGCACTGGTCACAAGTGGTACAAATTATGACGCAATCGACGCTCGATTAAACAAACTAGCCAAATTCCTTTTACCTACTGAAGTGGACGAGTACATTCAGGTTGACCTTGGGCCCGGAGGCAAATCAGTTACTGCTATAACAGTACGAGGAAATTTTGCTTCCTCCCATATTGACTGGATTAGCAAATTTGTTCTAAATTACAGTAGGAATGGGTGTGAATTTTTCTCTTACATGGAGGACGGCACCGTGAAGGTAACGTGAAGAGTTTATGTGTCGGTCGATTAGATAACTTAACAGTTGCAATTTGGCTGTTCACCAGCTTTCACTCGAGTGCCATCGCACAAACTTGTCCCTTTAAACTGCGGGTGCATGAAAGATCAAATTAAATAATATTTTGCGACCAACTTGTGTCATTGCTTACTGTAGATGGACTACCTTTAATTCTCAATGACAATGGACGCCACTTCAAAGGACGGAAGCAAAGCTCCCTGCTAAAAAAACCGCAGAATTTCACTTTTACGGGCATGAAAATATGAAATTTAACAAACGAAGATCTAGAACAAAAAAGGAAGAGAGCAAAGTCAAAAAAAAAAATACACAATACAAAGTATTGCCTTTTATTTGACGCCAAGTGGACAGTTTTCGTATTAGATGTTGTTTGCTGTACGTAATTCACTCTAGTCGAACTTTGGACCTTGGAATAGGACGTCACACTGAGGGTTTAACTTTGAAATACACAGCCTTAGAGTTCGGCAGCGATCTGTTTACTCTCTGTTTAGTACATCCGGGTGTCTTTCTCAGCGCTTAACCTGACTTGAGGTCTGCCAGGATTGTTATTCAAAATCTCAATGAGTGTCAGTGAGATACCGCTTGCCTTCTCCGTCGACGACGGTCACGTTACAGGCCCGCTTAGGCACTCAGTGTCAATAAGCAATCATGTTTTTCCTTCTCCAACTCTCTTAAGCCTAGGTAGCATTCTGAGTTTTCAAGAAGATTAGTTAGATGTCAAAGCGTTTCTAGTTGAGGCTTCCATCAGAATAAAGATCATGCATTGTTTTGTAATTTGTTTGCATTTTTGGTACAAAGCTGACCGCAGGAGAAATAGTAAATTACTATTTCCTCTTAAAATCATTGCAGATTTTCCAAACTCCTCCAGATAATAGATTCTTTGCTACAAGGCACAGATTACAGCACAACATCACAGCCAGGTACTTTCGGGTTGTTTTAAAAGACTGGATTAATCGTCCATATATTCAGTTGGAGCTCTACGGCTGTAAAGGTATGCTAACGGTTAGATAATTTGGTTTGATCAACTGAGTTGATAATATAAATAGGCCACTGTAAAAATTTTCCTAAAGGTGACTTTTCGAGCGTTAGCCCTTCGTCAGGGCGCATAGAGGAATGATGGGTCGTGAGTGTGTTGGAGCTTCGCTATTGGTGGGAACATGGTAACGACAAAAATAAGAGTAAATAAGTTGAATCGAAAAGAGTCTGTTTAAGAGTGCCGGTTTGAAAGATAAAATTTTGGTCTAGAGTTTTGCACCTTTCTTAAAAAGAGATCGAAGTGTCTGGTCTTAGTCATTCCTTTCTACGTCACAAAGGAGTTCTCGAAATCGGTTGCCCAGTCGTGATCCTCTTTCGCCAATATATACCTTTTTGCAATAAGTGCAAGGTATGCAATAGGTGACATTGGGGGAAGTGCCTTGGCAATTTCCTTACTTGCTTCATCATTTAAACGCCAAAATAACAAACTCTATCTTTCTGCACGAAAACAAAAAACAAGAAGTTATTGCACACCTCGAGCTTTATTTTTTTAGTCCCCTCTAATAAATAGCTTCTTCACTTTCCAGCATGTTTAGAGTCGTATGGTATCGGAAATGACCCCTTACTAGTTTCATCTTCGTCAGCTTCTAGCAGTAGGCTTGGACACGAACCGGAAAATGCACAGAATTTCACCGACACAGGTTCCTGGTGTGCTGAACAGGAAAACGAAAATGAAAACCTCCAACTTGACTTTGGAAAGACGGTCGTATTAACTGGTATTGCAACGCGAGGTCACCATAGTAACGACGAATATGTGTCACAATACGAGCTTGAATACAGTGTTGATGGAGCTCACTGGTTTACTTACACTAGTGCGTTTAGACGTGAAGACATAAGAACCCAACTTGCCGCTAATGTAGACAACGCAAGTGTTAGGAGGATTGCCTTCTTGTACGAAATCAAAGCTCGTTATTTTAGAGTTGTTGCTAAAGTTTGGCATAATGGAATCTGCCTCAGGCTGCAAGTATTTGGTTACAAAGGTGACTGTAGTCTTAACTTTTGTTTTTAAGGACATTATTTTCGAGAAATCCCAAAATTTTCAGTCCTCTTCATCAGCCTATCAAAAAGTGTTAGCTAATCTTTTGTCTTCGCATTCAGTTGATCTTTTTGAACGTTGAAACTCCAATACAAAAACACGCTGTCTCTGAGGCACCAAACAGACATCAAGGAGTTTTTTAAAAGTAGAGCTCTTTTCCTCAGAGGTTGGAAAACTTAGATAATTGAAACCAGGAAGAGAACAACTAGGTTGAGATTTAGTCTAAAATAAAGCAATTCGGCATATTACGCCCATCTATTTATCCTGAATTCGCATCTCGGAAGACAATAAACAATCAGTCAATATTAAAAAGAATAGAATAAGATGGGACGAGTTAAGTAGTAATTTTAATTGTTTGTTAATCAATAATTTGAATTGTTACCATACCAAATGAGTTGCTTGTGTGGTCTGAGCTCCAGAGTGACAAATCCTTTGAAAGTATTTTTGTTCGACAACCTGAGCGGAAGCAGTCATCGGACTCTTTCTACTTTAAAGATGACTTCCGCACAAGTTGTCAGTAAGAATCATATTTCAGGGCTACTGCTACTCAGACAGTTAGACCACACGATCAAGTGTTCCCGGTCTTGAGTTCAGACCATAAACTTAATTTACCAATTAAGTGAGCACAGAAGAATTTTAAAGCCACAAAATACGATACTATATACAAGAAAAACGGATAAAACTAAGAGATTAACAAATATATGAATAATACCTATAATTACCGTTGGACTTACTCAGGTTGCAACGAAGACCTAGGCATGGAATCTTCAATAGTTAGCAATTCTTCTATAAACGCCTCCAGTCACCTTGGTGAAGGTTATGAACCATGGAATGCACGTCATAACCGCCATCATGGAAAGGGTGCGTGGTGTGCTGGTCAAAAGGCTAAGGATGAGTTCATACAAGTGCAATTCACCCGGATTCACGTCATTGCACGAGTTTCTTTACAGAGAAAAGAGAAAACATCTCCTGGAGATACAGTTGGGAAGGCCTGGGTGACCAAATTTGTACTTGCGTACAGCGAGGATGGTGTTAGTTGGTCAGAGTACTCTGATGGTAATGGCGTCACGGTTAGTATTGTTAACGTTGATAGTTATAAATTTTGACGCAGGAGGTTTTTTCCGATGCCAAAATGGTAGAAATTGTCAATCGAACAACTGAAGACACTGATATAAAAAATTAGAGTGATCCAGCCTGTCGTAAACTATACTTCCGCAAGTCTTCCTTTATTTGTGAACCTTAATCTCAATTATGTGTAATGGAATTATTCTATTGGTAATCTGGTCATGAGTTGGGAGATTATAGAACTGTACCATTTTGTAAAGGAGGTTCTCTCTTTTAACTACAAGTGATGGAAAACTGTCATAACTCATTTATTATATTATGACAGTTGTAAGTCCTATTACATCATAACATCATAACATAATTTTGCAATCCGTGAACCCAGTTAATTTGATTCTGTGTGTAGCAAGAGATTTTTAAGCCTTTTGAAGAGAACAGGGAAAGGACTTTTCATCTTTGTGGCAATTTAAACAGTTTGTTTTCAAGTAAACTTCCTACTTATCCAGGCTTTTTTTGTTCTTTCAATTCAGGAGCTCACTGGTAACAAAGTACACGTCCTTGCCAACACGGTGCGTGCTCAGTTTGTGCGGATTGTTGTTAAGGAATGGTACCACCACATCTGCCTAAGGATGGAATTTTATGGTTGCCAAGGTAAAAACGTCAAGATAAGCTACGCCGTGATTCATATCGTTTTTTTCGGGGGGGAAGGGGGGGAAAGAGGCCAGCATTCTAGCATTCTTGCTTTCTCTTACGTAAATTGCACAGTTACACCCCTAATTGTATATTTTAATGGCTTATGGGCATTATAGGATTCACAACCTGGAAATGTAATCGAAATAAGTCGATAAGCGATATGATGGACAGATGACCTGAAAATGTTCTTTCTCACAACCTGAAAAGTGATGTAATTTCTCATGATGTACAGTTTATGAAAGAGCTCAATTATGAAATGCATCAACAGCACATTTAAAAGGCTTTAATTTCACTGATTCATTAATATGTAAACTATTTATTTTCGTTGCAGCTTGTTTGGAGCCTCTTGGACTAGAAAATTTCCAAATTCCGGATTCGTCCTTTTCCAGCTCTTCCTATTATAAGCTACCGACACGGGGTCGCCTAGGATATTACAAAATGGAAATGTGGGTTGCGAGACATAAAAATCTCGACCAGTTCTTACAGGTAACACAATCTTCAGCGACATCTACGTAGTTTTATAATAAAGTACGGATATAACGCGCACTGTCATTGGTTGAAACAGCGTGCTCTATCAGAGTATAGAACATAGTGCAAGAGAGCTAAAGCTGTCACGCCATATGCCAAATTGTAACTATATCCGAACATTTCCCAGACTTCGCTCTAGCTTTTTTCGTTGATTGAATGAAATTTCGGAACAAGTGAGTCGGGTTTTCAACATGTCAAGCGACGTAATTTCTGTCATTATAACGTGAGCAGAGACGAAAATCCTCAAAGAGAAAACGAAATAAAAGCTCTGAGTTTTGAAGGTTTCACACTTAGTTAGATTGCAAGCTTAGGGGGAAAAAATCAAACACAGCTAACACTCGTGTGGGATATATAGTTTCGTGTTAAAAAAAAAAAAACAGAACGAAACAGGAACGATGAAAAGTAAAGCCAAACTGGGATGACTGTTGAAATTCATGCTAATCATGACGGTGTCAGAGCGACTGCGATCATGCTGAGTTCCATCGCGGCCAGCTCATCATGGCAATCTCCGGTCATCGCAGTGAAGCAAACCTCAGAATTTACATCGGCCGCCCTTCGAGTGTACAACTAAAAGTTTGCTCTAACATCCTTTCCGATGCGTTAAGTGGAAGGCCACATCAGTCACAGCAGCCGAGTTTTACGGCGCTCTCATCCCGAGAAATCTCATATCCTTGTGAACAGAGCTTAGTCAAGGCTTCTCTATTTGGTAAATGAAAAAATACCGTGTGTTTTGATGAGCTGGAATTCGGCCGGATTTCACTGAACATTTCACTTTCATATTCTGCATTGGTGACTAAAAACTTCAGGCAAAAGTGTTAAATTCGACCTTCCAAACTATTTCAGCTTGTAAACTATATTGCAGATTGTGATAGTTTGATAGTTTGACATTCTGACAGCTTTAGTCCTTTTCAACAAATCACATTATTTGAACAATTCTTAAAAGGATTCTGATTGGCTTATTGAAGCGTGCTTTATGAGATTATAGAGCATGCTGACGACACTGTTGTTTGCTTTGAAAATAAAGTTTGTTTTGAAAATTGAAAACAATGCGCAGGGAATTTTACGGGTTCTTTATTATAAAACAAGCAAAGAAGCTTTGACTGTGCTCTACTCTGTTGTAAAGCACTTAGAAAGCGGCTAGAGCACTCAAGAAATGGGGAGAAACGCTCGACTGCATCTCGTGTTTGTCCCTAGACTTCTTTCGTGCTCTATAGCCACTTCCTGCGTGCTTTACAACAGAACAGAGCACAGTCAAGGCTTCTCTATTTGTTCAACAGGTGGTAATTAGAAATATGAAAAGAAACTCAATTGCCTAGTATTTCAGTGCTTTAATAAAGATGTAAAATAAGGTCAGTGACGGATACAGACCGCAAATCATGACTCAATGGTGCCTGTTCAGGCGATTCTTTGAACATCAAAGTTTCGTAAATCAGAAATTGCCAGTTTTCTCGTCATTAACGCTTGGAATTTGGGTTATACAATACGAAAATAATCGCAAAATGTACGAACTAAGCGAATGTTCTCCTAAAACTAACCGAGTTCTGAACAAGCGCATTGTTTTGACGTCGTGATGTTATCAAACTTGACTGCTTAAAGGAAACTACACCTGCAAACTTTGCACTACGATCAGTTGAACTCTTTTATCGGATGTCAATCGATTTCTTCGTAGCAGCTGTTTTCAAGGGAAAAATGAACGAAGTAATAGTTAAAGATTTTTGGTAAAAACATCATGGTTTGCCAGTTTCCCACTCAATTAATACCAATTCTACCATACTCTGTTTACCTAAGAAGGGCCGCGATCTCTCGGCGAGGGTCGACAAGAGGTATGTAAAAGCTCTCTTTCTTCTCTAGGTTGATTTAGGCAAAAGAAAAACTATTGCAGCTATTTCAACTCAAGGAAATCCTAACATTGAGAAGGACTCTCGTTTAAGAGAGTATTACCTACAATACAGTGACGATAGCTCCAACTGGATGGACTACACATTTGAAGGCCAACGGAAAGTGAGTTACTGTATTGCTAGAACAAAAAGGGGAAAGAACAGTCAATTAAAGTACAGACCGAGCAAAGTAGTAATATGTATTTTAACTGAGCCCGTATCGAGGATTTATAGGTCATATCAATCGGTACTATGCTCCGTTTACATAGTAGTATCCCTCAAAGAGTATGCCAGTGTCAATAAATGACACCGGCATACCTAAAGAACAAACAACTTGAAGTGCTCCTTCCAGGATTCGAACCTACGACCTTCAGATTAGCATTCCGGATGTTCTATCACGGAGCTATAGGAAACTAGTGGCTATCTATTCAATCAGTACTTCAGACGCTGAGTATCATCGTTCAATCAGTAGTTCGGACGCTCTATCACCGTCTAATCAGTACTTCAGACGATCTATCACCGTTCAATCAGTACTTCAGACCCTTTATCACCGTGGTGCTTATATGCAATGATGATGCGAATAAAATTGGTAAAATAAGTCTGGTGATTTAAGCGAAGGAAGATATTATTTAGTGAACGACAAAGTCATACTCGGAGATAAAAATAAAATAAAATAAAATAAAAAATCCAAAATTCCTTTAGGGATTCGGACCTTCGACCTTTCGACCTTTCGATTAGTGCTTCTAACGCTCTATCACTAAGCTGTAAGAGGCTGAGGTAACCATTACCGTTTTTAAATGGTACGGCTTACCACAGCCTCCCATAGGTTATTAAAATAACGTACATAGTGAAAAACTCCCAGCATACTGCGAGGTGAGATGTGTTATGCTTATGCACAATGATGATAACAGAGTTGGTAGATTTTTAAGCCAGGTGAACTATAAGAGATTAGCGTAAGAGTTAGTCGTTTGACTAAGTTCGTGGTGGCAAAGTTCCGGCGTACTGCGAAGATGAGAATGTCGAAATTTGATGCGCTTTTGCTTGATGATGATGGAAATGAAGATGGTCACAGCAGTTAATATCAAGCCTGGTTATTGAAGTGGAAGAAGATGTTATTCAGTGAATGACACAGGCACATTCGGAGGAAAAAAAAATCCGATTGCCCTTATTGGGAATCGAACCGATAACCTTTCTAAAGACACTTTGGAAGCTATACCACTGAGCTACAGGAGACTTGAGGCAAGCTCTACCGTTTGGCTAAGTCCATTGTGACAAACTTCCTGCTCACTAAGAAGCTAGGAGAGTTGATACGTGATACTTATACATTTTACCTGTTACTCTTTTGGCCGGCTTTTAGGTAAATTTCAAACTCTTAGTACAAGTAATGCACACATATTCTGCAGTTTGTCATTTTTTGAGAACATCTAAAAGATGCCGTCGCTGTGAGAGTCACCTCTGAGAAGCTGTTATTGTTGTTGCTCTATCATGGGTTTCAGTTTGTTTCAGTTTGTTTCAGTCTATTCCCCAGCTACACTTTCTTCAGATTAGCTCCGTATTTTGAGGTCGTTTTCCTGTACATTTCCTTTACTAAGCGGTAATAACGGGGAATGTGGAGGTGACCGCTACTACAGGTTCCATAGAATGGGGGTATTATGAAGAAACGATAAGAAACGTCATTTTATGCCGTTGTTGACCACTTAACGTGCAAAACCTCCCTCAAAAATACTACCAACGTTGATTTCGGGAGTTAAACATAAATTAAACTTTACGTGAAAGACTGTTCTTAGTTTTTTGTTTTGTTTGTTTGTTTTTTTAATTGGTACCGCTTTAAGTGACCGTTCAGTACAGGTGGAGGACAATAACAAAGTTCCGTCGGGAACCCAGTCAAGGGTAACCTCGACCGCTTAATAGAGGAGACCGCTTGAAAAAGGTGGAGTAGTGTTTAGAGGGTAAAAATTTTGGGAGTTTGAAAGCCGACCACTTAATACGGTGCCGTTTGAGTAGGTTCTTCTGCAGTTTTCCACCGGTACAGGTGAGCGCTTGAAAAGGGTGAACAGTGATTATGGGTAGACATTTCGGGGGTCAAGAAAACTGACTGCTTGATACGGTGCCGTTTATGTAGGTTCGTCTGCAGTTTTCCACCCGATCGCCCTCTCAAAGAGGTGACTGAAGTGATATTAAATGTAAAAAGATGGTATCCTGCAACCAGAGAACGCAAGTATTACATGATATGCAAAGTGCAGTTTTTGAATTCCATTTCATCTTTCAGGTGTTTGATGGTTACAAAACCCAGGGGGCAGAAATAAGCAGGAAGTTTTTGCCTCAGGCCATCGAGGCTAGGTACATCAGACTACGAGCCATTCAATGGTACCATTCTATTGGCGCAAAATTAGAAATTTACGGCTGTGAAGGTAGGAACAATAAGCTTTAAAATAATGCAGCAAAACAACATGGCCATTTTAACTGAGCAGTGCTAACCTAACTCAGTTTAAAGGACATCAGCGCTTTGTTTTTTTTTTGGTAAAGCTGTACTTTACGCCTTAGCCCCACTCGACGTTTTGATTAATATACTTAGATAAAGGGCAGAATTACTTAATGCTGATTGGCTGAGGCAGAAGCATTTTTCATAATTTTGTAATTGCCCATGGTCAATAACCATAATTTAGAAGACATTAAAAACAACTGAACTTTGCCTAAAAAATATATACTTTCATTTGCTTTGATGTTGTTGCACAAAAATAGAATTTGTTCAGCTGATCCGGGCGTTTTACAGTTCATTGATGCTTACTGAACGCTGGAATGACTTCCTACGAACGTGCGCAACAGCGTGCATAGTTGATCTTCTTTATAAATTAAATAACATTTTGCTCTTTTTATCATGAAAAAGTAATCGCATGTTTCCTTGTAAAATTAGAGATTGGTGTCACTTGTGTTTTCAGAAGTTGCATAAATTGCCCTTGTTCCTGCGTGACTCGTGCAATTTCTTCAACTTCTGAAAACACCGGTGAAATTAATTCTTAATTTTTACTCGATCCCATGCGATTACCTCCTCTAAGGTCGTTTAGCAGTGATCAATGCATTAGGGTAAAACGTTGTTTTCAAGTCAGTAAAAGCCGACCAAAAATACCTCATTATGTTGGTTTGTACTTGTTAATTCGCTTACGAGAAAAAAGAGCTCAGGAACTCTAATTTTTTCTTGTTTTGAGTTTGTAGCGGAAAATATCTGAGTAAAAGTCGGTGCAACTAAACATTGGTGCCGCTGAGATAAATCGCTTGTTTGAGTACTGAAAAATGACGGCCAACAAAGTGAATTCAAAGTCAAGTCAGTTCTCAAACTGAAAACTTAGTTAATCCGGACCTTCATGAAAAGATGGGTCTCAGTCTATTTTTATGATGTTAGAACTGTTTTGTTTTTGTCTCCTAGTTTAACCATGTGAAGCTAGAGGTAGAAAAGAAAATCGTCATGGATCGCAATCAGACTAAAATATTGTTGTATTTGTCACCATGCAAAAACTGTGCATTCCTGTTTTCATTTACACCGAATACTCGATGAAGTTAATGCCTTTTGTTAGTGCACATAAATTACACTAATCACGTGAATCCATTCTTTCTAAGTAGAGATTCCACTGCATGCGTGTCTCAGTGACATTTTATATATATATACAGTGTGATTAGGTTCAATAGGTGTAATTGCAGATCCTGAACATATTTTTCTCGTGTTCAAGATCAACTTTGAGAGTAAAATTTGATAAAATAATGACACAATTCAATTAAGAAGGAAGTACACTCAGAATGTGGTTGATTGATGTAGATCAGGTTTTAATTACTACACCCAAGCAAGTTTCTTTCCACTGCCTATCAGTATGAGAAGACCTGGTACCCAGTGCTATGCGAGATGAAAAGATAAACTCATCCAGCATGACATTAAAAATTAATTCCCAATAATATCCATCCTTTCTCCATTTAGTTTTCTTTATTTAATAATTTGGATACTAACTTTGTCTAGAAAAATTTATAGTTTCTTTAAACAAAAGAATGCGCTTTCTGTCGGTTTACCGGCGTAACAACCGACACGGGATTCTCCAGCAGGTAATTTACAAACTTTCCTTGTCGTCGCCTAAAATCTCAAGTGGGTTATTATGCCGGTAAACCTACAGAAAGCACAGTCTACTGTATTTCTTTTATAAAATGAACTTTAGATGTCTGCATTTTCTTCAGGTGTTTCGGTGCAATCAACGATAGGCTCTCGACCAATCAGGGCATTTTTAGTATCTCACTTATTTTATTTAGAAGAAAACTCTTTACGGTGGCCAATCAACTCAGTTGATAATACTAAATTACACTGTGTCCGATCGAGCTCATGTCTACATATTCTCCTATGGCATCCAAAGGCTGAGGCGAGTCAACCCGCGGGAACTCGGTTCGCCGGCGGGATTCAAAGCTCTCGCATCAAATCGAGACCAATCAGCTAGTCTAATATGGCGCCAAAACCCTGAAATCGCACAGCATCCAGATAGAAGCGATACAAATAGTATGCATTCTCCTGATGTCGAGTAAATTTAGATTCGCTTGAGCAGAGACATACTAATATCAAATACAATCTCAGTACCGAAAAAAGCAATTTTCGTTGTCATCATACCGCTATTATCACGAGAATAATGAATTGTCTAAGATCAAAGAAAGAAGACCCAACAAAGTTAAGCAATTTAATTAACATACTTCATCAAATATAAAGACTTTGCGGTACAGATAGTGTTGGTTCGCGTGAATAACTTCGGACAATCTTTGTTATCCTGTTTAATGCAAGTATCAGCTGTCACTGATTGCAAAATTGCAAAAAATAAAGAGCTTTCATTTCAATCGCACCTTTACCAGGCTCCTGGTTGGTGGACTCGAGTGAAATAGCGGGTGCAAATAAAATCAGGCGGGTGCGTCAAACGACGGGAGTCAGACGGCCTTTTCCCCGAAACTGGTATTGCCGTCAGTCACTTGTGTGTTCTGAGCTGTCGGCTGAGTAAAGCAGTTTGTCAATATCTAAACGCCAACTAGCGTAGAAGATACTCGGCCTTCCAGCCGGTTGTGGTATAAGCGGCAGTTGTTGCCACCGCAATTCTGTGGCATACTCAGAACTTTCAGTTCAATACCATAGATTAATTCTGCCTGTTGAGAACAGCTCGAATTCATTTCCCGAGTATTGATATGCAGGTGTTGCAACTCACACTCGCGGCAAGTGAAAAAAATTGCTTTCCAAATGTCACTGAGTTTTGCAAATTGTTGTAGCCCTGGGCGGACTGCAAATCCGTCCGACAGCCTCTACGATTTGCGGCCAATCGACAATCTTGAATATCATCCATTCAATTACTTAGTGATAGACAAGTCTGTAGGGCGATAAGAAAAATCCATTTTTTCCGTGCGTGAGAGTTGTTTGCTTCTTAATTTCTTAGACGAAAAAAACAAATCTTACTTTCGTACCCGCTGCCAGCATGTGGTATTTTCAGCCCTTATTATCCCCGTCATTATGACCTCATCGACACCTTTCTTGTCACCACGCTCTCACTACTTGAAAGTTCGTACGTGACCATCGCGCACGTGGCATTCTCGTCTCGCGTGGTTTCACTGGAAGATAACAAATGAGTTCTTTATTAGTTTCCTGCGCTTCGAGATAAACTCGAGTCGACCTGTTATTCAACCGAAAAAACTCGATTTCCGCCACACAAACTTCGGAAACTTTCCACCGAAAAGCTGCCACAGCTGTCACGCCTATCGACAACTAAATAACGTCATCCAACACGCCCAAAGTGTTAATCACGCACACTGGTCACTCCATCCATTTTCAACTAATTGACACGGAGCAACCACAAGAAAAAGCGATTGGTAGTAACCACATCAAAACACCTGGATGAATAAAAACTTTCACATATCTTGCGCATTCGGTTTAAGTTAAACACAAGTCAGAAGTGTGCGGGTCTGCTCCCTCAAATTATACCGTCAGTGTTCTTATATTGTTGACATTTATGTTAATTGTTAAATGACAACTCATCCCTTGGGAAATATCATTAATTTACAATATAACCTGCTGCACTCGTGATTTGTGTTGTTTGCATATTTCAAGTAGGATAACAGAATGGCGAACATAAGCTGGTAAGAAGTCAACTGAAGGCCGGTTAACGTGACATTTTGATCAGTTGAGCTGTAGTGACAAGACAGGAAGTCTATTTACGTACATTATGAAATTTAGGAACTTGATATCTATGTGTGAAATATCGAAAGACTTCGGACTGAAGGAAGGAACAGCAAATGCAGCCTGTCAGTGATTACAGAGGTTTTAAGTAAATGGAAACTGACAGATCCTCAGGATCATTTGCAGCTACATTTGAATAATGCGTTTCTGGTTTTTACATGTATTACAATTTGATGATTGTCAACTATGAATGCTATATCGAGGGAAAGGAAACTAATATTGGAATGCCGCTCCTCAAAGGCAGAACCAGAACAATAAAAGTGGAACCTACGATTCATAGCAAGTCAGGGAATACTCCGCCAGAGGGAGACGTGAACTCTAAAGACTTAGATAGCGACGACAGGACAACAATGCCACCGTATTTATCAACTCTGAAATTTCAGCTGAAGCAGTTCGACGCCGACTTGGTTCGTCAATCGGACTATCTTGAGGAAGGAATTGAATACACATCTCTTCCAGCGCATAAAACTAAAGGAACACAAACCATCACTCTACCATTGAACATGCCTGTTGTGGTGAGCGAGAAACTATGCTTTCGTCGAAAAGGCAACGGTTCACCTAATTTTAAGCACCGGTTGAATAATTCAGTTAAAGACGATTGTTCTAAGGTTTCACTTGCTAGGTCACACACGAATGGACAAGAAAACGACGTGAGAAAAATCCTAGATGGCTCAGACGATACGAGTGCAACTGCAGGAAAATGGTTCAATGACATCGATAAACTAACGAGCTTCAAAGCCAAACACAAAATTGAATTCTTCTCCAGAGAAAAGAAGGAAATAGAAAGAGAATGGACGTCAACTCCTAAGAAATTTTATAAGTGTATTTTGAATTGTAGACAAAAGCAATTATCTCTGTGTAATGGTTTCCGAACCAGTAAACGCGATGTTGATCGGGGATCGAAAAAAGTTTCCTTTCCCGCTGATGTTCTTTTGTTTTCTGCTATCGAGGAAAATGCGTCGAAGGAATTAATTGAAATAATAAGGATCTACAAGACTGATGTCAATTTAAGTAGAAATGCACGCGGACTTCCCCCGCTTCATCGAGCAGTACAGCGCGGAGCTGTTGAATGTGTTCGAGTCCTACTGAGTCATTCGGCTGATGTGAATTTGAGAGACTCCTCAAATCGCCCAGCTATAAATCTGGCGATTTCAATGCGCCAGTTTGAGTGTATTGTGCTTTTAATCGAGTCAGGAGCTAGCGTAGCAGAGTACACAAACCAACGATTACAGGATTATGAAAACGTTCAGACTTTGTCGAAGAGCTGTTATCGATCTTTCGAGGCCAATGTTTAACAAGAACGATATTCGCACTCCTGGGATAGCTCAAAATTGCCGCTCGGTTTTTTGATTTACAGTAGCGTCAAAGCCGTTTTATTATTTGATAAAAAAAAAAAAAAACTACTAATGCGTGTTTTCGGGTTTTCGACTCTGTATTTTATTGTTATTTTCTTCCTGAAAATAAAGATGTATTATACGAAAACAATATATTATAATGACAAATTTTGGCAAAGTAAACCATTGTTCCTTTAACGTGCCTATTGTTTACACTCCTGAGCATGAATATATTCTGCATTCTAATTTTCTTTCGAAAGAAACAATTGATCTTAAAATCAACACGTGTGCCTTTTTTTAGATATTAACATATATATTTTTTTTATTATTGTTTTTGACATTATCATTTTTTCTCAATATTTGATCAGTTGCCGGTGAATTAATTTTATAAAAGAAATTTTCAACAATTACCTTTAACTTTCAATTTTGATGAACGTGTACCACGACTGAATGGCAAGGGTATAGTTTCTCAATCCATACCTAACCATCTTAATAACTGCGTCAGCTCCGACGAGCCAGTGTCAATAAGACTAGGCTTGCAAAATTGATTTTAATTAATAACGGGAAACAAACTTTCTCTGCATGAAAGCGGTTTCAAAGATAGAAAATTTAAATGTGTTTTGGTATTAAAATGAATATTGGAACACTTAATATAGGTACAAGAAATACTGATTTAATTTCCAGTTGAAATGAATCTATCATCATATAGCAATTGGCAACTAAGTAGCAAGCGTTTGTCGTCTCTTTAATTTGAGACTGAAAATATAACAGACGAAAGACCATGCAGCAAAGTCGAGTAATTTCATTTTTTTTTTTTTTGGCGGATAAGCTCTTGGTTTATCGTCAAAAATAGGATATTTATTCATACAAGACGAAAACAAAGGAGTATATTGGATTATTCGAATGATATTCGCGATATTTTGAGAATTTTTAGCAATGTGCTAATGATTGTATCAGTGGACGGTTTAAGATTAAAGTATGTACATTGCTTTTGATTATCCGGTGTCATCTTGCATATTTTGAATTTCCTTTCCCTATTGGATTAGGTACACGGCTAAGTTATCTACAATGGCCTTCGACCTAATCATGGTCTTTCGTTTGGCTGATAATTAGGTGATGTCTGTAAGGAAATAGTACAAACTCCTTAATTAACGCACGACTAGCCGTGCATAACCTTGCATGAAGTGTAGTTAATTCATCATTGACCGTCAGTCCAGCTCTTATTTATAAGTATCTAAGCGGCGAAAACAAAGTGACTGAATTCGCAAGCTATCAAAAGTCGAAGTGAAATTTGATAAACCAGTTCTGAATATTTGAATATTTGGCGCATACATTAGAATCATCTGATATGACAACAACGATATGAGTTAATGAATAAGTTGTCGTAATGGTAAACATTCTCCTCTGGTAGGTCGAGAAACCGGCGGTGAAATGTCGTCACCCCAGTTTTTCTTTCCTTCCAAATAGAACAAATGTTGAGGATTGTAGTCAAGGTGCTAACTGTGAAATACACGAGATTATATTGAGATGGTTTCCGGGCAGTCCTTGTTCTGAAGTGCCGTACATTTTACCTACTGAGATAAGCTCCAACGAACCGTAAAGTAGAGAGCTTTCGATTCTTTGACGAGTTTGATTACCAGAACTTGAGATTATTTTGTTGGTGGAATGCGCACTGAGAAACTTGTTTCCTTGTGAGGCTTCATAGTGCTCATTCTCTGTGCGATTATGCATCGGACCGTAGACTCCAACTTGAAAGAAAGAATAACATATACTATAATTATATAATTATGATATAATTAAGATGAAAGGTAAAAATTTAAAATAGACATTAGGTAGCAGGGCCTTGTTTCTGCCGCTGCTCCATTTTTGCAAACTCATTCTTTCTGTTAGGCTGAGAGCAAATTGGCACGATTGTCGCCAGGACAGAGCAAGCTCGCGCAGGCCAATTGTTCGGTGAGCTCGTTGGCTAGTCTGTTATACTCTTGATCGTGCTCGTTTTAGATCTTAAGGGTCTCAAGCTATAAGCAAGTGGATGGATAGATTAAAAAAAACGACTTTGACCCAATTAAAAGCTCGTTATGAATGCAAACTGCAAATGAAAGGCCTAAATTTCAGTACGGGGAGTATCATTTAGGAAGTGCCGGTCATTAGCAAAGAGTCACCATAGGAGACAGTGGCCTTTGCATTAAACGTGAACGGTCAAGCAAACGAGGGGTTGTACCAGGCCAAAAAGATATCTTAGGACTTAAAATGTTCTTATGGCTTCTAAATGAGATATTTGCATCACACACGTTTTTTCGTGATCGTTTGATGACCTCATTATCATTCCCTAATGTTAATCTTACCAGATGCTCTTTTCGTGTTTTTAGAAGTTAATCTGCGGTTTTCAGTTTGGTGTAAGATAACGACATTCCGGAATTTTCAAGCAAAGTCAGAACTGTCTTCAATGAATTTTGTCTTCCTTTTCCTTATGTCAGCTAACTAAAAATAATGCGTGGCAAAAAGTAGATTTGATCGCAGATGTTATAGTTATTACGAGATTCGTGGTTTTAAACACTTGGTATTATTCGGCTCAAAGGACTGTTCGTACGTTGTTTCGATGAGTGATAACTAGCAGAGCTACATTAATGCAGACGTCACCAAATACAGTCAAAGATTCCACAAGCAGCGCCATTAGTCAACCATTCAGATAACCTTGTGTAACGGTCTACTGAGTCACACCTTACTATTAAATACCTCGTAAATCTGAGCTCATAGTATCTTGTGCGAACCGTCGATTCAGGAGTTATCTTTTTGGACTATCCCAGGTTACGATATCGACGCCTGATTACAGTCAAATTTTATCTTTTCAATTTTGGAATATTTTGCTTTAAGTCGATTAACGGACATCTAACGTTCGACCACACATGGTGCGCGACCGCGGTATTTAGCAGCTTTTAACCTTTTTAAAAGAAGCGCAATGAGAGGAGTAGGAGATATCTTTGAGCTACTAATAACAATAAATTCTATCTAGACTATCGATTTTTTTCCGGGCGGGAGTGAAGGTTGTTTAATGCGAGTTTTAAATCAATTTCCTGTCACTCGGTCTCTCGCTACGGATAAATGGTGAATAACTGAACAACTTCTTGAAACTTCATTTCCCTAATAATCCATTAACTACTGTTTTGTCTATTTTACAGAACAGTGTTTTGAAGCAGTCACGTTGGTTTCGTAGCCGGTTTATACTTCACAAGTAGGTGACGATGGACGAGGATTATTTTAAACCTTTGAATGTCGACAATCGATAGCAACATGAAGCCACTCTAAAGGAAAATACAGCTTTCCGATAATACATCTCATATTAAAACATGCGAGAATTGACAAAAGGAACTCTAGACGAGTGGGAAAGATTAGCTTAACACTACAATCGGGTATGTGTAAATGCCTTTAGTAGTTCAATTTACGCGTTCCTTTCTTTCAGCGCTAATCTATTTCACATCACCGCGCATGACTGTGGTCGTCACAATGAGAGGGCTGTATGTGTCCCATGAGGATCAAAGCCAGCGTCCACTATGATCTTTCTGACTTCAGCAATCGCAGTCATAGATGTGGACTGGAAATAATGCCACACTACCTTGAGAAATGCGCATCTGGTACAGCGAAAAAGATCGTTTACCTTTAGAGTTTAGGTTATCGAAAGACGATCACTTTATGTGAAGATGAATATTTATGGGCTGGTTTGAGTATTTGTGGATTGCAGAGTTATCTCATTCCCACGCGAAAGATGGCCAGTGACGAAAAGATTCTCGACGAGTTGCACTTCCTTTCCTGGAAAATCGACACGTTAGAGAGGAAGCTTGAATCAAGTATGTCTATACAAAGAGACTTAGCGGCAAGCTTACTACAGGAAGACAGCTCATTCGTCGGTTCAGTGTCAGCGTCTAAGAAATTTGAGCGGAGAAATTTGTCCGGTTCAAGTTGTTCCGAAGCGGTGTCCAGCGACGATGAACATAACAGTTCTCACCTAGATGGTACATACTGTGCGGTTTCAGAAAATGAACCCGAACGCAGCACTTCGTATCTTATTATACCCGTCGGCAGCTACAAAGACAATGACTCTTGTTCAATTTCAACGGAAAAACAAACTTTCAGATGGTCAGAAATGGATGACAATGCTAGTAAATATACCACCTCTGACGATGCGCTGAACAGTGACAAAGACGGCGCCTCAAAGGAAAAGCTAGATGTAAATGCGAAGGATTTGAATGTTTGTGATACCCCAAAATCGTTTGCAAATCAGGTAACAACGCCATCTAGTCAAAGCAGATTTGATACAAGCGAAAAACAAATGTGTACTCAGTGGAATGTACGTGTTTCAGAGATAATTCCTTCAGGAAATTGTTTACTTAGCTCAAGAGGATCACATTGCATTGCCGACGATCAATTTGAAGACAAAAGTAATGTAGGGGGCGTTTTTGACACTGACCACGATGAGGAGGAAAACTTAGCCTTATCAAATGGCAACTTCAGTACACGGAATTCAAGCTGTAAATATGGCCTTACGATTGGCATAGCAACGGCCCAAGGGTTACCTCAAGGTGTTAGCTCTAATCATAGGGACTCAAAACAAAATGTTGACGAGCAGAATACTCTACAATTTCACAATTCAGCGAAATTTAAGAGCAATTTTTCAGCTGACGAAATCGAGGAGAAGAGGGCTGAAGTGGAGCTATTGAGGCCTTTGTTCAAAGAATCAACAACTCAATCAAGTTATTCTTTCAATGAGATAACATTTGATCAGATTTACAATCACCCTTCAGAGTCAACTGACTGTTACAAAGCGAATTACAAACAAAGCTCAATTGATTTTACAACTGAAATCGATGCTCGCAACTCGGAAAAGGAAAGTAAACCTTCTTATAACGTGATTTACGTTGATCCAGAGTCATCTGAGGTTGACCATAAAAATTGCGATTTTGTTGACGTTGTAGGACGAGCTTCTTTGTTTTCTCAAAACAATCTTGACACATCAAATGCAAATTGCGTCGAAGAATTTGGACAGTCATCATCGGAGAACGTTGATCCGGACAGGAAGCAAGCAATGGCAGTTTATTCTCTGCCTGTGAAGAACAAAAAGTTCGAAATGGATGTTTATTTACCTCGACAAGTGGAGCCATTTCCGTTCGGAAACCGCCGACTTCAACAGAACAAATTTAATTGCGACGCTACTGCGAGTAATGAGTTGATTGAAATGCAAATAGGTGGCCCTCAAGATGAACAAAGACACGAGCATTCTTATTGTGCTCGAAAACGATTTGACGCCGAGACTCATTCAACAAACAATGGAACCGATAAACAAAACGAAAGCACAAGAAGTAATACACACATCCAAGACATTCCGAGAAATGTCAACAACTACGGCGACACTTCAAGGGAGGCGCTGAATCGAGTAAATAGAACAAAGCCCTTACAGCAAGAGGTTGATGGCCATATTTCACAGTTTGATGATCAAGCTTATTGCATTGTCGGATATAGCAATGATTACAATTCAATTAACACTGATAACATTAATAGGACCGCTGAGCACGAAGCAAAGACTAACATGTACCCATTACCCCCTAGTTATGAACAAGTTGTTAAAGAACGTGTTCGTAATCTAGCGCCAGGACCACGCGCGCATTTAGGACACATGTTTCCCCAGAACCACTTCGAGACAGACGGAAAGTCATATGTTGATGGAACACAATCAAAAGATCGTTTTGATACAGAAAGCAGATTTTCTGAGCCGCTAATGTCAGTTTTAAGTGACGACGTGTTTTTTGACTCAGCACTAAATCCAATTTTGGTTAACCAAACGTCATCCAAAAACCACACCGCAATCAACGATGTGTCAGAATCAGACAGCTGTTTCTCTTCTATTACAAGTGTCAGTTCCACCAACGAAGGAGTCTACCCCTGGAAAATCCGCAATAACTCGGCCTCTCGTGAACGTGAATATGATAAAATGAAAATAATTGCTCGAAAGCCTCAACATTCTTTGAGCACCATAAAACAGTTATCTTCCACCAGATCATACCAAAGAGATAGTGACTCTTCATCAGACAGTGAGCCCTGTGTGCGCGGTTTCAGGCTCTCTCCGTTACCACGCTCTGTTCGTGCTCCATCTCTCCATGAACAACTCGTACAGGATATTTCTCCATCAAAAGAATTCACACTTGGCCAAGTTAGAGTTTCATCACCAACCTCAAGTTTGGACACAAGCGAGCTCTCTATGAATGACAGTGTCTGTGGATGTTTGTATCAGTGCGAGTGTCAAACAGGAATACCTTCGGCTGAAGACTTCAGGGAGGAATTGAAAGCTATTTCTATTTGTGTCTTGAAGGCGCGCAGAGAGTCTGCAGCTCTGTACAAAAAGCCTCAGGTGAAATACTTTCTAGATGAAGAGCAAGGAGAGATGGACATTTTCCATGGTCGTCTTCAAAAGAAAGAAAACAGAAACGTGCCAATGTTGGTGAGAGTTATCTTAAGGCTTCGAAAACACTTTTTTGGCACATTGGAATCAAAATCTTCCCGCGATAACGAAACTCGAAGCGATGCTAATAACAATCTATTCCACCCAGTAGGAAAAATCGGAGATCAAACCTCTGAAAGTAAGCAGCGAGACCGAAAAATCAGCTTTTCCCCTTCAGCCATGCTCCTTAGCGCGATTGGTGAGAATTCAGCCGCCGAAGTGAAAGAAGTCATCGAAAGGGAGAGAATAGATGTCAATCAGCTGAGTCCAAGTGGTCGCTCGTTATTGCACAAGGCAGCAGTCGCCGGAGATCTTGAAAGCATTCATACACTCATCCAGTATGGCGCCATGGTGAATATCTTAGACCAAGATGGCTTTCCACCCATTCATTCGGCACTCAAAAAAGCTCATTTCAAATGTGCCATTCTACTTATTGAATGCGGCACCGACGTAACACGGTACACAACAGAACGCATTCGGGAATTCCTTGAAATTAAAGAAATGTCAAAAGGACACATGCCAGTACTCCTCAAAACAACTTTGTGACTTCTTCAATCAAGGCCATAGAATTTACAAATTCAAAATTTAGTGGTCTGATCGTTGCATGCAGATTAATTGTACAGGTTAACAAAGTCTCAAGAATTTGTGACTAATTTTCAAGGGTCGACTAATTAACGAAAGTTTTGGTGTAACCATTGTTTGCTAGTTTTCAATCCATATTATGACAGTTGGCTTTGCTTAAGCGATTGAGTGTTTGTGCTTTTTCGAAAGAAGTCGTTTTATTGAACGGATGAAAATCTTCGTCAACATCATTATCTGGAAGAACAAAATTAAAAATTATCCTCTCCTATAAGGTCTGTGTTCTGCAAATCAAAAAAATCAAATCGATAGTCGATTTTTTTTCTTTGTCGTTTAAGTAATGTTGCTGAAGCAACGTAATGCATATACATCTTTCAAAAGGGAAGGGAAGAGCCAAACTTGATTCCCCCATATGATTTCTCCCATATGATTTCACACCTGGCGATAAGTTTTGAATATGATCACCATGTAATGAAAATATCCAGACCTCTTTAATCTTCCACCAAACTAGAAAACTTAATAGGGCTTTTTCAGCTTACTCATAAGTGTGTGCATAGCTATTTGCAATCATAGACTAATTGCGTTCGACTTTGGCGCTCTCATGTTCAAGATGTTCAAGAGATTTCAAAAAAATTTTGTATGGACCTCGGACCGTTTCATTTATGCAAATTGAGCACTCACTACTGTACGTGAAAAATACTCAAGTACTTTTTCGTTTCAGTTACCACTCGGCCGACCAGTGACTTGTTTAAAAAATGTCAATATCTGAAAACAGCGCACGCAAGGATTTTTCCTGTGGTTGTTAAATTATCATCATATGTATGAAACCCATGTCGTCTTCGGAAATTTGTTCCATCCATGTTGATACCCTTAATGATTTCAGGCCAAATTGGACCCCACTCGTTTCCATAACCATTAAGAATATCGAACCATTCGGCAATTGCTGCACTTGTGGTAATAGTTATTAGAAACTTGATTGACGGAATTCTTTTTTTTTCAAATTTATATTGCTTTGGTAACTGTTTTATCGAACTTTGTGTATCAGAAACCTTGGGTCAGTATCTGAGGTATTGTTCACCTACCCCTCCCCTAACCAAACATTAACTCTAACCTGTCATCAGTTGACTGTTGTTGAGTAAGGGAGGGGGTAGGTGCTCAGATACTGAAATTGACAAGGAGTATTAAGCGCGGTTGTATCACTTGTAATGCATTCAACATGAGTTTTTCGATTGATATGAGGAAATGTTGCCGCGAATTAGTTTTGAGAAATCGCTCCAAATTAGTAAGCTTCATCCACACGACGTTGTCTTTCGCCACATGTAATTAGAATTAATGTTAAAAAAGCAAACGGTATCAGTTCAGTTGGTTTGGCTCTAGCCCCTATTTGAATCGAAAAGCTGCTAAGTCGTGGTTTACTAGAAGACATAATTGTGCTCAATCCGACCCCGAGAAGACGGAGAAGAAGTGGTTTCCACGGCGATTTAGATTTGTAATAAATGTATTAAATCCTTGGCATTCCATGGGATATGTGGGCTTTGTGATAAATTCTCTGGGAATGAATCTATCATCGACAGCCTCACAAAGATCTGTATCAGAAAAGTCAACCTGAGTGAGAAAACTAGCCAAAATCACTGGAAAACTGACTTCATCAGTTCAGGAAATTCTACCAACACCCCTGGGCTCTTGAAAAGAAAAAAAAAAGACTAGTAAGGATGAGGTTGAAGGATCGTTGATGCCAATTTGAGAAACAAAATTTCCATTGCTATGGGGCTAGAGGAGTTTCTGACTTCCCTTGACTTTCACCTTTACATTTACCTTCTTCAATATGTCAATGTGTCAACACGCCCCTTAGTGATAATTTTACCCATATAACCACAAATTATTCAATAAGACCACAGGATAAAATTATACCCATTTTAAGCCTTAAAAAGGCTTTTAGGAAGCAATGAGGTGTTTCACTAACTTGTAGTGCAGGTTTCTTATGCGTCAGTCGTTTATTCGACATCGCCCAGAATGCCGCGAAACATCCGGGACCTTTTGCGTAGGCAATAGCGATAAATTTGAATTCTCGTGATTGAAAACACGCGAAACAATAAAGAAAATGACCGAAAACGGCCCAATGCCTAATATGAACTTATTAGCATTCAGGTTGATTTTTTTCTCCACAAAAATACTTCGTGACTTAGGTACCCTTTGGTAAAGTAAGTTTGATATCTCAACTAAGATTTGGCGGAATTTCGCGTTAATACAATGGCCACAAGTGTCATGAAAAGGATCATCTCCGAAAGCTACACCGAAATTTCGTAAAAGACCTCGAAAGTTGTGCTCTTTGGATTCCCAAGAGAGTTCCAAGAGAGTTTTTTCCCCGCCTCTGTAGACAATATGACGCACTTTCGCCTAATGAAGCATTATCAAGAAGCTGTGTGACATGAGTGCGCTAAATTTAAATTGAAAAGAGTTATAAACATCTCTGTTGACACACCGCGTCATTAGAACACAATTGTGCTTCATAACGTCCAGGGCTGGGTTGTTCAAGGCTGGGTTTAGATAACCCAGGGTTAGTGTGAAATCGGATTTCAGCTCTGGAAGCTTTTAAGGAAAATTCAATATAATTCTTTTTGTCAACAATTTGATGATTGGATGCTCCATATAGAGTAGAGAAAATGATCTCAAAAAGGCTATCGAACAAAGAAGTATAGTAACCCAGATTAAAATTTAACCCTGGGTTAGCGCTAACTGGCTTTCGAAAAACTGGGCCCTGATATCGAAATGTTTTCCGTGCTACGATCCACTATTCTATCTACAAATTAGCGGCGAGGCTCCTTGGAAATGGCGTGATTTTAAAATGGACTTGACTCGAATCTTCCATGCCCTTCAACTGGTTTAGCCTCCATCGGTTATAAACTGAACTCGTCGAGCGAAGTACGTGTTGGGACTGCGGTGAAAGGAAGAGTTTACCATGTAATGAAGAGAGTCACCTCGGAAACGAATGGCGAGAAGCGCAAAAACTTCCGAAGCCAGTATTGGGCTAAGATTGCTCTTCACCCACACAAGATTTTCCAAAGTCCCTAAGGCATCATCGAGGAGCTAAAGAAAGGAAAAGAGGAGTTGGCAGAAGAATGTAAGAAGCTGAGAATAGAAGTTGAAGGTGAGGAAACTTTAATTATTCCAAAAGGGTTCAACAAAACTTATTTCTCCTTTTCGATTCTCCATGATGAATGGTTGATCCGTAGTAGCCACTTTACCTAAAATTTATCAACTTCAAATCAGTCCACTTCCCCACCGACGCAGCACCACAGTTTCTTTAGAATTAACCCCTTTGCTCCTTTTTAATTATGCAATTTTGTGGTTTCGACTTTAAAGAGCTGAATTATACATTTACTTCATCTTTCCTTAGGCTACAAAAAAAAAACCATTACATTGTTTTTAAAACTCGGAAAACTCTAGATCTGAACTGCGTTTACCTGTCGCAGTGTATAAGAGCGGAATTGTGAAGTGCGAGTGAGTGACCCGCGCATCAGGCTTGCTCTTGCAATGTTTTTAAAGTGCCTCAGCGGAATAAAAATATTTCGGACTATTCGAAATCCATCGAGTCAACTAAAACATCAGCAGAGTAGGTGGAAAACGAGCGATTAACGTCCGCATCGCGCTCGTCATCCGAGCAACACATTTAAAACTCCGTATTCTATAAAGAAAACTATTTCAGCTCACTCAGATAACGTTTTGACGACGGTCTATAGTGTAAAACTAAAATATATCGCTGCACACGAATTTCAGTGACCATTTAAGCGCGGCCCACCTTTAATTAGACGCTATTGTTAACATTATCGCATCTTGGGATTTCAGTTGACACATCCAACAGTTTGATTGACAGCAGTTAAAATTAAAGAGACTCGAGTATTCCCAAAGCAAAATCTGCTGACCAATCATAGCTGACTAGTTCTGGATATGCAGATTATTATGTCGCGTATCAAAAAACTGGGCACTGTAAATACATGTGGCGAAAGACAAAAGTATTCTGGGCGATGCCGACTATGTTTGAGTTAGAGTTAGAGTGTACAGTAGGGGGAAGGGGCAAGGAAAGCGGGAAGACTTTTTCTTTCCTATTATCCCACCTCCAACCGTCTCCTTCATTTTGAATTTCGCTCACCCTCATGGTACAAATTTCTCCCCAGGCTTTCGCTGCTGTAAAAATTAAAAATGGCAGCTGTTGCATAACATTCCAATGATCAGCTGTGGGAGAGACTACAGAGGATACCTGATAGAATATGCTCTTTATCAAAATATTGTCGCGTCTTTAGCTTAGCAATTGGTTTCTTAAGATGAGTGATTAATTTGTTACTTCAAATGACCAAAATCAATCAATATCTACAGAGATGCCGCGCCCAGTCACTCTGAGGGAAGTGTATTGAGGTTTAAACACAGTTCAGTGATGAACGATGAATTGATTAAAATTAATGCAGATCATCAGTATAAGATCAGTGAGGCAATCAAAAGGAAAATAGATAAACGAACTTTCACGAACATTCTCTTAAAGCAAAGGAGACCTTAGAATAGACTCAATTATGGTTGCGTACGCATTCCAACTAGGATGATGTTTATTGAAACCACATTTAGTATATGACCATGCCCTCTATGCGAGTGGATTAAATACACATTTTACGGTCACTTTTGATATTAAAACGCAATTTGCCAAGAGTCGTACTGGAAGTTGGGGTTATCATTATACTGCTAAAATATCAAAACACGAGAAAAAGCAATGAACCTTGTAGAGCCCCATTCCAAAACGTGATCTAATTTACATGATATCTAGACGACGGCGTGACAAGTAGGATTGTAGGATATAGGACTGCCTTTTATTTAAAATGAAGGGATAATTTTTCTACCGTTGGAAGTAGCTCCACAATTTTGCCAAAAGAGATTAATGCCTGCTCCTAATGAACAAATATATCCATTATATAAGAAAA